TTAAAACCACAGCACAGCACACAATTATTCAAGCTTCAAATCTTTCGTGAGATCATCTTTTATTTTGAAGTCATTTATTCACAAAAATCACACAACTGTTTTGGCAAACCCCCTTAATTGCTCACGTAGTAATTTCTACAATAATCAACCTGCCAAATAAGTGAGAATATCCTCCATATTTTAGGTACCAAGTGAAGCTATGGTTTACCAAAATAGGTTATAGTTTTGGTCCTCTTACAGAGTAACTACGAGACATGCACACGAAAAAGCTGCCTAGAGCAGCTGGGGGTGGTGCCGACAGCTCATTTTCATGCGGTACTTTACAGCTCTCGTGTGCTATAATAATTCTTGTGGGCTACAAATAAATCCAAGGCCAGATGGTGACACAGCACAGGTCAACACGTCCAGATCCTATGCGGTGAGGGACACAGGGACCCTTTGGAGGGTCTTGGTCTTGCGCTAGTGTTACCAGTCGGGCCTCTCTTAAGCATGCTGAGAAGCAGGCAATAGGGACAAGACAGCGGGTGGGGCCAGGCAGAAGACCAGCTCCAGCCTGCAGCAACAGTTCAGGCCAGCCTTAGCAAGAGCCGAGTCTAGCAAACCACCGGCTAATAAAAGGGTCCCTAGGCAGGAAAGCTACAGTGAAGACAAACTCCATCAGGATCAACAGCACAACAGCCTTCTCTGTCTTTCTTTTTCTTTTTTAAGGCAGTGTCTCTCTATATAGTCCTGGGTAACCTGGAACTCGTGCTCACTCTGTAGACCAGGCTGGCCTCAAACTCACAGAGCTCCTCATGCTTCTGCCTCCTGAGAATGGGTTTAAAGGCTTGTGTCACCATGTCTGGCTATCACAACCTTTTTAATTGATGTCTTCCTGTAACAGGCAACTCGATAAGCACTGTACCTGCATTGTTGCATCTACAGTTGATCTATGAAGGGAGATGCTGTCTTTATGTTTAGAAGAGGGGCCGAGCTCCAAGAAGCTAGATGACTTGTCAAAGGTAGACAGAAGCAAGTCAAAGTTCACGCACAAGTACAACTGTCTCAGCTCTGGGCTCTGGGCCTTCTGAGTTTCTAATCAGTTTTTTTCTAGAGTGTATGCACCCTGACCACTGGAATGGGTCATCTCCTGATGGAAATTCAGCACATGAAGGTCTGGCCCTCAACCTTCCTGACCCAGACTCAGTCTTTCTGGTGTCTGCTGTTCATCAGCCTAGGAGACTGACTAATGAGCACCCTTGACCCAAAAGCCACCTTGTTATTTTCTAACAAACAAATGGATGTGCAAACGAGAACACCCAGGAGTGACCTGCATATTCCACCCCCACACCTATCACCATGAGCAGCGAGTACGTGGAGAACAGTTGGGAGCAATTTCTGATCAGACACTCATGCCTGCAGACCACCATGAGAGCTGCTTGAAGCAAGGCCTCGTACAGAGCTGTCCATCTGTGGACATGACTCTTGGGTCTCCCTGCTACACAAGCTCCTTCTGTCACATTCTCTTCTGGTATAAAAGCAGCACTTCTCATTCTAGTCTGGGAAACACTTCTGCGTGTTTATCTGGGATGTGTGTCTCTGTGCACACATACTGTGCATGCTGTATACAGGTCAGGGGATAACTTGCAGGAGTAGGTTCTCCTCCTCCACTATGTGGGTCCTCCAGATTGAACTCGGCGCAGGCTCCTACCCATCCAGCCATCGTGCGGTTTCTTCCAGATGACTTTGGCCATCTGTGCTCTAATCTACTGTGTTAACTCTCCTGCCTCCCTCACTCCCAACTTCCTACGCCACATATTTCTGTTCTCTGGCTAATAACAAAACCTCCTGAAACAGAAATCTAGTAATAAAGAATGCAAAGAAGCCCAGCAAGAAAGTACAAATTGCTAATTCCCAGTTCTCAGCAGACGGAGCCAGGAGGATGGCCTTGAGTTCAAGGGCAGCCTGAACAACCCAGCGAGACTGTGAGAAAAGGAAACAAGCTGTTCAGTAAGACTTGATGTGAAAGGTGCCTGGGCCACACCAAAGCATCAGGCTGTGTCCACCCATCTCCTCAGGCCCTTGGCAGGCTGCTTCTCCTTTATCTGTGGCAAAACCACATCAGGAGAAAGCGCTCTTTGTGAGCTGGCTCATGGGAGCCATGGAGTCTGACAAAGCTCTCATTATGAGCTTCTTGTGGGGAGCCAAAGCTTAAACTTCAGCAGAACCTGCTAGCATATCAAATACCTGGTAAGGGCAAGACATTCTGAGATAGTTCAGACGGCCAAGTAAGACAGAGATTCATAAGAATCCCCTTTTTCCTTCACACTAACAAAGGACTACTGTTAGAGTTCTCAGCCAGCCTTGTGGCCTCCTCCTTAACACAAGAGGAAGCAACTAGTCTAAAATCCAAAAGCTCAAAAAGTGGAACCAAGTCTGCTCTCAAACATTTCAGACAAGTGACCCTCAGCCTCTACACCTCTACAATGACCAATGTGGTGTCACCCCCTCGCTCTGTGCCAGTAATCTGTGGCTCTGCCCTTGTTTGGGCTAATGCCACACTATCTCCAGAAGCCTTGCAAATTTGGTTCCCAGGAGGTCATAGTCTCCCATCTGGTTTTTTTGAACTAATATACTGGCTATTTTACTTGTTACAATTTTATCTACATTTTAAAAATCAATTTGTTAACTTCCATGAAAAAGAAATGTGTCCAGTACTGAGAACATGGCTCAGTCGGTACTGAGAGCATGGCTCAGTCGGTACTGAGAACATGGCTCAGTCAGTGAGAGCCCTTGCTTGGCATACATGATCCCCGGCGCTTCATGAAGCGAGCCCGGTGGCACACATGTGCTGTCCCAACACTGGGGAGGTATAGGAAGGAGGACCAGGAGCTAAAAGACACCCTTGACTACACAGAGAATCTACATAAGATATTCTCTGAAAAAGAGACCTGGAACTTACTACATAGCCCATGATGGCTGTAAACACAGATCTATCTTCCTGCCTCAGGTTTCTAAGGGTCCAGAAGCTACCATTTTCAACTACTATGTATTTCTTACTATCAAAAAGATTTGAAAATTAAATTCCTAGCTATCAATGAGTTGAAGCAATCCATGGTAAGGACATGTGAAGGCCCCCATGTTGCAATACTACCAACACACCAATGAGCAGACATCATAGGCCCCCAGTCACCAGATCCAGGGGTTATTCACAGGGAATAGCTCCAGGCCTTTCCAATCACTGTGCTAGAATGGGCCACTGTAGGAGGGCCTTGACGGGTTTGTTCAGTGTGTACATCCCTTTTTACCCTCTGCTTAGAACACAGTCTTGATATTAACACGTCTACTCTTCTTTCTATTGATCTGTATTTACATAAATGCGGTCTCACACAGCCCAGGCAAGCCTGGGTCTCACTACATAAATCCTCCTGCTTCTACCTCCCAAGTGCTGGGAATATAGGCGTACCACCATCATCACACCCAGCTCCCATCTTTTTCCCCTTCCCGTTTTTAAAAACAGGGTCTTAATGTGTAACTCTGGCTGGACTGGAACTCACTATACCCACTTTTATTGCCCTTTGTCTTGGTTAGGGTCCCTATTGCTGAGATAGAGAAGACACTATAACCAAAGCAACTTGGGAGGGAAAGGGTTATTTCAGCTTACATGTCCCTATCACAGTCCCTCACAAGGGAGGCCTGGGCAGGTAAACAAGGCAGGGTCTTGGAGAAGAGCTGATGCAGAAGTCATGGAGCATCCTGCTTACCGGCTTGCTCCGCACGATGAGCTGCTCAATCTACCCACTTATAGCACCCAGAATTACTATCCAACAGGGAGCAGTACTGCCTACTGTGAGCTGAAACCATCATCAATCACCAATAAAGAAACACATCACAAACAGAAAAGGGGGAGGAGGAAGGGGGAGGAGGGAGGAGGGAGGGAGGGAGGGAGGGAGGGAGGGAGGGAGGAAGGAAGACAGGCAGGCAGGCAGGCAGGCAGGCAGTTACACACCATGCTGGGCACTTGTGAAACAGAGGTAGGTGGATCTCTGTGAGTTTGAGGCCAGCCTGGTCTACAGAACCAGTTCTAGGACAGTCAAGAATACACACACACACACACACGCACACGCACACGCACACGCACACGCACACGCACACACCTACCTCAAAAAACCAAGGGGAAAAAAAAAAGAAATGCACCAAAAGGTTACCAACAGGCCAAATCTAGTGGGTTCATTTGCTCAGTTGAAATTCCTGCTTTCAAAATGTCTCCAGCTTGTATGAAGTTGACATGAAGTAGCCATTCCACACTTTAACTTATGTTCTAAGACAGGATCTCCAGCTGAACCTGGAGATCTGAATTCAGATCCTCCTGCTTTGTGCGGCAGGTACATCCCCAACTCGGCTTATCTCCCCAGCCCTAGCCTGTTAACTTTAACTTACCTCTATCATTGCATTTTAACTGAATCTCTGACTAGTGCTATACCTATTTTACCCTTTTTGTTTGTTTGAGTATGGTATGGCACGGCACGAATGTGTTAATGTGTGTGTTGTGTACCTGTTAGTGTAGATGCACACATGCATGCGTGTGTGTGCATGTAGACACTCAGAGAGTGATGTTGGATGCCTTTCCTCAATTGCTTTAAGAAAACTGCTTAGCATTTACTTATTGCTTGGTGTGTGTGAGTGAGCACATCCCACGGTACACGTGTGGGGTTCAAGGATAAATTGTGGAAATTGGTGCTTTTCTTCCACTACATGCGTTCCAAGCAGGAAGCGCCTTTACTTCAGGGCCGTATTTCCCTTGTTTTCAGCAGGATCTCACTGGAACTGAACCTATGGCTGGCCAATGAGCTTCGGGCTCACACACACACACACACACACACACACACACACACACACACACACACTCACACACACACATACACTCACACACACTCACTCACACATACACACACACACTCACACACAGGTACACACTCACACACAGGTACACACTCAGATGCAAAGAAAAGAATACTCACTTCAAAGTTGTACTTCTTCATCTGGTTGAGGTGCCGGCAGTACAGGTAGAGCATGCCAATGCTGCTGCCCACTGCAATGTAGTCCCCGTTGGCATCCAGGGCTGTGAGGTAGACCAGAAGAGAGCGAAAGCCCCTCTGGATCTTTGTGGGGATGGCATTGAGGAGATAGTACAAAGGGCAGAATTCTCGGAATGTTACAGGTTCTGATATCGATGCCATGGTCAAGGTTTCCAAGGATGTTCTTCAGGCAGAAGGAATGTTTATGCATCATCCAGGGAAACCTGCAGGCTACAGAATACAGCATTGTAACTCTCTCAGTGCCTAGTCATACCAACCGTAGTAAAGTGTAGCAGTGGGAACCTGTTTTCAGCAGGTAAGAATCATGGCTGGAGTGGGTGTTCAAAGATGGCTTAATGGCTAAAGGCATGTGACACTTTTGCAGAACACCCAAGTTTGGTTCCCAGTGCCCGCTTCAGGCAGCCCACAGCTTCCTGTAACTCCAGCTCCGGGGATCGCAAGCCCTCTTAGAGCCACCATTCATATTGCGCTCACACGCACACACCCCCATACAGACACAGGCATATGCACATAATTTAAAATAAAAATAAACTGGGATGACAGGGACAGCTCAGTGGTTAAAAGCACTAACTGTTCTTCCAGAGGCCCTGGGCTGAATCCCCAGCACCCTCATCATGGCTCACAATCTCTGACCCCAGGTCCAGGGACTGAAGCTCTCTTTCGGCCTCTATAGGCAAAGCATGCCTACACTACAGACTTACGTGCAGGCAAGCCCGTACACAAGAAATCTTTACAAAGGAATTGCAGCTGGAGTTAACACAGGAAAGGAAGTGGGGAGCAGACACCTTCAGCACTTAGTCCCAAACGCACTCAGTTAGGACCAGCTCCTATAACTAACACTACAGTCAACACTGCGGTAGGTCAGAAAAGCAAAGCCTAATTCTTTTCAAGGAGTTTATGATCTAGGCAGAAAGGCCAATGCAACAACCAAGAGACACAAAACTACGGGAATTAGCCATGGGCTTCCATGAGAAGATTCAGGGTTAGTGTGAACTAAAGTGAGTCAGGAGACAGCTTTCTTGACTCCAGTATGTCCTGTCCTTTTCCTAAGTACCCCCACCTTGGGCAGTGCTCCATTCACCGACACTTTTGAGTTTTCTATTACTATACACTTGAGTGACTGAGTCCTTAGTTCTCTTCTGATAAGGTTCATCCAACCCATTCTCACCTAATGGTCTTGAATGGTCTCACTGAATGGCCCCAACAAAGGGCCTCAATAGATGGTTCTCTGCTACAATGCCCTCCTGCACCCTGGCCACCCAGCCCAGCCCAGCACTCCCATCATGCACTGAGGCACTCAGCAAATACGCACTGAACAAATGAACGAATGGCAAGAAAGGATGGCAGATAGGGGAAGAATGAGCGGCAGCAATGGAACAGCATCAAAACATCATCTTCTGTTCAAGGCTGGGAAAATTCCAGTTCCCAAGCATCATCACAGTCTTTGATAGTTGCAACAGCCAGTACAGTAAAGGTCCATGGTAGTGGGACACCCTGAACTAACTAATAATAACAGTGACAATTATAAAGGTTGGCCGGAAATATTGAAATGCACTGCCAGACTGTCTTCCCCAGCTGCCATATGCTTTAAACATGCTGATCCGAGGACTTGCTGAGGTCAGTAAGTCACAGAACCCAAGCCTAAGACAGCCAGGAGCCCCACTGGATCTGTTTAGGTGGTGTTCTGGGAGAACTCAGCACGAGGCCTGTGCCTTTCACCTAATGGGTGCCTGCCTTCTCACCTAATGAGAAGAAGCAGGCTCAGACAAACTGGCCCACGGGAAAAGGCGTGTCTGGGGCGGGCTGTGCACAAATCAAGCGCCGCTGTCTCCCTGTCCTATGATACATTTGATGAAAACGACTTAGATTCAAGCAGCGCTCCTGACTAGTGTTTTTACGTTACTACCTGCCCGATTTTCACCCAAGCCTAAAGGTGCATTTTGCCCTCCCTCAGTTCAGACCCATTGCCACAATTAAAGTTTGTGCTGTAGAAAAACGGCAGCACGTCGGAGTGGATAATGACATGGGGGGGGGGAGGATTGCACCCGAAATCCCAATGACACCCTGAGATTAGCTATAGGGCCCTGGGGAAATTATTTAATGGTTCGAAGTTGCCATTTACACCCAGCCTTTTTATCCCAGTCTTTAAGTAAATAATGCTAGGGACAGAGAGAAGGTTCAGCACCTGTGGCTCTTCCAGGGGACACAGATTTGGTTCTCAGCACCCACCCACATGGCAGCTCACAACTGCCTGTTAACTCCAGTGCCGAGGGACCTGGAGCCTCTTCTGGCCTCTTCAGGCACTCCATGTACACGGCATGCAAACAGACAAGCAGGCACATAGAAATAAAAATAAATTTAAACTATGTAAGAAATACTTCCTTGGCTATGAGTATTTCAATTTAAAGCCCAAGAGGCAAGTTAAAAACCAAGGTTGTGGGCTAGAGAGGCATATCAGTGGTTAAGAGTACTTGCTACTCTTCCAGAAGACAGGACTTAAGTACCCACTTAGGTGGCTCAAAACTTCTTGTGACTCTAGCTCCAGGGGATCTAATACCCTCTCCTGCCTGCCCCCACATACAGGTGGAATACACAAAAACAGGTACACACATAAGTAAAGCTTTTCTAAGGCCGGGCTTTGGTGGTGCACGCATTTAATCCCAGCACTCAGGAGGCAGAGGCAGGGGGATCTCTGTGAGTTTGAGGCCAGCTTGGTCTACAGAGCTAGTTCCAGGACAGCCTTCAAAACAATTCACAGAAACCCTGTCTCAAAAAAAAAGCTTTAAAAAAAAAAAAAAAAAAGTCATAATTTTCTTCCCATCCCCATCAATTCTATAAAGTGGGCTACGGCCAACCATTATTTTAATGAGCATTTCCCAAAACTAGAGCTAGAAGCAACCCAGAATCCAGCCATACACCCAGCAGTACAATTGTCACATGTCTGTCACCACAGGCTTGGATAACACATCTCAAGGACCTTCTCTAAACTCACAAAGTAATAACAATTAGTATTCCTGCTTTTGGTTTGTTTGTTTTTTTCCAATCTCAGTAGCCCATGGTCCTCAAACTTCTCCCAAGTGCCGGGGTTACAGGCATGAACCTCCATGCCTGACTTTTTTGGCCCCATGACTTCTTACTCTTTGTAGGTTTTTTTGGTTTGGTTTGGTTTGGTTTGGTTTTCTCGAGTCAGGGTTTCTCTATGTAGCTCTGGAATTGTGTAGACCAGGCTGGCCTTGAACTCAAAGGTCTGCCTGCCTCTGCCTCCTGAGTGCTGGGATTAAAGTTGTCCACCACCACTGCCTGGGCTTCTTAGTCTTTAATTATAATTGTTATATATGTGTGTGTGTATAAATTTGTAAATACAATCTGCTAAGATCATTTGGTGCAACCACACCTAGCTCTTACAATCCATCTTTGTTTTGGCTTTTAAGATATTTATTCATTTGTTTTGAGACAGAGTCTCACGCCATAGCTCTGGCTAGCCTAGAACTCCCAGGGGTCATCTAGCTTAGTTTCATGTCTGCTGGGAGTGCAAGCGTACACCACCATGGCCAGATGAAGTGTTAAGATTTTAAAGTAGAACATAAAGGGGCAGGAAAAAATTTATCTTACAATTTGCTGTTACTTCCCTGCTTCTATCCCTGTAGCTAGCCAACTGTTCACAGGTTAAGCCCGACCCAAGCATTGAAACCAGACATCTGAACAAAGCACTGTGTCTAACTTCATCTCCATCTACCATTTCTGCACATGTTAAATATTTATTTATGTATTGGGTGTGAGAGAGAGCTGTGCATATGGAGGTGTATTGTACCACAGTGTTCTGTAGGAGCCAGGACAGCACTGCGGGCTCAGTTCTTTACATGGACTCCAGGAACTGAACTCAAGTCACCAGGTTTGCAAGGCAAGTGCCCTTTCCCCATGAGGCATCATGATGGCCCCTAACTAAGCGTGTAATCCCAGCACGCGGGAGGCAGAGGAACGATGATTGCCATAAATTCAGGGCCAGCTTGGTATACACTGAGAGGTCACAAGCCCAATCACAGTTTACACAGCGAGATTCTGTCAACCTCCATCCCCTACCAACAAATGAAAACAAAACAACTAACAGAGCACAGCACAATCAACACTGAGCACATATCTGTTGGATTAATCTCTCTCTCAGAAACCCTGTGCTGACCCACATGATGATGTGTACCTATAATTCAAGCACTCAGGAGTCTGAGGCAAGAGGGTCTTAGTAAGTCTGTGGCTTATAGTGAGATCCTGTCCCCAAAACAAACAAATACTAAGCCACATTGCCCCAAGACCTTAGCAAAGATTCACTGGAACTCTTCATGACCAGATCCATGGGAAACATACATTCTGAACTTGTTTCTATCTCAGCAATCCATAGCAACAAAGCCACCTCATTTCTGTTTCCTGATTCTCCCAGGCTCCCTATGTAGCTACACTGACAGAACTCCCCAAGCTTGACCCCGAAGCCCATTTTTTTATTTGTATAGCCATCTCCTAAACCATTCCTCACCTTTCTAAATTCAATCTGCTTCCTTCCTTCCCCCCATTAAGTTCCAGCAGCCATTTGGTTCAAATTATATAGAGGCTACTGTTAAAAAGGAATCCTCCTCGACCCCAAAGGATAACTTCCTAGAAAATAAGCCCACTAAGAACCCGTCTTCCATTGAAGACAATGTGGCTACATCAAAACAAAGTTGCTAGGGGCTGGAGAGGTAGCTCAACCCCTAAGAGCAGCGACTGCTCTTCCAGAGGACCAGGGTTCAACTCCCAGCACCCACATAGCAGCTCACTTCAGTTCTGGGGGATCGGATGCTCCTCCTGACCTCGGCAGGCACTGAACACATGTGGTGCAGAGATACACATCCATGCAAAACACCCACACATGTAGGTTTCCAAACTGGATGATGTGATAGAAGGCTGCCTTATTTCATCTTCCCTATCCATCCCTGGCTCCCAAGCCCACCCTGAAAAAAATCAAACAGAATTTTAGGTTTGAGCTCTCAAGAGCCAGGCTACAAGGCCCCCGAGGGTAGTGACTGTGTGTGAGAGTAAGCCATGCATCCCTAAGGCATGGCACAGCAGCTGACGTTGGTGGGCCCTCGTAAACACACGATGAGTGAACAAACAGGGACTTTAAGTCAGGTTACAAAACAAACAAAATGGTACATCGGCATTGCAGCAGCGTGGGAGAAGCTACAAAAAAGCTTAGAAGACAGACTCTGGTGATGAAGGGCTAAAGCAACTTTTTAAGACCTGGCTTTCCCGAAGCTCCAGTCTTCAACAATTTTTTTCAAATCTCGGCTGCAAATGATCTTTCTGGTCAATGACAAAACGATACACCTCACATTCTGCCAACAAATGGAACAGAAAATTCCCTGGATATTTGCGAGAAAGAGAGGAGGTACTTTGTAAAAGGGCAGGAAAAAGGAGTAAGGTTGAGAGGGAAGACTTAAGAAGGGACTAGAGGAAAACGCTACTAAGTAAGCAGAGCCATGCGGGTGACTACCCTTTATTGAGATCATTCGGCCAGACCCTGTCCTTAACTGCACATGCACTGACCCATTTAATCCTCCACCAACCCAAGATAAGAACTTATCACCTGCATTTCACGGATGACCACCCGGAAGCTTGGAAGCTGACACTTGCCCCAGCAAACGCGCAGGAAAGGAGAAGTGCAGTGACCTGACCTCGGGTCTGACCCGGGGTAGTCACCCCATTCCTTAACCCTCACGGTCCTCATCAACCGGGAGGCATTCGCTTATGCAGTTAACCAACACTTACTCAAGTCCGAGTGGGCGCCCAAGCCAGCTGCCTGGCGCTGGCGGGCGAATGGAAGGGTTGGTTCCTGCTGGGGACACACAGAAGGGGACGCCAACCTCCAGGCTGAGGGGCCCGGAGCCCGCCGGCCGCCCGCCGCGGGCTGTAGGGTGGGGCAGGCGGGGCGGGGCGAGGGGAGCCGGGGCGGCGCGGGCGGAACGCGAACGCACGGACGCGGCCGCGGGCTGTGGCGGCCAGGGGGACGCGGGCGCGCAGACCCCGGCAGGGCAGGCGGCTCCGCCGGGAGGAGGACGGGCGAGGCGCGCGGCCGGCGTCGGCAGCAGGGACCGCCAGCGCTCGGGACTCACCTCCCGCGGCAGCCGCTGGGGACGCGGCAACCCCGCCAGCCCGGGGAGGCGGGGCGGACTCGGGGCCGCGGGGGCTGCCGGGAGCCTGTTGCCCGGGCAACGGGTTGGGCCTCGGAGAGCCGCGGCGACTCCGCCCACGGCCGGAGCGGCGGAGCCACAAGCGTCGGCGGACCGTGCGGGCGGAAGTGACGCCACTTCCCCAGCCCGCGGGCGGGGCTCCGGGGCTGCGTGCTGAGATCCGCCGCGGGCCGCATGGAAGGTGCGTGCGAGCGAGGGGACCGAGAGGCCGCGGGTCGGGGGCGGGGCGGGGGGAGCCGGGGGCCCGCGGTGGGTGTGACGTGCTGGGCGTGCTGTGAGTGACGTCTGAGCGTGGTGATGAGGGTGCAGGGTTTGTCACGGGCGTGACGCGCAGCTCAGGCAGCCAAGCCCGACGTGCCTGCACGCCCCTCTGGAAGCCTGAACACCGGCAGTCTGTAATAAAGGCTGTCTCTGTGTGCCGACCAGTGTCACGTGGGCCAGTGCTTTGCCTGTGGCCGTGCTCAGTGTCGTGGAGTAACTTTAGTCCCTCGCTGGCTGGTGGCACATCACTGATGGATGGCATCCCCCGATTTGCCTATGAGCATCTACAAGTCGGAGCTGTGCCGTCTTTGGGTTCCTGAGTGGGGCCTGCAAGCTGAGTGAGACGTGATCCTCGCTCTCGGGAACCCCGCTGAGGGACGACTGCAGGTAGTTAGAGAAGCTCCTCCCTGAAACGTGTTTGATTCGGCATATACTATGTGTGCAAGATGTGGGAGGGAACGAGACTTAACGCCTACTTCGGCTGAACTCAGTCCAGCGGGGATTGTAGACATTGAGCAGGCAAATAGATTGACTGGTAAATGTGATGACAGGCAACGTATTGGGGGGTGAAGATGTCAGTGATTCCTAACAAAGCCAGGGGATCCAGGAAGACCTCTTGCTGGAACTGTCCAAATCTGCCTCCTGTTGCTGTGGTAAAATACCATGACTAAAAGGTCACTTGGGAAGGAAAGGGTTAATTTGGTTTACCCTCTCAGGTCACAGTCATTGAGGGAAATCCATAGGAACCCAAGTGTGAGCAGAGGCAGGAACAATGAAGGAAAGCTGCTTACTGGCTTGCTTTCCAGATCCCTCCCAGGCTGGTGCACTGCTAGCTAGCTTGCTTTCCCTAAGATTTTATTTTTATTTAGTGTATGAGTGTTTGCTTGCCTGCATTATGTAAATGCACCATACGAATGTAGTGTCTACAGAGGCCAGAGAGGACTATCCCCTGGACTTGGACATCACAGCCTATTGTGAGACTATGTGGATGCTGAGTCCTCTTAACTTCTGAGCCATCTCTCCAGCCCTCAGATACAGCCAGGACCACTTGCCCAAGGGTGGTACTACCACAGTGGGCTAGGCCCTTTTATCACACAGATATCCTCATAGACAGTTCCTCAATTGTGGCTTTCCCCAAGTATGTCAAGTTAACAGGAAAACTAACCCAGGCAATGACTTCCTTCCTTTGTTTCATTTTTGCGTTTTAACTATTGCAAATATATTTGTTGCAATTTACAGGAAAGTTATAATGATGACATACAAATAGAATTTTGACTATAAGTTTTCTGCATTTAAATTTTTGCATCAGAAGAAATGAGTCGCAAAATATTCTAGTCCCCAAATGGTAAGGTTAAATTACAGAAAAATAAAATATGAAGCTGGTGAGATGGCTTAGCAGTTAAGACACTTCCTGCTCTTCTAGAGCATTGGAGTTTGGTCCCTAGCATCCACATTAGGCAGCTAACAAACACCTGTAACTCTAGCTCCAGGAGATAAGTCACCCTCTGGCCTTGGCAGGCACTCCCACAGAGTGCACCTACACCTCTAAAGTCTGATCATTTAGGTGTCAGGATACAAATAAGTAGTGACACTTACAGTACCATCATAAGACTTTAACATAGGGAATATCCCACTACAAACCCCAAGGGTTTTCTTCCCTTAGACATTCTCTTTCGCGGCAGTGGGCTTTAGCATTTAAGATTGAAATGAAAATGACGAGAATTCTGTTATTCTCCCGGTCAATCTTTAAACAGTTTGTTCTGTCCTCATCACCCCCTGGCCCTTTATATAGTAGGAAGTCATAGTAATGTTTAAGTTTTTATTTACTTAACTTACAGAGTAGCAGGATTCTTTATGGCATTTTCATACTAAACTTCTACCTACAGTACCCTCTGACCCCAATACCCCCTTCCACCTCCATACCTCATGTGGGAGTACTTTTCACCAAGTCTTTACGTCCTGTGGTAGTGAGGGTGGAATAGGAGATAAGGAGGCCGTCTCGCCGGGCAGGGGCTCCAAGCCCCTGCCCCCCTGCATTGCCATTGCCTACTCTTTGCTTGGCTCAGCCTGTGTGGCTCCAGTTGTGTGAGCCCCTCCTTGTTCGCCGCCTTCCCTCCATTTCAGCCTGGTGATGCTTGTGGTGTGAACTGGTAAGACCATTGACATGAATATTGTTTGACTCTCTTTTGGAAGGTAAGCGCGCCATGTCTCGTTCAATCGCAGTAGCCTACCACTGTTAGTTGTTTAAGCAAAGACCGAATGAAAAAAAGTCAGTATATTCAAAAGCAGAGGTATGGGCTAGGCATGGTTGTACAGGCTGCAATCCAAGCTACTTGGACGACTGAGGCAGGAAGATAGATCAAAGTCTGTCTAAGATATGTATATAAAGTAGCTTCTGCCTGCCTGGGCAATGTACTGATACTGTCTCATTCAGTAAAATGGGCTGGGGCTATAGCCCAGAAGGGCATGCACAGGAGCTTAGTTTAGTCTCCAATACCATTAAAACAAAAAAGAACAGCCCTAGAGACACACATGAATGGTTAATGTGATGCGGCTTGGAATGGGACAGAGCCGGCACTAGGGCACAGAGTAAATAAAAGACCTTGTTGGGGAAGGAATGGGCAGACCTGGGTACTAGTAGTAGACCTTGTGATACAGGTTGTTATGTGTCAGGGCCTTACAGCCTCAAATACTATTTATATACTTTGCTTTGGTTTTTGAGGCGGGGTCTCCCTATGTGGTCCTGACCAGCCCGACACTCACTGTGTAGACCAGGCTGCCTCACACTCGTGTGTCCCCACTTTTAAGAGCCCTGTGGAGCAGATGAGAGCACCGAAGGTCCAAGAGCCTGACAAAGGCATCTGCATTCAGAGCTGACGAGCTGTCTCCATGCCTAGGAAGCATGGTCTTGGAAGTGTAGCCTCCAGGGCATGCAGCTGTGGTGTGCCCTGGATTCCTCCCAGCTGTGAGAAGGCCATGCAGGGTTCTAAGTTGAGAAGGCAGCACAAACTCTCTGCTCTTGGTCTTGCTTTCCTTGAACAGTGGGATCAGGTGAGTCTTAGATGGGCATCAGCACTAGCTTATGGAAGGAGCCTCCCAGGAGGGAGATGAACACGCGAAGACCTCTCCAGGGGCTTCTAGCAGCGATGGGGGCTGGAGGTGGGGAGGGAGATGAGTGTTGGAAGCGGCGATACAGGCACATGTGTGGTTCTCTTCCCACCCCTAGGCGAGCAACAGCAGCCTGGCAGGGTCACCTCTGCAGTCCAGTGCCCACTTGCTCAGTTATGTTGTGTGAAGAGCTTTCAAGAGTCAGAAGCCTGGAAGGAGAGAGCTGGAGTTAGTCAAGACTAGATTATCTCGTAGGAGGGAGAATGGGAACCAAGCTGTATTAGCAAAAAGTCACAGCTTTACTGGTTCGTGAGTGTCAAGGTAGGCAAGGTGCTGTGGCGCACACCTTTAATCCCAGCACTGGAGAGGCAGGGGCGGGAGGATCTGTGTGAGTTCAAAGCCAGCTGGAGCTACATTTGAGACACTGTCTTCAGAAAGAAGTGTGGACAAGTGTTCATGGAGCTGTGAGCTGAGGACATCCTCTTAGTTTCTGGGACATTGGTTCATGCAGTTGGTGTGGCATTCCAGGCCATTGTACTATGGAGGGCTGTGGTCACGTGTCCCTAACAGCCATGCTCCTCTTGATCCCTATCAGCAAAGACTCTTGGAATTGCAACACCCAGAAAACCTGTCTTATCTGTCAGTGCAAGAAAAATTAAGGACAATGCAGCTGATTGGCATAACTTAATCCTGAAATGGGAGACCCTCAGTGATGCTGGTTTTACCACCGCGAGCAATATTGCCAACCTAAAAGTCAGCTTGTTGTAAGTATATGCCGAGTTCCCACACTCTGTATTATCACCTTTAACCATTGGGTGGGGGAGTCAATACAGTGAGAATTTATTGGTGTAAATAAGTAAAACAAAATATTGGACAAAAGAATGTCAAAATGAGCCATACATGTGTATTTAAATGCAAGTGTATACTAGGTGCTGTAGTACACACGGGTAGGGTATGCTGAAAAGATAGGGACGAGGATTATAAATCTGACACCGTGGGCTAGAGCCATGGGCTCAGTGCCAACAAGCCTGATGAGTTCAGTCCCCGAAACCCACATGGTAGGAGAGAACCAAACTCCCGCAAGTTGTCCTTCCCCGTCACACCGTGGAATAACTGTACCCATTCTTATATGCACACAAATAAATGTAAAATAAGTATAAAATTTTGCTACATATTGCTTATATCTGTTGTAATCTTATAAAAAGATTGGGAAGAGAAAAGGCTCAGACGCGTCATACTGTCTTCCAGGAATGTGGGGTGGCAGATAAATGGGTTTCATGCGTATACTGCTGGCTGCCATTTATCTTTTCCTGCCTTCCTTGCATGCATTGATTTTGTTTGGTTGCTCTTTGGTTCTGTCTTAAATAGTTTGCCTCACCCAGGCTGGCCCTGAACCCCAGTGGTCTTCCTGCCGCGATCTCCTAAGTGCTGGGTTACATTTGGTAGGACCTCAGTGTTGGCCCAGGTTAATCTCACACTACTGGGCTGACTTTCTGCCTCAGCCTCCCTCGGTGGTTGGAGCCACACATGTGCACTATTGCACCCAGTTAATTTAATGTCCCTCTTTGTTTGTACACATGGCTATTTTGCCTGTGTGTAATCTGTGTGCCACAGAGGCCAGAATAGGGCATTACCCTGGAACTAAAATTATAGGTGAATGGGAGTTGCTGGGAACACACCCGGGTCTTCTGGAAGAGCAGCCAGTGCTCTTAGTAGTTAAGCCTGACTTCTCCGGACCTTATTGCTATAATTGGGGTTTTTTGGGGTTTTGGGCTTTTTTGTTTGTTTGGTTGGTTTTTGTGGGGGGGTTCTTTTGGTTTTGAGGTTTTTTTGGGGGGGGTTCAAGACAGGCTTTCTCTGTAGCTTTGAAGGCTGTCCTGGAACTAGCTTTTGTAGACCAAGCTGGTCTCAAACTCAGAGAGATCCACCTGCCTCTGCCTCCTGAGTGCTGGTATTAAAGGCATGCGCCACCACCACCTGGCTGCTAGAATTGTCTTTTAGACTTATTGACTTTATTTTATGTGTGTGAGTGTTTCACCTGCATGTATGCATGTATGTGCATCACATAGGTGAGTGTTTTATCTGCATGTATGTATGTATGTATGTATGTATGTGCATCACATAGGTGAGTGTTTTACCTGCATGCATGTATGTATGTATGTGCATCACATAGGTGAGTGTTTTATCTGCATGTATGCATGTATGTATATGCATCACATAGGTGAGTGTTTTACCTGCATGTATGTATGTGCATCACATAGGTGCAGTGCCAATCCAGGCCCAAAGGGTGCGTTGGACACCCTGAAACTGAAGTTACAGATAGTCGTGAGCCTCCATGTGGATGCTGAGGATGAAACTGGGGTGCTCTTAATCACTGAGCCATCCCTCCAGCCTCCATCCTTATGTAGGTCCAGGCAGACCTCAGACTCACTATGTGGTTGAAATGACCTTCAACTTCTTACCATTCTGCCTTCATCTTCCAAGAACTGGGATAGGTGTGTGCCACCACTTCCAGCCTCTTTTTTTTTTTTTTTTCTAAAAAAGACAAAGTAGGAGTGGGGAGACTAGACTACAGAGGAACTGGGTTCAGTTCCCAGCACCCACAGGGCAGTTCACAGCTGTCTGTAACTCCAGATGACCTGACGCCCTCTTCTGGTCTCTATGGGCACTGCATACACATAGTACACATACACATATACAGTCAGATAGACATACTCATACATATTAATTTAAAAAATTGAATAAATGGATAAAAAGCCAAAGGAAACAAATGGTAGTGCATACCTTTAATCCAGCACTCAGGAGTCAGAGGCAGGCAGATCTCTGAGAGGTTGAGTCTGGAGTCTGGTCTATAGAGAAAGTTCCAGGACAGCCAGGGCTACACAGAGAAACCCTGTTTCCAAAAAAGAAAAAAAAAAAAAAAAAAAAAAAGAAAAGAAAAGAAAAAGAAAAAAAAGGAAAGGAAAGGAAGCAAGTATGATGGCTTATGCACTCAGTTCAAGCACTTGAGAGTTAGAGGCAATTGGATCTTGTGAGTTTGAGACTAGCCTGGACTGCAAATCAAGTTATAAGCCATAGTGAGGTCTTACCTTAAAAAAAAAAAAAGACAAAGGAGGAGTTGAAACTCACTATGCACACATGAAAACCTGAGTTCAAACTTCTGCACCCAACGTGTGCTTGTAATCCCTGCATTGAGGCAGAAGACACAGGCCTAGTCTGTGAGCCCCTGGTCCCAGTGATGAGAAACCATTTCTTCAAAAAGGTGGATGGTGGCTGGGCATGGTGGCATATGCCTTTAATCCTAGCACTCGGCAGGCAGAGGAAGACAGACCTCTATGAGTTTGAGGCCAGCCTGGTCTACAGAGCAAGTTCCAGGACAGCTAGAGTTGTTACACAGAGAAACCTTGTCTCAAAAAAACAAAGCAACAACAAAAGATAAAAACAAAGCAGATAGCTCCTGAGGAGCACCAGAGGTTGACCCCTGATTTTGTATGCACTCAGCAATGTGGCATGCATCATAGTGGATGCTCATGGCCAAGGATTCTGTTTGCCTCATAGCCAGGACCAGAAAGATGCTGGGATCCTGAAATCCTATGAAGGACATGCCCTGGCACAAACAGATGCCTCCCAGTAGACCCTAGCCTTAATCACCGCACTGGCGGCGGAAAACCAAGCCTTTGACGTCCACACTGTATGGAGCACAGACTTCAGCTTACAAACCATTCACCAGCTCTTGACTCCTTTAGGAAATGACCCGTGTCTTAGGCATCTTTGTACAACTAAGCTCTGCACCAAGGATGCCTCATGGCTGGACCCAACTTCCCCTAGTGCAAAGCTGAGTGGCCAGGGCTGGGAGTATAGCTTAGCAGTAGAGCATTTGCAGGACACCCGGGGGCCCTCAGTTCATTCCTGACCAATGGGTGTGCTCACTGTGTAAACAAACTTCTACTATAATGACAATTGCAACATTAACATGATTATGTGGGTGATGACTGTTACAGAATTCATTATCACAGAATGAGGTGAAGGGTTTTGTTTTGTTTTGTTTTTTTTCCCCCTTCTGTTTTGCTTTTTTGAGGCAGGGTCTCAGTGTAGTCAGGCTGACTCTGAACTCCTCCTCAAGCTCAGGGATCAGAGGCATTTGGTCTCCAAGCATGAGCTGAGTTTAAAGCGTGTAATTTGCACCCTTTATTTTCTGCTTTGTCCAGGAGTAAAGAGAAGGTTGAGTTAGAAAGCAGCAGCCCAGCTTCCAGTGAGAAGGAAGAAAAGAATCTGGACTACAGCAAGGAACTTGAAGCACTGTGTGAGGAGCTGCAGGCCACCTTGGATGGCTTGGTAAGATCCAACTCACAGTGCTGGTCACCTACGTCACTGTCACTTGGGTCCAGTGGAACAGCTTGGGGTTTGCTCACCAGTGCGGGCATTCAAAACTGTCAAAGGCCCTGTCTCCTCCTCAGCCTCTTCCACCTACCTAACAAATCCTGGTGCTCCTACGATGATGTCCGGTGCACTGCTGGGCAGTTTCAGCCACTTCAAGGGACTGGACTATCAAATATTTAGGCTTTGTGGGCCAGCCCAGACCATCTGTGTCATGGTGACTTTCCCGTACTGCCACACAACACTGAAAGAGCCACAGTCGTTAGTTATTAGTTGTGTTTCTTGTTCAGGTTGTTTGCACTTTGGCGTGGGAGCTCTGCCTGAAATACTGTCTTCTTAGCCATGTTGTGGTTTGGGTATGGTTTTGACATTTCTTTACTGATTAGCATTGAAGCTGTTCCAGGCTTACTTTGCCTCCATCCCAGAGTGAGCCTTTTCCCCCATGGAGCCCAGGCCCTTTGTATAAGAGTCCCGTTAGGAACCTGTTAGCTCTGGGGCTGGAGAGTGTTAAGAGTGCTTGCTGCTCCTTCTAAAGACTGCAGTGCAATTCCCAGCATCCGTATCAGGCAGCTTGCAAACGTCTCTAACTCCAGCTCTGGTGAATCCAGTACCCAGTTCTGGCCTCCATAGGCACCAACATACACAAGTGATAAAATAAACCTTATTAGAAAAAGCAAGGTGTGAATGCTAACCATCAGGTTAGAAGCTCTCTGCTGTGGTGATCCTGAATCTGTTTTTGATTTGTTTGTTTGTTTTTTTTTTTTGTTTTGTTTTGTTTTTTTTTTTTTTTTTTGAGACAGGGTTTTCTCTGTGTAGTCCTAGCTCTCCTGGAATTTGCTCTGTAGACCAGGCTGGCCTCGAACTCAGAGATCCACCTGCCTCTGCCTCCCGAGTGCTGGGATTAAAGGCGTACACCACCACGGGCTGACTTGAATCTGTTTCAGCCTATCTTTGAAATGTATTCTCATTCAGGGTTCAAACCCAAAAGTCGGCTTGGAGGCTGAGTGCTGCCTCTCATGATTCCCAGCCATTACGTGCCTTTTCTTGGGGGATAGGTGCAGCCTTTCCTCAAAGCTGTACCCCACTTATGTGTGGTCTGAGTTGCTGTGGGAGACACCACAGATGCTGGTATGTGAGTGTGGGCTGTTACACTGTTAGCTCAACAAAGCACAGACAGATGTGCCTTTGCCCCTGTTGGTGGCCGACTACAGGTATGACAGGCCAGAGCCTCCCTCCAGATTTCCCTGAGGGGTGGGGAAGGTGCTGTGGGTGCAGACTTTCCTTCACAGCCATGGGTACAGAAAGCACAGGTCCCATCCTGGCTCTGCCTTCCCACCTTCCGATCTGCGACTGGAAATGATGGAGGTTAAGCCAAATGAGATATTGAACCTAAAATTATTTGAGAAGGAAGCAGAGACCTTTTAAAGATTAACATTTGCTAAATTTAGTGTGTGCCACATGGTAAAGCCACGGGCTGGTGGTTGGGAGGGCCAAATACAAGGGTTATGATTTGATGCTGTATATTTCTTTTCTCCTCCCAGACACACACAGTTAACTGTACTCAGACATTTGGCTGTAATAGACCTTTGCTAATTCTGTTTGTCTTAGTGGTCAGTCCTAACTAACCAGGTGCTTCGATGCCTCATCTGTGCCGTCCTTTCTGTCACCGTGGAGACAGTCCTGGGGTGTGCTGCTGGAAGCAACACCATTGACAGAGGACACCGTTGCAGAGGGAGGGAGATCTGTGGGCTTCACGTTCTCATTGTGTTCTTCCGGGGATGGAGGCTCACAGAGGCGGCAGTGAGCTGGGGCAGTGCCCTTCTGCCTGTCTCTCTGGGACTCCTGGTCTCTGAAGCCGACACACTAGTGCTGCTTAGAGATCTAACTGAGGCGGGACGCAGAAGCTTTCTTCTCTCTGAGGCTGTGAAAATGCAGGGCTTGGTGCCAAAGTAATCCAAAGTAATAAAAGCACAGCAACCACCTGGCCACGCCCCACCCTGGAAATCTGCTGTCCTTGGAGTGGGTGAGTGAGTGACTGGGGTTTTAACCCCACCAGGACTACAGATCTACAGCGTCGTCTTCAAGTCTTCCATAGTTACTAAATCTGAGTGTACACATTCTAAGCAGTATTCTCATACTCCAAATTACTATCTCTTTCAGACTAAAATTCAAATGAAAATGGAAAAGCTGTCTTCAACCACCAAGGGTGTTTGTGAACTAGAAAGTTATCATTACAGGGGAGAATGTAACCGGCCTCTGCTGTTTCACACATGGCCCACGGCCTTCTTTTGTAAGTAGCTCTTCTGGAGGTGGTTTTAAGAGGGGCGTCAGTCAGCATTGGTTAGATCTAGAACTTAGGAAAGGACTTGGGGCATCAATGAGCCAGGCAGTGGTGGTGCACGCCCTTAGTCCCAGCACTCGGGAGGCAGAAGCAAGCAGAGGTCAATGAGTCTGAGGCCAGCCTGGTCTATAGAGTGAGTTCCAGAACAGCTAGAGCTGTTACATAGAGAAACCCTATCTCGAAAAAGCCAAAACAACAAAAAATATACAATAAACGTATAAAAATATATAATAAATGTAAAAGTAATATGAAGCCAGATAAATAGTGCACATTCCTATAATGCCAGTAATGGAGAAGTAAAAGCAGGAATTGTCAGTTCAAGGCTAACTTGGACTGTAAACTGAGAGCCTCTCTTTAAAGTGACAACAATAACCCAGCCTTGAGGTTGGGGGCTTTGGCCAACCTCAGAGGAGACCATTGAAAAACTTTAGCGTGATGGATGGGCTGTCCTAGTTAGGGTGTCTATTGCTGTGATGAAACATGACCAAAAGTGACTTGGGAGGAAAGGGTTTATGTGACTCACGCTTCCACATCACTGTTCATCATCAGAGGGAAGGAAATCGGGGCAGGACTCGACCAGGGCAGGGTGCTGCTCACTGGCTTCCTCTCCATGGCTTGCTCAGCCTGCCATCTTATAGACCCCAGGACCACCCGCCCAGGGGTGGCATAGAACCCAGGACCACCCGCCCAGGGGTGGCCCCACCCACAATGGCCAGGCTCTCCCCCTCAATCACAAAGAAAATGCCCCACAGCCCAACCTCATGGAAGCATTTCTCAGCCAAGGCTCCCGAGACTGCAGCTTGTGTCAAGTTGACATAAAACTGACCGGCACATGGTGCAAACTGGTAATCCCAGTACTGGGGAGGCTGAGGCAGGAGGATCACAGCAAGGTTAAGGGCAGCCTGGGCTCAAATGCAGGGCTAATGGAGCAGGTAACGTGGCTCCCAGTCTGACCTGACTGTGTCCCTTAGGACAAACAAATGCCTGAAAGTTGCTCTGACCTATACACACACCATGGCATGTATACATACACACAAAACAAATGCAATGGTTTTTAAAGTTAAGCTAGTTGATGTTGGCTTACTTTTAAAGATTTATTTGTAATCACTTGTATCTGTGTGTAGGTATAGACACATGCATGGAGTCCAGAGACCTTGGGTCCCCCTGCAGCTGGAATTACATGTATTCATGAGGCTGCCAGATGCTTGGACTTGAACCCAGCTCTTCTGGAAGAGCATCTAGTGCTCTTAACTGCTCGGCTGTTTCTCCAGCCCCTTGTTTACTTTTTTAGACTTAATATATATCCTAGGCTCTACTGTTACTATGTAGCCCAAGCAGACCTCAAACTTGTAGTATTCCCCTGCTTCAGTCCCCCAAGAGCTTACATGAGTCTTGAGGAGGTGACTCTTTACAGCCATTACAACTTACTCAAGGGTTATGGGATATTTGATTAACCATGTAAAGATGTGTTGCATTTGTCTTGTTTAATTATGGGATAGATGTGTTGCTGTTTTGCCTTGCCTGCCTAAGACTGAACAGCCAATAGCAAGGGAGGAGGTGTAGGCAGAATTTCTGGGCAAGGAGAGTAAGTAGGAGGAGGAATTAGGCTTGAGGAAGAAAGGAAAGGAGACGCTGGGGCCACCCGAACTTGGAGGAAGCAGGAAACAGTCTCCGGGACTTTGGGAGTTGGATGGCGACCCAGAGGAAACCCAGTTAATACTCAAGGGTGGCCTGTGCTTCCTACCAGTCAGCTACCCTGGCTGGACTGGCTTCATCTCCCTAACCCAGTGCTGCTCTGATTTGTCCTGAGGAGAGTTTTATGTGTTGGCTGAGGATGCTCTTGCACTTTACATCCTGTGCCTCCAGTCTGACCTTCAACTTCCACGTGCTGGGACTACAGTCATTCACCACCACACTCAGTTTATGGGTAGCGGGGACTGAACCTGGGGCGTCATGCACGCTGGTACTCTGCCAGATGAGCCACTTTGCCAGGTGACTCTGGTGTTTAACCGAGAGTCTGTGAAGTCACGGCTTGAGTCTAGGAGAGGCATTCTCATGCGGCCAGGTGTGTGGTCTGTTGCAGATGAGGTCTCCCACCGGCTCTCTGAGGCATACAAGAAGGAGCTCCTCCTGAAGCGCACCATTGGCACAGAGCTGGCCCATACAGCCGACCGCAACCTCAGCCTCACCTACCTGTCCATATGGCTGCACCAGCCTTACCTAGACAGTGACAGCAAGCTGCAGCTGGAGAGCATGCTGCTCGAAACAGGGCACCGGGACCTGTGACTCCCGGCCTCCAGACCACAGCTGCACAGAACTGTTGTGCCCCAGGCCCGCACTGCAACCTCTGCAGACACACAGGCGTGTGTGGAGGCCTCCCCGTCTGCTCTGTCCCCGGGCATCATGTGAGCACCATGAAATAAATTAGAAGGATGGCTGAGAGCCTCATTTTGTAAACTGAGTATACGGTACATGTTACACCTGTGTAGACAACCCCGGTTTCCGATTTTTACTTTGTATCTGCACCTTTTTTGTGGTGGTGGAAATCAAACCCAGATCTCACACAAGCCGAATGCTTAACCACTGGGCCACATCCCTAACCTGCACTTAAAATTCGGAGAATGTTTTAGTTCGGTAATTGTAAGTAAAATCCCATGGACACTTGAAGTCTAAAATCTTAGCACTTTTTAAGATTTTATTTTTGCTGTGTCTGTGTATGTGCCACACATACAGATGACTGGGGCTAGAGCTAAAAGGTGGTTGTCGCCCACCTGACCTTGTTAGGAACCAAACTCCAATCCTCTAGAAGAGCAGTTCACACTGGAGAGAGATATCAAATATATTCTATAATATATATATTAACAAATGTATTTGGAAATTGTAAATATATATTTTTCAGTTCTGTAGAGTTAACTGAGTTTGGTATTGTAGAAATTAAAGCCATGTACCAAGAATTACTGCTGTTTGCCTTTGGGACAATCAATAAAAAGACCAGCGGTCACAACTGTTTACACCTGGGACCTGGGTATTCTGTATCTGTTTAGCTTTCTTATGATCAAGTGTACTACTCAAGTTCATAGTCAAGGGCTGCCTTAGTCAAGTGAGCTCAGGGAACGCCCACTCACACCTCTCACCCGGTCCCTGCTGGGGGGCACGTTGTTCCCATGTGGGAGTGGGCAAACTCAGGCCCTCTGCTCCCATCTGTCTCAGAAGGCATATCCAGGCCACACGGCTTCCTCCTTTGACTGGGGGAGGGGCACACTTGGGCTTTGGGCGTGGCTCCTCACCTGCCTTGACAGGGACAGGGCCTCTGTCCTAGGCTGCAGGAAACGCCAGAACAGCGGACCACAGGCTTCCAGTGTCTGCTGTCTCAGCCTCTGTCTCCTGTAGGTGCCATGGGGCCTGCAAATACTTGTGCTGCCACCGTGCTGGCTTTTTTATGTTTTCTAGGGATCTGGCCTTCGGTCACCACACCAGGCTCCCACACTGAGTGCTCTGCTGCTCTTCCAGATGAAGACTGTCAGGTGTGAAGCTGTCCAAGGCTCTGGCAACTCCCACAACTTGACTTACTGAAATCACGGGTGACATACGCACGTGTGTGTGCTTTTCTTTTTTCCCTAGCCAGTTGCCTACAAAGTGCTCAGCTCTACAGAGCACAGCTTACATACAAGTCACACATCAAATCCTCGGGGATTGGGGGCCAGGAGAGAAGATGACTTGTCCAAAATAACAGCATCACACTTGCATCGTGGCCACCTGAGACAGCGTACAGATAGAAAAGGGTGACTCTAAACCAGGCAAGGTGACACACACCTGTAACCTCAACACTGGAGCCTCAAAAACAAACAAATTGGGCTTAAGAGATGGCGCTTGCTTTCGAAATGCTTCCCAGAGAAAAAAACTGCCCAAAAGAAAAGACCGCCTGCCAGGCAGTGGTGGCCCATGCCTTTAATCCCAGCACTTGGGAGGCACAGACAGGCGGATCTCTGTGAGTTCTAGGCCAGCCTGGTTTACAGAGTGAGTTCCTGGACAGCCAGGACTGTTACACAGAGAAACCCTGTCTTGAAAAACAAAACAAACAAAGGAAAGGAAAGGGACACAGAGGAAAGGATTTCTCACTGTGCAAATTGGTTAACATGTCAAAGCATTTAGAGGTAATCTTTTTTGGGGTTGTTCTTTCCTCTGTGTTTATTAAAACCTGTTCTGAAAGTGGGCAGATGCCTTGTAGAAGAGTTGCTGCATGATTAGCATTTGGCTGACACCAGACAAGAGGCTGTTCAGGTCATGCTTGGGGCAAAAGTCACTCTTCTGTGCACAGGTCCCAGGCTAATAGACACAAAACCACTTCTCCCGGAAGCCCAGCACATCCTCAAGTTTCAATCCCTTACTTCCCCTTGCCTCCTGGGAACCGTAGACAGCCTGACTGCCAGCACGTACTGTGGACTGACTACTCATCAACCATGTGTCATGGAACCTTCTCCCTCTGAACCCTGGAAGAAGGGACCACACTCTACCATGTGGGCCAGAGCCCCACTTGGAGCCCCTGCCATACTGGGAGGAAATGCTGAAGGATTTAGTACCATGGATAGACGCTGTGGGACATTCCATAGGTTTTGTTTGTTTATTGGAGACATGACCTTACTCTGTAGCCCAGGGTACGTGGACACACTACCATGTATAGCTAAAGCAGTGTGTGGTACACGATGTCTACCTGCTGTGGAATAGTCCTCCTGTACACTGTGTGAACACATGTTGCTATGATTGGCTTAATAAACAAGCTGACTGGCCAATAGCTGAAGAGGGTGCAGTTAGGCAGGAAAACCAAACAGACAAATGGAATGAGGAAGGGCGGAGCCAGCGGAGGATGACTAGGACACACAAAATGGGACAGAGGTAAAAGCCATGAGCCTCAGAGCAGCACAGATTAATAGAAATGGGCTAAGCTGCAGGCCGGGGGTAGTGGTACGAACCTTTAATCCCAGCACTCAGGAGGCAGAGGCAGGTGGATCTGTGAGTTTGAAACCAGCCTAGTCTACAGAGTGAGTTCCAGGACAGACTCCAAAGTTACAGAGAAACACTGTCTCAAAAAAAAAAAAAAAAAAAAAAAAAAAAGAAAAGAAAAGAAAAGAAAATGAGGGAGAAGGAGCGAGAGGAAGGGAGGGAGGGAGGGAGGGAGGAAGGGCTACACTCTAAGCGCTCATTAGTAACAAGCTTGAGCTATTGGCTAAGCATTTGTAAGTAATCTTAAGCCTTGGTTATTTGGGAGCAGGCGATCTGGACAGGAAAACTCCACCTACATCAATTTTTTTTAGATTTTGTATAACCTTGTGTTTCCTGGAATTAGATTTTTAGATTTATTTTTAATTATGTATATGTGTGGCTGTATGTGCACCTAGCTGCAGGTACCCGCAAAGGCCAGAGGGTGTTGGGTCCTTTGGGGCTGGATCCTTTACAAGCAGTTGTGAGCTGTCTAGCATGGATGCCGAGAATCAAACTCAGCCCTTCTAGAGAGTAGCATGCACTCATAATTCTTTCAAGTGTCCTGGGATAGGGTCTTTGCTGGATAACTGGTGCTGACTTCAGCATCACTATACGTCTGTCTCAACGCCCCAAATGCTGGGATCACGGACACACCATACCCAACTTCTGCATATCCTATTCTTGGTAATCTGCTCCCCATCCACCCACTAGCAATTTGCTCAAGAGAGCTAATGGAAAGATCAATACTGCCAAGGACAGGCAGAAATAAAGGAACTAAAGATAAAGGAAGTATTGACTCTGCAGAGGGCTGTGTCTGAACAGAAAAGGACATCAGAGTCAACAAGGCACTTCGAGGTGAGTACAGTAGTGAGCCACACGGACACGGATGTCTCCTACTATCCCAACCCTGCCAAATTAACAGAGAAGGAAATCAAAAGCGTGGAACCCGCCTGCCCTGGACTGAGAGAATCCCAGGATGAATTCATGGTGGATACTTTGAAAAAAGGTGTCTGGTGCTGTCTTTTTAAAAAGTTTGCTATTATAAAGCATTCCAGGCAAATCAGAAATATTGAAGGTAATATAATAAATGTCCACATACCCCAAATGCAGACTAATAACTTAGGCAGTGGGGAAGCTCTGATGCCCCCCACTCCCTGCTGGGAAACCTGCCTGCTTCTCTCCCTGTGAGCCCTGCTCTGAGACCCACTGAGAAAAGGGAAGTGTCTGCGGATGATGCAAGGGCTGTGGCATCTGCGGCCTTGCCTGAGTGCAGGGCCTGGTGAGCAGCAGCCACGATCCCCAGCTATGCCCTGCAGCATTCTCTCGGTGCCCCGGGTCTCCTAAGAGGACAGCAGCTGAGAACCCATGCTCTTTGTGTAATGGGGGCAGGCGGCCTTCCCTTTGGCCCACAATATAACCATGGAAACAATACAACAGAAGCGTGGAGCAGGACTTTACAGCTGGGACATCAAAGAACCAGAGTTTTCCATGAGCTCCAGGTTTCTGTGGACCCCAGTAAACCATCCTATTCACAAACACCTCTTCCTCATTGAGAAAACCCAAGTAAACAGAGCTTGCCATCCCAACCCTGCAGAAGCAGAGGCAGGAGGAGCCTAAGTTCAAGGCCAATCTGAACTATATAGCGAGACCCAGTCTTAGAGGAAGAAAGAAGTGAACATACAACCTGAGTGGAAGGCTGCAGGTGGGCGAGTGGGTAAAGGGACCTGCTACGCAAGTCTGGCAACCCGAGCTCCTTCCCCGGAATCTGTATGAGGATGGAAGGGGGCCAGGAGTGGTGGCACATGCCCGGCACTCGGGAGGCAGGGGCAGAGCCACACTGATCTAGATAGTGAGTTACAGAAGAGCTAGAGCTACCTGGGAGACCCTTCTCAGACCGTACAGCATCATTGCAGCTCTGGAGATGCTAACACAAGAGGCCGCAGACTTGAAGCCTGCTTGGGCTGCTTAGTGAGGATGAAACTCAGTGATGGAGCCTTGGCTGGCAATTTCAATCCCCATGGACACTAAGAAAACAAATAAAAATGACTTCCTCTTTTACTTCTCATTAGAATGCTGCCCAGTGGCTAGCTTGTGAAGTTTTCTAACTGAATGCAGAAGTACAGGGACGTCACCAGGAGAGAAGGAGGTGGCGTGATACGGAACTGAGTGTAATGGCATTAACTGCAATAGCCAGCAAACTACTCAGCTGTGCGCAAGGGGTCACACCTGTAACCCCAGAGGCCGGGAGACCATGAGTTCAAAGCCAGCATGGGCTGCCCAAACCCTGCTTCCAAAAACAGACAACAAATATACATATGTACCATTATTGTAATAAGCTCTTTAGGAAAAGAGATAGTAGAACAGACATTATTCTTTATAAATAAATGGCTCCTTTGTGTCGGTATTCACATAGGAAAATACATGCTGCCTGAAGTAGACCTTCCATGGGTAAAATCCATACCAATATGGGTTCAAAGTTCTGCCCAGCATGGTGTGCCATCCCTGTCACCCTACCAACTCAGGAAGGGGAGGCAGAAAGACCCTATACTTACACACACATCACACACACTGGCGCACACTCACACACACACACTCTCACATGACTCCTGGTCACTGAGAGGGCTCTGCTTCCACAGTGTGGAAGGCCTCCAAGGCTTCAAGAGCGACCCTCTCTGGTGGGCCAGACCTCAAGAGAGAACCCTGTGATGGTCACTGGGAGAGTGTTCTCTTCCCGAGACACAGTGCTTGGATTGGGCAAAATAAGACCATTGGGAGTCTGAATAAAAATATGTTCCTGTCCCTGAGACAACACTTCCTCGCACACATCGGAAATTTCAAAAGTCATGGCTTCCTTCCACAGCAGCCACGGCTTCCTCCACAGCAGCCACAGTCTCTGGCCCTCTGTGGCCATCTGCCTCCATCCTGGAGAGGAACTGGCTTACATCCCCAGCTTCGCTTCCAACACTGGGACCCCCATTAGTGGACAAGGACCCATCAGGCCCGGGATGAGGCCCTGGCTCGGGCACAGTCTTGGAAACACAGGCAGCTGGAGGGACAGTCACAGGCAAGATGCTGTGGAGTGGAAAGGCTGCAGCCTCTGCAGGCAGGGCATGGCTGCCCTGCTGCCCCCTGAGGTGGGGTTGGCTCATTTCTCTGAGGTCCCCTGCCCCTGCAAGTCCCCATTCTCCAAGAAGCAGGGACTCCACTCCTCTGCCTGATGGTAGGGTACCACAGACACCAGTGCTCCTCTGGATGGTCCCAGAATTCTGCTCTACGGAGTGTTCTGGAACATTCTCTTCCAAAAACCCTGACAACTGGGCTGGGGACAGCCCTCTAGGCTCTGCTTCCTGGGAATAAAGAGCCATCCTACTGACACCTTGACAGGGAAGAGTGGGGTCTGCAGAGCCATGCCTGGCTTCAAAGTCCACAGATGCCATCACCGAGAGCTGCTGGCGTGCAGGCAGCTCACTTCTGCCACTAGCGGGAACCATCTCCCCACAGCTTCCTTCAGAGCGGAAAGAAGGGTTTTCAGTGGCTGCAGGGGCAGAACCTGAATAGTTCAGAAAAACATCAGTCACACACCCTCACCATGATGGGCTGCAGGAATGCAGATTCTCTTCGAGGCTTGGGCTGGGCAGCCGGTTTTATTGGCTTCTGTATCTATTCACAAAGGTCGGTTTTGTATTCTGCATGCTCTAAGAGAGTTTAGCGGGCTGACTTCACTGCGTGAATGGACACTGGTCCCTTTCCGGAGGGGAGCCCAAGCGTAAGAGGCCTTTCAAAACAGATCCACAGTCAACCCCCCCACAAAACCTGGCCCCAGGAATGTAGGACATATGATGCTGAAGGACCATTTGCTGGGAGGAAGTGAACTGTAAGATGACAAAGTAAGGGTTCCCATGGAACACAGCTGCTTTCCCTGGGGCAGAGCTGCACACGAGTTCTAAAATGGGCATGGCCTCTTCCACTAAAGACCTTAGCATCAGGCCAGAAACCAGATAGTCCTAGTAAGTCTTTGCAAAGGCATGAGACTATTGCCAATGCTGTATGTTCAAAGTATCTAATAGACAGGATCTGGTTATAGCCAGAACTAAAGTGAGAACGTCTTCTTTTCAAATGTTAAGTCTCACATGTTCAGAGCAGCCACGTCCCAGATGCTAAGCCATAGATACATGTGTCCTTGGGACCCAACTCTGCCCAACGTCTCAGAGCAGCCTAGGTCTACTAGCCTGGAGGCCACTATGAAGTGGCTCTTAAGTCAGTAAAGGACTCTGGGAGACCCCAACACCTCATGACATGGTCATGGGCATGGCATGATAAGAGTGTTGGAAGGTAGGGATAAAACCCAAGAGACCAGAGGGTTCTCTCAAATCAGGTCAAAGGGATGCCCCACCCCTAAAAGTGATGGCCCTGCTGCATCTGTGCCTGCCAGAAGGACCACTCACTGGGTATGAGACAACCCACAAATATGTGATTTACCCGTGCTGGTGGCTGGAGCACATGAGGACCCAGGCTTCTGCAGACATCCACTGATGGCAGCAGGACACTCGGGGACATCTGTGGGCAGAGCTGCTGTTCGGGCCTTCTTCACTGAGGTCAGCCCCTCCCCTGTGGCCTACGGAGAGAGAAGACGCCCTTATCTGAGAGCAGAAACAGCTGCACTTTCCTGGAGCAGCCTAGAGAGGCTGAGGAGCTGTGACCAACAAGGCCGGATCTCACAGACACAATCACAGCAGCACTCACCTCCACAGCCTGTCCCCGATCCCTCTTCTGTGCACTGGCTTCCAGCAGCTTCTCCTCTGTCTCTAGACAGGGGCCTGCGGGTGTGCTGCTTGACTGTGGCTCCTTCTTCCTCAGGAATTCTGTGATTCCTAACGACCTGGCAACCTGAAGGGAAACGGGAGAAATGAACTCTGCTCAGAGCACTGTGTGCCAGGTGTGTTAATTCCTGTCTACACCTGAGTAGAGGCCCAAGACGCTCCTTTGTACAGTGAGGTGCAGTTAACAAGGAGAAAGATGACAGGATCTGTCAGTGGAGCTGGCATTCAGGCATCTGCGCTGGCCTGCCCTTGGGGTCCTGACAGGATGTGCCCTCAGCTGCAGCCACTAAGAGCACACCTGTGCACATTCTCTATGTCCCCTTTAAAAGGGCCCTGCCCGCCTCCCATCCTCCCTCCCCCCTCCCTCCCCCTCTCCCCTCTCTCCCTTCCATGTCTGTCTCCCTCTCTGTCTGTTCTGTCTCTTCCCCTCTCTCTGTCTCTGTCTCCTCTGCCATTCCTGCCCCCAGAGGCTGGTCTCCCCTCTCTCCTCCCCCTTTCCCCACTCACTTTCCCCCAATAACAACCCCCCACCCCAGCTGTCAGGTGCCATCTTTCTCCGTGTGCTGCTTTAAGTGGGGGTGGGACTGAATCTCTCCTCAGTGCCTTATGTCACTGCCTTAATGAATGCTAATGCAACTCACAGATCCACCTGCCTCTGCCTCCCGAGTGCACCCTCCACCCCCACCCCCACCCCCACCCTGCTTCTCTTCAATTCTTCCTGGTCTACCTCCCTCATCCACCTTACGCTCCCCTCCTCCCGCTCCTGAGTTTCAGGTGTGTGTGTGTGTGTGTGTGTGCGCGCGCGCACACGCACGTTTGTGCCTATGTACAAGTGTAAAGGTGTAGAGGCAGCTAATAGCCTTTATACTGGACTTTATAAAGAGAACACCCTTAGGTGTGAGACAGAATGAGAACCAGTAGGAAGGACAGACAACCGAACACGACTAATGGAGAGAGGGGCTTGGTAAGGGCAGCACTGCTGAACAGTAAGCCACAGCCACTGTTCTAAAGTGCATAACACAGAAATAAATCACAGCACGGGCGACTATTGTCATCTATGGAGAATCTGCACAGGGCTTTATCGTTTAAAAACTAAAGTTCAAAGCCTTGTTAAGAATATATTTATTCAGGGTCGGCAGAGCACTTACCTCCCATGGCTGAGTTCACTTCTCAGTACACATATGCGAGACATAGTGGTAAATACTGGAATCTCAGTACTCAGGAGGTAGAGGCAAGAAAATCAGAAGTTCAAGGTTGAGGCTGACCAGATGGCTCCATAGTTAAGAGTATTTGCTGAAGCTGGGCATTGGTGGCGCATGCCTTTAACCCCAGCATGGGAGGGTAACAGCAATATACAACCCCAGACCCAGGAGACCCGATGTCCTCCTCTTTGGGCACCAGGCACCCACACAGTTCACAGACATATGTGTGCTGGTTGGTTTTTGTGTCAGTGTGACACAAACCGAGACATACCCATGAAGAGGTAAAGTTAATTGAGAAAGTGTCTCCATAGAATTAACCTGTAGGCAAGTCTGTGGGTCATTTTCCTGATTCGGGATTGATGTGGGAGAGCCCAGATTACTGGAAAAGTGGTCCTGGGTGGTCTAAGGACGCAGGCTGAGCAACCAATGGGGAGCAAGCCAGTAAGCAACACTCCTCCATGGCCTCCGCATCAGTCCAGCCTCCAGGCTCCTGCCCCAACTTCCTCAGTGGTGCAGGAAGAGTTACAAGCCGAAATAAAACTAATAAAACCTTTCCTCCCAGATTTTGGTCACAGAGCTTTATCATTTCAATCAAAACCCTAATTTGTGCAGACAGGGTTTCTCTGTGTTGCTTTGGAGCTTGTCTTGGAACTCGCTCTGTAGACCAGGCTGGCCTCGAACTCACAGAGATCTGCCTGCCTTTGGCCTCCCGAGTGCTGGGATTAAAGGCATGAGCCACTGACGCCCAGCATATGTATTTTTTTAGAGTCCAATCATCCTTGTCTACATCGAAAATTCAAGACCAACAATGGTGATCAATAACAGCTGCCCAACCACCGAAACAAATAAACAAAAAAATCCCAAACCAGCACATAGCAACTTCGGTGGTCTGAATGAGAATGACCCCATAGCTCGTGTGTTTGCTTACTTCCAGTTGGTACAAACTGTCCGGGAAGAATTGGAGGTGTGGCCTTGTTGGAGGAGCTGTGTCAGTCGGTGTGGGCTTGAGGGTTCAGAAGATTCATGCCATTCTGTGTCCTGTCTGACTCCCAGGTGCCCCTGCCTTTGCTCCACCCTCGTGGGCTCTACTCACTGAAACCACAAGCCCATTAAATGCTTTTGTTTATCTTTTTAACTTACTTATTTTTGTTGTTCTGTTTTTTGAGACAGGATTTCTCTGTGTAGCTCTGGCTGTCTTTGGAACTCAGATATCCACTTCCCTCCACTTCCTGAGTGCGGGGATTAAAGGCATGCTCCTCCACCACCTGGCCTGGTGTTTTATGTCAGCGATAGAGGAGTGACTAAGACACACTTCCACAGCACAGACAGGTAGCTTGCCGTGGAAATCAGTATCATCTCAGCACCCATTCACTGCAGACAGGCAGCTCCATCAGGTTAGTGGCGAGGAAGGCAGCTATGAGCCACATAGCTTTGCTTTGCTTTTCTTTCCAAGACTTATTTATTTTAAATGTATGAGTGTTTTGCTCACATATATGTCTGTGCACCGTGTGCATGCCTGTTGCCCATGGAGAAGAGGGCATCAGATTCTCTGGAACTGGAGTTATAGATGGTTGTCTGAGTTCTAGGAATAGACCCGAGTCCTCTGCGAACAAGAAATGCCCTTACTGCTGAGCCGCCTTTTCAGGGCCCCACGCCTTTGTGAGCATTCACTCTACATGTGTAACCGTTTGTTTTAGGAAAGGAGACTATGTTGATCCTTGGCAGCAGTGTGAAAGCCAGAAAGTTCCACTTACGTTAGACCCAGGGGCATGCATAGGTCTGTCGGGGTTGGTAAGGGGCTTGCTTCACCACAGTCAGCTAGAGCTGAGTTCCAAAGTTTATCCAAACCAAGACAAACCATATTAGCCCCAATCTTAAGTGTGGAAAGAGCTCAACCTAGTCAAAGGTAGCTGGATGTTGAAATAAGAATTGTGTCTGAACAACCACAAACATAACCACTAGCCCTGTAGCATAGAGGAAGCCAGGCCCACAGAGAGAACATTCCACACTAAGGACAACTGCTGCTGTGGCTAAGAGCCCAGGGTCTGTTCCCAGCACCCACGAGGTGGTGCACAACCACCTACAACTCTCGTCTTAAAGGGTACAACACCCTCTTTTGTGCCCTCTGGGCACCAGGTACAAATATGGAGCATAAACATGCATGCAGGCAAAACACTCATACAGTTACATAAACCTAATAATTAAAAAAAAAAAAAAGAAGGAAGCTTGCAGTGGTGGCACACTCCTTTAATCCCGGCACTGGGGAGGCAGAGGTGGAGCTCTTGAGTTTGAGGCCAGCTGGGTCTACAGAGTGAGTTCCAGAACAGCCACAGCTACACAACACAGTGAAGCCTCAACTCGAAAAAACAGACAGATAAAAAAGAGTAAACATTAAAAAGAAAGGAAGGAAGGAAGGGGGGAGGGGGAGAGAGAGAGAGAGAGAGAGAGAGAGAGAGAGAGAGAGACAGCCCTGAACATCAGCATATGGGGTGTTGGCCCTGAACATCAGGGCACGGGATGGTAGTGTTCTCAATTTTTTTGAACTATTCCAATTTTCGGTGTTCTGTACTATACTAATAAAACCGAAACTTCACTCAACAGGGTAAATACGAAGATGTCTGACTAGCAGCAGCCTCCTTTGCTCACTGACTCCTTCCCTTGGCTAAGAGCAATGCTTTCCCCTCAAGATGGCACCTCATCATTGCTTATCTCCAGGGGCTCCTGAGAACACAGGCCCGAGCTGCTGAGGTAATCCTGACACAGCCTCTTCACCACGGCGTACAACTCTTCAAACTCCTTGTACACAGCAGGAAAGAAAGGCCTCGCTCCGCGACTTCTCTCAACCTTTGTGAAGGTGAAGATGAGCAGGGTTTAAAGCGAGGAAATAAAAAGCATAAGCTAACCCTGGGGACGGAGGGAGCTGAGGGCCTCACCCCAGGAGTGCTCGGTGGCCAGTGCTCCCTAGTGCTGCCCCTGTATGCCACCACCATGCCCAGCTCTGAGAGGCCAGGTTGGGGTGGGATGCCGGAAAACAAACCCTTAAGGTGAAGGCCACAAACCCCGGGGTCAGGGTGACCTCACAGGGGGCATACATTTGGCAAAAGGGCACCTTCGGCTCCTAAGGACACATTCCCACCTCCTAAGGCCACCATGGTTTCCACTGCTGCTCCCCACACAAAGTGAAAATAATCAAAGGAGGGACACAGACAGGTTCTGGGCACCAGATCTCTCTCCAGCTCTGTCCTGGGGAAGGAAAATAAGTACTCCAAACGGCCTGGTGTGTTCCAAAGGAAATAGGGAGGCAGCTCACTCTCGGTGTGTGTGCTCAGGCTAACCCTCTAACTCACCTTCACCAGAAGAAGTTCACACAGGGTCACCACCTGAGCCAGCTGAGGCAGAACCAATTCCACCAGCTCCTCCCGGCCACCCAGCTTGAGAACCTGCAGAAACAGAGTTAGACACCTTTAACTGGAGCTGGTGTGACTTGGGCAGAAACACAGTTAGACACCTTTAACCGGAGCTGGTGTGACTTGGGCAGAAAGATCCAGACTCCAGCTGTACCCAGTTGCACACTGTTGTCCAACACAGAACACCATGGTCAGTTCTAGCTTCAATCATGGCGCATCCCAGAAGAGGCTAACTATGTCAGGGGCTCGGGCACAGGAGAGAGCCACACAGCTACAGACAGCACCCAGGGATTGGCAGGCAGGCATGCAGGCAGGAATCAGCCCAGGCTAGGCTGGGAGAAGCCCAAGACCTGGATTTCCTTCCATGGTGGCAGATGGAAGGAGATTATGCTCTGTTAGAGGTGGGGTGTTGCTGAGTTGCCGAGGTTAACCTCAAGGTCTAGCCTCAAAGAGGCCCGCTGCCTCAGTATTACAGCATCGTATTACCTGGTTCTGGAGGGAGGGTAGGCAGGTGGTGGTGTAGAGAGGAGGGTGTGGTTCTGCAGGGGCCACAGCAACAAAAGGCAACACTATCATACCAGAAAAGGAAGGAGGTAAGGACTTGTAACCAGGGAGATGGGGAGGGGCCAGGGACAGAGCCTATCAGGTCCAAGGTAGGGATGGGGGTGGGTGGGGGTGGGCTGTGCAGAAAGAGGCTGAGCCAGGGTGGTGGTTTAGCCTATTAATCTCAGCACTTGGAAGGCTTGGGGAGGAAAGCTTGGCAGGGCCAGCCTGGGCTACAGAGTGAACTACATCTCAAAAACGAGAAAGAGGAAGGTAAGGAAGAGGAGAGGAGGGGGAGGGAGGACAGACAAGAAGGGATGAGCCTCTAGCCTGAGCACGCACAGAGCCACACATGCACACGCACTAAAGTTTAACTTGAACGTTCAAAAGCTCTTGGGAAAGGCAACCCGGTGGCTTCAGCTCTATGGGTGTGCAGGAAAGCCAGTTTGTACGTGTCACCTTGCCATGACTTCAGTCACCTCTCTAGTGTTAGCCAGTGAGAACACCCACCTGGCAGTTTTGCCAGCGACGGGCTTGGCTGTCTCCCCTGCTACTTGCCGGAGCGGCAGCTATGTTGAGTTTGTATAACCAGGGCCTGATATGTTATGGGCACACAGTTCATGTAAAATACATGTGAACTCCTTGGGGGAGAGGGGGTTCTCATATATGAATCAGAGTGGCCCTGTTCACAGCAGCCACTCAACTACAGGACAGAGAGGGTGCTGTCGGGGGACAGCGTCCCATGGCAGCCATTTTGCAGTCCGGGCCAGCCTCACTCCCCGGACTTCAAGTTCTGGCCCTGCCTGCTGCCTCCCCGAGCAGCTTGCTTTCCTGGAGTTCCCACTGCTCATCTGTTAGGGTGGGGTCCACAGTGAAATAAAGGAGGCTGGGGGGTTAGCGGGGACCAGGGAGGAGGTGGAGCTGAGCTGCGTCACTGAACCGCTCTGTAGATGGCACCGACTCTAATGCCACCCACTAACTCCAAAGGTCCCATCTCAAGTCTCTACAGTCGGTCATCCTAGGTTGCTGACACCACGGGAATGGCGTTCTGGGAAGATCACTCTCCAGAAATCCAAGTCTTAATCACTGAGCCTCGGCCTGGCGCTCCTGCCCTTTTGCTCCAGCCACACCCGGCTAGGGTGTCAGTGTTTTACTTTTCAGAAAGCTGACAGTGAGCCAGAGGTACTGGCTCTGGCCTGTAGCACCAGCACTCAGGAAGCAAGAAGAGGCCAGCGGGGGGGTGGGGGTGGGTGGGGGGGTGGTAGGGGTGGGGGGGGGCCTATGCATTGTGACCCTGCCCTAAACAAACAAGAAACAGAGAGAAGGCAGTAGGGGGTTGTTAGATACTGGCCCACACAAGCTGACTGCCAGTACCCTGTATTAAAATGAGTTACCTCCTGGAGCTGAGCTCCCCGGGGGACGCTCAGCCTCGAAGGGGCAGCAGGGCCGCTGTTGGGTTGGACGGTTCCACTCTGCAGGAGGCTGGCTGTGCTGGGCTCTGCCTGGCTTGCCCAACTTCCACTCTTAGGTTCTAGGTATTTCTCTGGTCCCAGAAGAGTCGGGGGACTTCTACTTTCTGGTTCAGGTACCACTGTCTCTTCAACTTCAACAGGCTTACCATTCTAGACAGCAGTGCACACCCAAAAATAAAACAAAATGAGATTTTGAAAAGTCATGCCTTATATTATGGAAACCTTAAAGCAGAAAAATGTCCAGTCAAATGCAATGAATTTCTATACTATTCTTCTTTAGTTAACACTCTTTAATCATAATGGTACATTCTAAACTTTCCCAACACTTGGGAGGCAGAGGCCAGGATCTCTGTGAGTTCAAGTTCAGCCCGGTCTACATAGTGAGTTCTGGGACAGCCAGAGTTACATAGTGAGACCTGTCTCGAGAAACAACAAAACAAAATAAACAAGAATGGAGTCCATGGGGAGAGAGGGACAGCTCAGGAGTCACTGGGTTCAATTCCCAGCACCCACATGGTGGCTCACAAACCACCTGTAACTCCAGTCCCTGGGATTCAATGCTCTCTGCTGGCCTCAGACACAATGCAGACACATGGTGCACAGGCATACGTGTAAGCAAAGCATCCGTAACACATAAAATTAATTAAAAGGAGGAAGGAAGCCACTAGGTGGGAACACTGTAATAGGGTAAGTTGGGGCCTTGGCTGGGGACCAAGGCCAGGAAGATGTGTTCACTGAATCCCAGAATCCCCACCTGCCCGAGCAGTCCCACCGTGAGATCCAACTGGGTTTGCCCCTTTCTGAGACCTAACTCAAAGGGAGCGATTATTTCTTCTTCTCTTTCGCCTTCCTCCTCCTCTCCTGTCTTTTCCTTTCCGGTAATGTCCAGAGCCTACGTATGACCTGAAGCTTCCTGAGCCACGCTCTGGGCTTCCTTACTGCTTTTTAAAGCTCCCGTCCCCCTTGTAGCTGCCCTCCGGGCCCCGCCTCATGCAGCATGGCTTTGCCCCTCCTCTGGCCTCCCTTACACACGGCTCTGACTCTTACAAGTTGCCTGCCCTGGGTTTCCTTTTAAACTCTAGTAAACTGCCAAGTTTTGTATTGTTCTTAAATTCATGTATTGATAAGACCAAGAATCCTAAGAGGGGACCCCAACTTCCCAGGCATCATTTGATGGCTCTGCTGGGACTCCCAAAGTTTCCCATAAACTCTTCTTTCCTGCCTTTTATTGCTTAATTGGCAGAAAAAATGAACTTGTTCCTGCACTCCTAGACAGCATCAATGGGATGTGCTGAAAACAAAACCAAAGGGCTGGAGTGCTGGTTAAGAGCCCTGGCCACTCATCCAAAGGACCTGGGTTCAATTCCCAGCACCCACATGGCTGTTCACAGCATCTGTGTGTTCCATGGGATCTGCATCCTCAGATAGCAGGTAAAAAGCCAGGCCTGGTGGCACATGCGTTTAATCCCAGCACTCCAAAGGTAGACCAAGCAGGTATCCCTGGGAGCTCCAACACAGCCTGATAAACAGAGAGAGTTCCAAGCCAACCAGGGCTACTCAGTGAGACCCTGCCTCAGAAACAAACGCGTAACTTGGGAGAGACAAATAACTGGCAGGTCCAGGTTGGTTAGTAGAGCTTGTTAACAATGGAGACTCTGGTTCATATTCTCCATGCAGACGAGCAATCTACAGCTGTCTTCTGGGGCTAGCCTCTGCTCTCCCTTGTCGAGAAAGGGCAGGGTGCCTTTAGTCTTCATAAATCTATGTCCTGCTTTTAGGCAAACAGAGGTAAAGCAGAAAGCACAGCACCCACTGCCCTGTCTTCAGCTCAATCACCCACTGCCCTGTCTTTAGCTCAATCATCCTTCATATTTAGGGAAGGCACCTTCTGCTGCCCAGCACACCCTGGCCCCACACAGCTGGAGACAGAGTGCTCTCTCTCTCTCTCTTTTTTTTTTTTTTTTTTTTTTTTTTTTTGAAACCAGACTGGTCCCAAACTCAAAGATCCTCCTGCCTCTGCCTCCCAAGTGCAGGGATTAAAGGTGTGTGCCCCTACCCAGCTCACAGTGGCTTTTCAAAAGTCGATGCTTTCTAGGACTAGAGAGATGGCTCAGTGGTTAAAAGCAAACATGGCCACCAGGCCTGAGCTTGGTTCCCAGGACCCACACCAAGTGGCCCATGTACATATCCACTGGCACCCTGCTCTGCAGTGCAGATTTTGAAGCCAAAAGACTTGGCCTGACTCCACTGTGAACTAAACATACAAGTGCTGGGCTCGGGCTTGATCCAGGCCCCTCTGGGCCTCACTGCAGCACCTCACTTAGGGGGGCTCATTAAGAAAATGTACAGAGCTGGGTGGTGGATCTCTGTGAGTTCAAGACCAGAGCCAGGCTCCAAAGCCACAGAGAAACCCTGTCTCTCAAAAAACAAAAACAAAAACCAAACAAACAAACAAACAAAAAAACACAAAACCCTGTCTCTCAAAAAACAAAAACAAACAAACAAAAAAAAAATGTACAGGAGCTGGGTGAAGCAGCCCAGGCTTTGAATCCCAGCACTGGGAGGTAGAGGCAGGAGGATCTCAGAAAACAAAATGTACAGGGCCAGGGGATGGCCCAGAGCACCTTTCTGGAAGCGGAAGTCCTTACCACTAGGAGATGAAGAGGAGAGCTACAGTGAATGTGACTGATACTCTGGCACAGGACTGCCCAATGCCTACAGAAACGGTAGCTGTACAGTTGGCACCAAGGCTAAAGACATGCTAACACTTCTAACCCCACAAGGCTGCCCCAGGACCCTACCACCAGGCCCCAGGACATCTCTCCTGGGCCCAAACGTTCTGTCGAGATCCCAGGGTACTAATTAATCAAACATTAAAGTAGCCGTCGGTCCACTGCAGGGAGAAAGGCCTCACTCAGCAGGCAGCGCTATGGAGTATGCCCAAACCTGACCTTTCCCACATTCCTCTGTCACGTGAGTGGTATTACAGACCAGCCATGGCCATGTCCCTCCAAATGTCCTCACCACGAGGGCCATGGACAAAAGAATCACGCCTACCACTTGGTCAGCATCAGCCTAACAACTGTGGGTGTGGGACCCTCAGGACCTGGGTCCCGAGTCCCATGTGACACTTAAGAGTCTATTGAAGGGTGGAGAAAGTGCAGAGATATGGGCTCCACCGCCAGACAAGTGTTACCTGTGGGATCCGCCAGGCCAACCCTGCCTCTGCCTCTTCCGTGCAGATAGTGGCGGGTGTGTACAGCGCGGGAGAAGGCAGGCCTCTGGTCTGTGAGCCCACGCACCCCAGGGCCAGGCTCCCGTTAGCTTTCTGTGACAGCGACATCTCAGGCTCCGGCTGGCCATGGCCTGGGTTGAGTTTAAAATGCCTCGCCAGCCCCCCCTTTCCTATGTAAGACTTCTCACAAGCTTGACACCGAAAGGCCTTGGGCCTCAGGGCACACCCCTCAGTGCCAAAGAGGCCGCCCTTCTCCGTCTGTTCCTCCTCGTCCACACTCAACTCTGAGTAGTCATCAGAATCTGACAGGTGCCCATCTGCTAAGTCCTCCGTTTTGATGAATTTATAATCTCTGGCTTTATATTTGGGAGGCCGGGATATGCGTCCAGATCGTGTCTTCACCTTTAAAGATTTCTTCAGCTTTTCAGTATGCGCTGTACGCAAGCTGGAAATGAGCAGGTGTGCCGAACTGGATGGGACGGGAGGCCCAGAGGCTGCCAAAGGGCTCAGGGTGACGCCTTGCCCATTTGTAGCCTGAGGGGCCCTGGCTCTCCTTGCGGGGACTGGCTCAAGGGCTGGCAGTGGCTTCTGTACACGCACGGGAGGAGCAGGGGGCTGAGGGGAGGCTCCGAGGGAGCACATCTGTGAGCCAGCCCTCCCCAGGGCCTGCACCCTGCGCATGCGCAGCTGGGGGCTGGGGGCGCACAGCCTCAGGCGGCAGCTTCCAGGTCGTTGGCTTCCAGGTCTTGCTGTTTCAGGTTGGACGGCGGCCAGAGGGGGCATTGGCCCTTCCTTACTTTTTGTGTCGCCGGATGTCACCTTGACACAAATGGCTTCAAGTTGCTTAGACACAAAAAGAAAAGAAACATTACAATTCCCAACAACTGTGCTGCCTTCATCCCGCTACCACCCGACAGTTGTGAGCTACCTAAAGCGGGTGCAGGGACCCGAACTTGTGTCCTCTGAGAAAACAGTCCTCTCTTAACCACTGAGTCATCTCTACAGCAACCCCCGCCCCGTGTGTGTGTGTGTGTGTGTGTGTGTGTGAATGTAAGCTCTGTCTGTGTGTGAATGTAAGTTGTGTGTGTGAATGTAAGCTCTGTGTGTGTGTGTGTGTGTGTGTGTGAATGTAAGCTCTGTGTGTGTGTGTGTGTGTGTGTGTAAGCTGTGTGTGTGCAGGCGCCTGAAACTGCCAGAGCAGCTCAGACCCTGTAGCTGGAGTTGTTCCAGGTGCTAAGGTGGGTGCTGGGAACAGAACTAGGTTTTCTGGAAGAGCAAAAGACATTCTTAATCATGGAGCCATCTCTCCATCCTTGACAGATTAAAAAAAAAAAAAAAAAAAAAAAACAGCTTCTAATAGTATCAAAGGGGACTGGAGAGATGGCTCAGAGATTAAGAGCCCTGGCTGCTCTTCCAAAGGAAGACATGACAGCTCACAAACAACTGTCACTTCATGCCCAGGGTATCTAAGGCCCACAGACATGTAGCAGGCAGAACACCCACAAGCATGAAATTTGTGACAATGTATTTTATGTGCACTGCTGTTTTGACTGCATGTGTGCTTGTGTGAGGGTACGGGATGCCCTAGAACTGGAGTTATGAGCCGCCGCATGTGGTGCTGGGAACTGAACCTGGGTCCTCTGGAAGAGCAGTCAGTGCTCTTAACCTCTAAGCCATCCCTCCAGCCCCCGCATAAGAAGTTTTTAAGAGAACAGTATCTTAGCCAAGTATAATAGCACACATCTTTAATCCCATAATTCTGAAGGCAGAGGCAAGCAGATCTCCGTGAATTGAAGGTCAGCCAAGGGTACATAGTGAGATCCTGTCTCAGAAACTAAAAATAGTATCATCCCAAGTTGGGGTGCTGACATACATACTTGTAACCTCAGCATGCAGGAGGGCAAGGCAGCTGAATTGCCACAAGTCACGGATTGTCCTGAACTACATGACAATAGATTATGTATTATCTCAACATCAACCATCAAGACGGTAGACAAGGCCATCTCCTGCAGCCTGACTGCATTTTCCAAGATTTCTTTCCAGGAGCACAGCTAGATATAAGGTTGCAGTTTCGGCTTCTTTTCTTTTTAATTCAACAAAAACTGTGTATGTTTTTTGACCCAGTAATTCACTTTCTGGATTCCATTTAAAAACAAAAACAAAAAACTTAACTGTGCAAAAAGATGTATGTCCTAGATTTGAGGCAACACTGTCTGTCACAGCCAGATACCTACCAAAGCAAAGTGTTGCCTTTGACAGCATCCCTTTGACAGTAAACAAGTGTTTACTGAGCGCTGGGAGAGACAACCGTGTGTATAGCAACAAGCAGACTAGGAAGAGGCCAGGAGCAGGTCAGGGCAGCAGGAGAGAAAGGTCCCTGCTCTTGCAGAACAGAAATAACTAGCATTTTTCTTTCCAGACAGAGGCAATCACCATCCAGGCCATAGGATTATTCCCTCAGCACAAGACTGGTGGTCACTTGGTATGGGGTAGAGGGCTATTCTGTGCACTGTAGAATACGGGGTGGTGTCCCTGCCTTGACCCGCCAGATGCCAGTAGCATCCCCAGGTGTGACAAATTTTGTGTTTTTCCAGGGGCTGGGGATGCAGCTCCAATGATTTGAGACTAGCACACCCTCTACAGACCCAATCTTCTACCACTGGGAGGTTGGTAACAGTGTCGCCCAGGGCAGAACTACCACTCAGGTCAAGCTGGAATGCCCCCTTGCTCACATGCCTGGTGCACCACTACAAACAGCAGACCCTCTTTAGAATTATAGCATGCGAAGAAGTTTGTAGAGTAGGGGCAGATGTCCCATGAGCCCACGGTCCCTGGGCTGCTTGTGACTCAATGACACCTAGCTTAATGTGCACATCTTCTAGGACTACCGTGTCTCACTTCACTGTAAGTCACCCAGGGTATTTCTCCAAGCTTAGGATATTCCAGATATCTTAAGAATGCGCGCATGCGCGTACGTACGTGTGCGCACACACACACACACACACACACACACACACACCCTTGTTCCTTGTTTGGAGAAACTGGTCTAATTTATTGATCTGATATCCTGACGGGTTTACCAAGTGTGCCAGTGAGTGTAGCATTTGATACTTTGTTCTGTTGTCTATTTCCTTCAGCAGAAGTGTGTAAAGTCCTCTGCCATCCATCTATAGACATCGGCTAAGCTCTGGCCTGGCCCTTCCTCAGTCCCTACAGGTCAAAGGTTTCACTGATCATTCTAAAAGCAGACAAGAGTCTCCAGAGATAGGTAAGACAGACAACAATGTCACAGTGACACAACAGAGGCTGTCCCAGAAGAGATGTCTCTAAGGTACCTTGAAGGTTGCAATGAATTCTGTCAGGCAAGCAAGACACTTTGGGAAACAAGCGAACCCACGAAGTGTGGAAATCTGACAGGTGTTGGTGGGACTGGTGTGCCTGTAGGGCTGAGAACAGGGAAGGTGGAGGCCAAAGGCCCAAACCACCACAGGGGACTGCGTTCATGGTGAGCCAGGGCCCTCTGTCCTGGGTGTGATCAGCGAGGCCCAACTGCGCCTGTACCCTGCCTCTCCTCTGCTGAACTCCCAATCGGAACCCATCCTTGCCAATCTAGCGCAGACACTGCCTTTTCAACACCAACTGGCGTTCAAGACAGAGACTACTCCTTTTCCTGAAGGTGTTCAGTTCCTTGTATCTGCAGGTTTTGACCTTGGTTGGATATCGTCTGGGTCATACTTCTCTTCCTGCTAGTTCACAGACACCTTAGGGCAAAGTGCATGTCTGCCAGGCTGAAAGTTATCCACAGCCCAGGCCACAAAGGTACATTCAGCTCTCACCATTTCTGATAGAGCAGCTACCAACTGCAATTCTACTAAGCTAACTCTAAGTCTCCTTTTATTTGACAGAAATTATGTTATTACCCTTCCCAAAGCTGTCATATCAAATGCAAAGTTGTGGCCATATTTAGATGCGTGGTGAAGACGCAGGCTCCAGCGTACGGCCGCCTGAGAGACACTGGACAAAGGCACTTAACCTTTTTGAGCTGCTTCCTCAGGGGCTGGAAAAGCTCAGCTGGTGATGTCTAACTAACCCCAGAGTAACCTGGAGTTCAGCCCCCGCACTGCACAGCCCTGGTGTGGTGGTGCAATCTGGAGCATGTTGAGGAAGTATTAGAAATTCAAAGTCAGTCGGGCATGCAGCACTCAGGAGGCAGAGGCAGGTGGATCTCTATGAGTTCGAGGCCAGCCTGGTCTACAGAGCGAGTTCCAGGACAGCCAGGGCAGTTACACAGACAAATCCTCTATCAAAAAACAAAAGGTGGGAGGCATTTAAAGTCTTCAGCCACACATCCAATTTGCAGCCAGCCTGAGAAATGAGCCCTAATTTCCAAGAAACAAACAAAAAGCAAAACGCCATCATGTGGTTGCTGACACCCACAACACTCAGAGAAAGTGTGGCCCAGGGCAGAGGCTGTGACAGGAACTGCCCCTTCATGGAGGCTCTACGACTGACTTGTGGGCCATACTCTGACCCAGACTCTGACTCCAGGGCCTGTGGGGAGACACCTGTTCCCACCACCTTGCACACCAAAGCCAGCCACCCTTCCTGCAAACAAGAAAGCCAATGGCCAAAGAGGGTCATTCACTGTTCTAAATAAAAAGTGCGTCAGGGAGCTGCAGAGATGGCTCAGTGGTAAGAGCACTGGCTGCTCTTCCAGAGGTCCTGAGTTCAATTCCCAGCACCCACACGGTGGCTCACAACCATCTGTAATGAGATCTGGTGCCCCCTGCTGGCCCGCAGGCTTACATGCAGGCAGAACACTGTACACATAATTAAAAAAAAAAAAAAAAAAAAAGGAGCGTGCTGTCAGGAAGAGCCATGCTGCCTTACCGAACTCTAGCAACACGCCTCCAGTCTTGCTCTTTAAAGAGTTTATTATATTGTGGGGGGGGGGTGAGGGGGACAACCATGTGGAGTTGCTTCTCCACTCCCAACTTTTCATGGATTCTGAGGACCAAGGTGAGGCTACCAGGCTTCGGCAGCCTTTACACACCTAGTGCTTTGCCAAGCTGGGCCGTCCTGCTGGTTCAGCCGTCTGTGGGCGCCCATAAAGATGGCTGCGCTCCATCTTGGCACCAGCAGAGTTCAAAGCAGTCAGCAAGTCACAAGACCTAAAGGTCAAAGGTATGGCTACAGAAGGATGTTTCTGCTGTCTTATTCTAAATAACGACAGACCTGAACTGAGGTGTGGCTGCTCCTGACCTCAAGGCTAGGGAACAAGAAGTTGGAGCCGAGGTGTGGGTACTGAACCCTTAGAATAAGTGAGGAAGAAAAGTCTGTTTGTTTCTTATGCATGATACTGTGTTCCCCTTTTTGGATAAGGTAAAAATAAACTCGTGGCATTTCAGTATTGGCTGATCTGCCCTCCTGACCTTTATGCTGTCTCTTCTTTATCGTCTATAGCCAGCCTTTCCCTCATCCACACTCCCCCACTCAGGTATGGACTTGGGGCCGCTAGGCTGGCTCCGATCGCAGACCCGCAAAGACCGCTCCTAGCAGTCCAGACTTTATTTTTTATTTAAACTATTCCCTGAACCGACTGTTCACTCTCGACAACCAACTGGAAGCAAGCCTGCACAGCCAAAAAAAAAAAAAAAAAAAAAAAAAAAAACCCACGCAGAGGACCGCAGGACCGCACCGCCTACCGATTCCTCTGGTGGAAGTGGCTCTCCCTTTTGGCCATTCTGCAGTGAGCTAGCTGTGTTTGGCCGTTTCCGACGCCAGCGGGTAAAGGGGGTGTGCTTTTCCGCCTGCAGTTTGGGGAGCTGTCCCGGGAGCGTCGGCGCGCCGATCTGCTACTTTACCGGACAGGGTACGACGCTGGGGTTTGCAAACGAGCGGCGGCAGCGCTCGCTGAAGCCCGGGTCCACCCCCTAAAAGTGCGCGTGCGCTGAGCTACCCGCAGGCGCGGGGACGCGCTTTCCCTGTGTGGGGCCCGCCGCGCGCACGCGGACCGACGGACACAGGCCTGCAGGGAGCGCGCCCGCCCCGAGTCCCCCCCCCCCGCGGCGCCTCACCTGGGGCGGCAGCGGGCGCGGGGCCCCGGCGTCCCGCGGTGGCTGCGCCCGAGTCACCTGCTCCAGGACCCGCCGCAGCTGCTCGGGGTCCAGCGGCGCCACGCGCACGGCGCTGTGGCTCTGGCCGCGAAGAGCCGAACCCCCGCCGCCGCCGCCGCCGCCACTCCCGGGCTCCGCTTCCGCGCCCGCCATGGCGGCCGAAGCGGGGACTCGAACCCGCATAGCCCGTGGCGGCGGCGCGGAAGTGCGTCACCCGCCAAGGGGCGGGAACTACGAGTGCCCCACAGGCCAAGATTATCTCCGGGGCTCGGAAGCGGGAGTTGTGCTGAACTGCTGCCCCCTCGCGGTGGACGCCGCTGCAGCCTTCCGTGGTTCGAGCCTCAGCTGTCACCAGATCCGCGACGGTGTCTCGGATCCCCGTGCAGCTCTTCCTCGTTCCAGAGACCCCGACCTACACTAATCCCTAACCCTAAAGTTCGAACATCTGTCTAACCCCATTTGGTGAATTTGGGGCTACAGGCACGCCCTGCCACTCCTGCTTTAAGCGGTGCTGGAGCTCAAGCCATTGCTTTCTGAATGCTAGGACAAATACTCCGCCAAGCTAAGATTTAAATTTTGCTTTTTTCGTGAGTGTCGGGACAGGCTCCAAAGCTACACAGAGAAAGAGAAACCCTGCCTCGAAAAACCAAAAAATAAAAATAAATAATAAAATTATTTAATTTGTTATTATTACCTTTTTTACTTGTCTCTCTCTTTTCTTTCTTTCTTTCTTTTTCTTTCTTTCTTTCTTTTTCTTTTTTTTTTTTTTTTTTTTTTTTTTTTTTTTGAGGTCGCTTGTGGCGACTCTGTCTCAGCCCTCTGAACAACACCTGGTTAGTAGCCATGCTCAACAGGCTAGAAGCCCTGCAGGCCTGAGTCGTTTTTTACAGTTTTACAGTTTACTCAACTGAAGATAGTTCAGCACAGTAAAGAATTTCGTGAACAAAGGTTAACATAGATTTAGGATCAAGGGTTACAGGAATGACAGACAGATGCTCTGGAGGAGATTGAGGCACCCCAGTATGTTCAGGGAGCTTCTCGAGAGGGGGTCCGCTTAAATGCCTGAGCAGTAGCCATAAATTTTGGGGCTCTCAAGTTACATTCCAAAAGGTTGCCCGAGGAAACCTGTTTTCCTCCTCAATAAATGAGTTCAGAGGGTGGCTCTGGGGCCTTTGATGGGACTGGTCAGATAAAACCGTGGGTCACAGGATTGCACAAAGGGGTTAATATGTTTCATGTGTGTGCAGTCTCTTGTGAGGTTCCTAGAAAATTGCAGGTTTACACATGGGAAAGGGAATAGGCAGTGTATGCTTAGGCCATGTACATGATTTATTAGTCTTGACATTGCTTATGGGGAGGGGGTGTCGAGACAGGGTTTCTCTGTGTAGCCCTAGCTGCCTTGGTACTCCAGTTGTAGACCAGGCTGATCTTGAACTCGGGAGATCTGCCTGCCTCTGCTTTGAGTGCTGGGATGAAAGCCACGTGCCACTACACCTAGCTCTTAACATTGTTATTTTAACCCTTTCTATATAGAAGGAGTATTCTCTCTATGTTAGCAGCCTTCACAGTAATTACTGATTATGCTAGAATCATTGCCTATTAGTTGGCAAGAGGCTTCAGCTGGACTCTGGAGCGATAGGGTTTAAGCAGAGGGGGTTTTATTAGGGAAAGGGATCATGGGACAGGAGCAGCAGGAGAGGGAGGGAGGATGGGAGGCGGGCAGAGCCCTTTTAAAGGGAACATAGAGAATGTGCACAGGTGTGCTCTTAGTGGCTGCAGCTGAGGGCGCATCCTGTCAGGACCCCAAGGGCAGGCCAGTGCAGATGCCTGAATACTAACACCGGGTGCCTTCAGAGGCCAAAAGAAGATATAGGCTGCCCTGGAACAGGTAGACGTGGTTGTGGGCCACCGTGTGGGTGCTGGGAATGGAGTTCAGGTCCTCTGTAAGAGCAGCCAGTGATCTTAACCACTGACTCACCTCTGCAGCCCCCAAAACGTTTGCATTTTTAACATTCATACTCACAGGCCTCCTAAGTGTTTATCCAGGGTGACCCGTCCCACACCTGCCTGCCTTTTAGACTGTGCACGTCTTGAGGACAGGAATAAAATATTGTTCATTGGGTGCCTCACACAAGCTCTGGCCTAAAATACTCGGGGGATGATGGACGGGTGGACAGGTGGATGGTTAATGGAAATATAGGCAGATGGGTGGATTGTTGGACGGGTGGATGGGTGGGTGTTAATGGAAATATAGATGGACGGGTGGGTAGATGGGTGGGTGAACGGGTCCGCATGCCTCACACTCCAGGTTTGTTCATCCAGCTCCACTACCTCCCACGCCCAGTGTAACTTCTGTGTGTGCGTCAGCTCCCTGAGTAGGGCAGGCAGCCAGTGGAACACACACTTATTAAGTCCCTGCCCTGGGAAGTTTGGAGTCTGGCGATTGCAGCTCAGTGTGGTGACTCAGTGGAAGCCGCAGGACAGGGGTCTGGGCACAGCCTGGGGTAGAGCAGCCCCGAGTCTCACATCTCAGGGGTGGGGGCAGGAGGCTCTCGAGTTTAAGGTGGGCCTGGGCTACGGAAAATAAAGGTGGATTTTTGTTAAACACCGCTGACCGACCGGACCAGACACTGGAGGGAGAAATGTGTTCACTGTCCTCCGTCTCCAAACGGAGAGCCAAGAGGAAGAAGTGTGCAGTCGAAAATCTGACAGGAGGCAGAGACAAGCGACGGCTTCTAGACCCGCGGGGTTAGGGTGACTTGGCCGGCCCTGCCGCGACCGCCAGCTCGGGCCGTGGTGTTTTCCGCAAGAACTCCGTGAATACCGAAGTCTAGCCGGCGACGGGGAGCTCCAGAACCTTTTGATTCGCGTAGTCGGGCTACGGCTTCCCAGGAAGAAGCTGCAGGCAGCCGCTTGCATCTTCAGATTTCTTGTAAAATTAAACAGCTTGGCCCGTACGGGGATCGAACCCGCGACCTTGGCGTTATTAGCACCACGCTCTAACCAACTGAGCTAACCGGCCAGACGAGCGCTCTGCTGTCTCAGATCGCCTACAAGGTTTTGAGCCGTCTTGTGCCCAGCTGCTTAGCTCCTCCTCTCTCGAGTCCCACGCGCTCCCGCCTCGCCCGAGCTCTTTCTCTCTGTGTTGTCCCTGGACCAGATGGGAAAACTGTCACCCAGGCTCCAGGGGAGGCGGCCTCCTGCAGAAAACCCAGACTTACTTCTCCATGGAAAATGCCAGGTGCCTGTCCGAGGCCTGACGCCGCAGTGAGGAAGTTTCCAGGTCAAAGCTCCGAAAATCATTGCAGCCAGAAATCTAGTGAACCTGCGCTGTTAGTGTGGCTAAATCAAACCTAGAACACGGAAATCCAGACAAAAAGCAAAGAGCCGCCGAATTCCCCAGCATCCAGTCACCAGCAGCAGCTGCTAGGACCCTGGCTTCCTTCCTGCGGACCTGAGTCCTGTGCTCTCTCTCTCTCTCTCTCTCTCTCTCTCTCTCTCTCTCTCTCTCCCTCTCCTCTTCTTTCTTCCTTCTTTCTTTCTCCTTCCCGCCTTCTTTCTTGTCTGATCATTTACTTGTTACTCTTGAAGACTTATTTTTGCCTGGACTCAGAATAGCTCTAGGAGAGGGCAGCCTGTGACTCCTGGAAATCCGTTCCTGGCGATTTTCTTCGGCTTCCTCCATTCTCTTGGCCGAAAGTTTAGCGTATTCTGCAGCCTCCTCGCTTTTTTTAGAGCTTGTACGAAGCTTGCGTTCATTGTCCACTCCACTGAGTTTCTGACAGTCGGTGGCTGGGAAGATAGATACTCTGCTTCATCTCGACCGGGCCTGACATTCGCATCTGGCTTTCTTTCAACTCGCGGCAATTCTCCTGCCTCCGCCTTCCGAATACTGAGAAGCAGGCGCGTGCCACCTCGCCCGGCTTGGAAATACCATAATGAAGTGTTCCTAGGACTGAGCCACCACCCCGGCATTTTAGTGTGAATTCGGGTAGCCCCATGTCCACAGTAACACAGTTGTTTGTTTGGTTATTCGAGACAGGTTTTCCCTGTGGCTTTGGAGGCTGTCCTGGAACTCGCTCAGTGGAGGCAGGGGGATCGGGAATTCAAGGCGGTGCAGGCGAGTCCGAGGCCACGTGACTTTTGCGCTTGCCTTTACACCAGACTTCTGCAAGCTCCCACTGCCGCTGACCGCAGGCTTCCCTCTGCCTCTATCCACCTCCAGGTGTTTACTGTGAATCATCTCCCATCACCAGGTCTTGCTCTTCAGAAGGCCACAGCCAAGCGGAGCTCAACGGATACTGGGATTTCGAGCCCGCTTTCCCAAGAGTTCGGTCGGATCCTGGTGGGGGGTGGGGGCACTAAGCACCCCGGCGCCCGGGGGCGGGGGGAGGGGCTCCCGGTGACCCGGACATGGCTAGGCGCAGTGATAATAGTGGGCACTAGGGGGCACCCGAGATCCACGGAACTCAGAGGCCATGGACTAACCGAATGGAGCCAAACATTTTCTTGAGGCGGTGGATGTGTGTCTTTATATGCAGCATTTTAAACAGACCACTTTCTGAATTTTTACTTGTTCGCTTTTTGGACAGTATCATATAACCCAGGCTAGCCTCATAGATGATAATAGCACTGGACTGTTTCTCCTATTTCCATGCCCCAGTGGCGGGGAATATGTGCACTCACTGCCGCTGATGATTTTATGCCATGCTGTGCTGGGGGCTGGGCTGTGCCCAGGGCTTCATGCCGGCTAACCAAACTATTGAAGGAGCTCACCTCCAGCCATTTATTCCTTTCTGGTAGATCTTTTTGTGTTGTCCTGTGTTTCGTAGCTTAGATCTGACCCGATTGTTGGATTCCTTCTTAAAGCGTGGGATGGGAGAGCCGTTGTATTGCTTTGCTTTGGTGTTAGTTGCTCCTGGTTGCAGACTCTCTTCCCGCTTTAACCTGGCTTGCTTGTTCTCCATGCCCACTCATTGCCCCAGACGTGACGTCACCTGGCATGCCTTGAGTCCCCTCCCTGCTTGCCTGTTTTGGGTCTCCTTGCTCCCCATCCCAGGGTTTTGCCTCTCTCGCTTACTGTCCTTTGGACTCTGGACATCCATCATGCACTGGGGGTCATGCACAGTGTTCAGTCCCCTTGCCTGTATGATCACATTTTGTTTCTGCTCCACTGGACAAATAACTGGAGAATTCTAGAATATAGAGATCACTATCCCTCAGCAATTAGAAGGCCACATTCTTGTCTTTTATGACCTGTGAAATGTTCAACGCCGTGCTGGAACCCAGTCTTTCGGATATGGCCAGCTTTTCTCCTTAACTTGTTGCTGCCATTACTTTGTCACTATCTGCATGTTGGTGCGGGACTTTTCGTGTTTAGAGCCCAAGTGCACAGAGCTGGCCCCGGGAACTGAGCAGGTGCTCACCTGTTGTCTGGAATGATACCCTCACTGTGCTGAGTGTTCCTTGGCCTTGAACTCACAGAGACCCACCTGCCTCTGCCTCCCGAGTGCTGGGATTCCAGGCGTGTGCCACTGCCGCCAGCTCTATTTACATTTTTTAATTTTGACTTAAGGTCCTGGAACACACAGACACGAAGGGAACAAACATTTTCCATATAGGAAATGAACTCCTGCTTGTTAATTCCGAGGTGGGGTGGGAAGAGAGACAGAAAACAAAAAGGGAAATTAGAATTTAAATGTCTCATTGCATAACATGTGCTCTATCAAAACTGTTAGAGAATGAAAAGAAAAAGTAGACAGACAGAAGGGTTTTTCAGATGTTGCTTCTAATTGCTAGAATAAATCAGTTGTCCCTGGGACCCATGTGAAACACATCCCTCCGGGACATATGTACATTGCTGAAGCCCTTTTTTGCACAATGTCCTCTGAATGTATCGGAAGCCCAGGGAGTTGGAAGCCATGGACTGGCATCTGAGCACAGGCAGACACTGGTAGGTGAGCTTGACAAAGCCCTTTGCCACCCTGAGCGTCCAACAATAGACCATATGGCTTCTGCAGCCTATGTCAGAAAAGCTCTTCTGTCATTTACCTATTTAATTGGCTCAAGGGGATGTCCTGCATCCTCGATACGGCATAAAATCAGGTCTGCCCCTAATCAGACAGGAATGTCAGACAGGTGACGGGTGCGATGCTCCTTGGTCATTGAACAAACATTTGTTGAGCACTTGCTGTGTGACAGACCCTGTCAGGCCGAAGGCACCAGAGACAAAAAAAAAAAAAAGGAAAAAAAAGGAAAAAAAGAAAAAAGAGACATCTCATGCAATGTTCTCTGCAGCCCTTTGGGATGAGGATTTTTCAACCTCGTTTTACAATAACAAGCATTTAGGGAGCTGGTCTAGGTGGAGCACGCCTTTAATCCCAGCACTTGGGAGGCCCAGGCAGGCGGACCTCTGTGATTTCGAGCTCAGCCTGGTCTACAGAATGCGCTCCAGGGCAGCCTGAGCTACACAGAGAAGCCCTGTCTCGAAAAAACAAAACAAACCATACACGCTCCCCCCCAAAGACAGAGAGAGAGAACTTAGAGATCGTCGTGATTACCCTGCTTTTCATTATACCCTCAATGCCTGCAACAGTGCTTGTAGCAAACTAAATGTTTGCTGAAAGAGTAACTTACAAGTGACATAGCTGTCGCTATAAACCAGGCTGGTAGGTGTTGGCACAGGACAGGCGCCAGGGGGTGCTGCGGTCAGTTAAATCTCCCGGACGTAGTTCCGCATCGCTGCCTTGTCAGCAGAGCTGGGAAGAGCCACCCCGCCAGGGTCGCCTACTCACTACGGTAAGAACTTGTACTTATATTTAAACCAGCGAGAGCGGTTGCTTAGCGACCAAACCTGGGCGGCGGGCCGCGATGCGCATGCGTGGACGGAAGGCGCCCCCCCCCCCGCGCGCTTGCCTTCCCTTCTGCGCATGCGTGGGCGGCTGCCTCAGGAACGCTCCCTCTTCCCGGGGTGGGGGGTGGGGTCCGGCGGTTGCCAGGGCGACAGGAACACAATATGGCGGCCGGATCCTAACGCCCGCCAGCCAGGGACCACCGCGAAGGTCCTCGAGCCGGAAGCCGCCTCAGGAAGGCAGAAGGCCGGTACCAGTCTCCGCGTGTGCTCTCGGCCCGGGCCGGCCGGGGCCGTCGCCGCCATCCGCGTTAGGATGAAGAGTGAGTGAGTGGGGCCGGGGAAGGGCCGAGGGTCCCGGCCCGAGCGGACCAGGGCAGGGCGGGCCGCGCGTGTCCGCTTCCTGAGCCATCCTGTCAGCGGGGCTGAAGACCCTCGCCTAGAAGTCGGGAAGCCAGACAGTCATTCCAGAAAATAGAAGGACTGGGGAGGGAAAAAAAAAAAAAGCAAAACAACAAAACTGACTTGTTGGGTCTCGGGGGTGACTTACAGCCCAAAACGGGTCGGTTTTGTTGGGAGGGCCGCTTGGTTTCCGCAGCTATAGAGTTAGTTAGTGATTGCCTTTGATAGCTGGAGCCAGAGGTGCAGGAAAATTACAGCTGCTTTTACTATGAAGATTAGCTTGTTACGTGTAGTTATAATATTAAATTTACATTGTATTTTGATTGCCGTGCAGTAATTTCTATGTACTGTATATTACATAACATTAAAAAAAATAACAAGTGATCTCATTCACCCTTTATCAGGCATTTTCATATCTTCTGTCCAATAGTGTTCATGTGGTTATTTTGTTTTTTTTGGGGGGGGGTTTCTTTGCGATCGGGATCTCAGCCCAGGCTGGCCTTGAACTAGATAGGTAGCTGAGACTGGCTTTGAACTCCATGTTTCAAGCGTTGGCATTATAGGCTGAGCTACTATGTCCAGCATGTTCATCATTTTGATTAATGCCTCGCCAAGCTGCAATTAAAATGCACAGCCTACGAACATCTTTACACTTTTCCTTCTTAGAGCACGCTTGTAGACACATATGTTATTCTGTAGTCATGTTGTCCCTCCCAAGCATTTCATTTTCAAGTGTGCAGAAGAATTAGAAGGGTGCTCTGCATATTTCTAAATCTTTCATTATTTTGTCTTTGTGTGCTCATTTTGTTCTGGTGTTCTGTTTGCTTGGCATATTTGTTTCTTTCCACTGTAGACATAATGACATTTCACCTCTACTAATTCAGCTAGTGTCTACTTAAGGTCTGGGGACTTGAGGCTAGGGAGATGACTCAGTGGATAAAGGGCTTGCTGTACCAGAATGAGAACTTGAGTTCTGTCCCCTTTGGCCCCCAGAAAGCCAGAGGCGTGGAACCTGTCTATAGCCCCTGTACTCCACCAGGATGGGACGTGGAGACAGGCTTTTCTGAAGCAAACAAGAGAATGTTTCCATCAGGCGGAGAGCGGAGACCGATACCCGAGGTTGTCCTCTGACCTCCACACACGTGTGTGTGCCTGTGCAACATTCACCTCCCTCACACAGAGCAAGGACGTTCTCCTAGATAGTCACACACTCCCATTTTGCCACATGCTAATACACACGTCATCCATGTGTAGATATATGTGACACCTCAATACAACTGTTACCTAACATACAATTCTTATATCAGCCTTTTCAGCTAACTTAGTAGTGTCCATTATAATTGTTTTCTTTCCAGAGTCCAATCAGAATTGCAAATTATATTTTGGTGTCATATTTCTTTGGTTTCCAAATTTGGACTCATCTGGTGGTTTGCTCATGATTAGCTGTAGCTTAATTAAGAACCGTTGTATAAGCAGTATGTCAGGTGACATGCCACCCACCCTTCAGTTGTTTGCTTTCTGAGTGCCTGGTGTCAGCTGGTTAGAAGTGTTCATTTGGGTCTCTCTGTCCATCCTTCCCTGCCTTTGGATCTTCTGTGTTCAGTCTCCAGCGAGCGCTAGAGGCACTCATTCTCACCATGTTCTGTGCACGCTTGTATGTGTAGCGCAAATAACAAAAACCCAGAGATCTTGCAAACAAGGTAGAAGGTGAGGTCCAACACCAGAGGTTTTTCCTCTCACCTTAGCCATGGTACCCCCCCCCTCTCACACACACACACACACACACACACACACACACCATACACACCATACACATACTTAAAAGAGAGGAAAGAAACAAAAACTCAGAAAAGTTAAAAATAGATACATCATAAAATGAAGAGCATATATGCAAACATTAATCTTAAAATGTTTATTGTCTGCATGAGTGTTTGCCTGCATGTGTGTCTGTGCACCATGTGTATACACTGCCAGGGAAGTCAGAACAGGGACCCTTTGGAGTTACAGTGACTTATGAGCCACCATGTAGGTGCCAGGGACCAAAGCCCTGTCCTCTGCAAGAGCAGCCAGTGCCCTAACCCGCCAAGCCATCTCTCCAGCCCTGTTTAACAGTTTTTTCAGAGTGAAACTCGAACAGCAGCTTGACTTTTGAATCCAGTGGTTCCCAACCCTCCTAATGTTGTGACCTTTAACATAGTTCCTCATGTTATGGCGATCCCCCTCAACCATAAAATTGTTTCATCGCTACTTCATAAATATAATCTTGTTACTGTTATGAATCGTAATGTAAATATCTAATATGCAGGATATCTGATATTTGATCCCCAAGTGGGTCATGGCCCACAGGTTGAGAGCCACTGTTCTAATCTAAAACAGTCCAAAAGTAACACTAACCCTCATATACTGAGAAAAGACAGTGGGAAACTATTAGCAGCCTTTGTTTTCTGTAACCAATCCATTCTGTTCCCACGCGAACAGAACCTGTAGAGTTATGAGAACACAGCGATTCTCCATACAGGGCGTTTGAGGGTCACCGTGCTTTCGCCAAGCTGGTGCGCATGGTGTGTGTGCGGTACCGAGGCCACACAGAGTGGTGTGCAGCGCAGCCCCGCTAGGTGCTAGAAGCCGCTCAGCTGTATTCTTTGCTTGGTTTTGAATCACTGGTGGTAACTGTTCAGAAACCTTTCCCACCACAGAAACTTTTAATTGTGGCAAAAGTTTTGGTGGCACTCATGCTTAGTCACTTTTCCTGTCCTTTTTCATTGCTATGTTCATCATTTGCATAGTGAGTAGCAAGGTGTGCCAGGGTGGGGTCAAGAGCATGGGCTGTGTGGCCAGGGCAGTCAGGAGCCGGTGCACGCTGCAGTCAGGCACAGGGCTGAGTGGACACGGCAGCCTCAGGCCCATTGCTGACCTTTCGTACACTGGTTTTCTTCATGGCACTAGTTTCCATCTTAGAATAAATCGCCCCAATCTGCTAGGAATCAAACTTGGGTTCTCTGTAGGGACAATAGGGGCTCTTAACTGCCATCTCTCCAGCCCCCCTCAGCTCTCATCTTTAAACACACATAGTGACAGCCATCTCCAGGGATAGTAACAACCATCTCAGAGGATTTGTTCACGGTTCAGATGAGATGGTGTGTGTGTCATGGCATTGTGTCTGATACATGGAAATTAGGGATGGATGCCTTGTTACCCAGTGGATGGTAGACAGGGACACGAGAGAGAGGGAAGCGTGGAAATGTCAAATCCTTACTTTAAAAATTTTGTTCTTATCTAATTTAATTGGAATCCTCATTTCTTCCCCTCTCTGGAATTATTTTGTTTGTTTTCTGTATACCTGTGGCTGTCCTGGAACTCACTCTGTAGATCATCAGACTGGGAAGTCACGGATCCACCAAGTGCTGGAATTTAAAGCTTGTGCTACCACCACCTGGCCTGTCTGAACTTTTTACAGAATCAAAGCAAAATACATACTATACGGTTATAATGATTTGCTATTCTACCAGAGAGTTGGTTTTTCTGTTTTGTTTTTGAGACAGGCTTTCTCTGTAGCTTTGGAGCTTGTCCTGGAACTCGCTCTGTAGACTAAGCTGGTCTCAAACTCACAGAGATGGGCCTGTTCCTTCCTCCCTGGTGCTGGGATTAGATGCTCGTGCTGCCACCGCCTGGCAGAGATTTTCTTTTTAAAGAAGAGAGCAAGTTTATTGTGGAAAGAGCAGCTGGCCTGGCAGTGGCAGGACAGACTCACAGACTACCACTGTCAGTGCGTGCAATTTAGGCGTCCCCCTCCTAAGTGTCACTGCTTCCCTGGGGGTACAAGGGGTCCCAAGTCACCCTTTTCCATTTGTCCCTAGTGTGCATATCACCTTCTGTTTCTGTAAACAGATCCGCTACTCTCAACTTCTGAAATAAAAATAAATGGAAGTCATACTGGCTTTGTAATAAATCAATACCAGTAAATTCTCAGTTGGTTCCAGAACCCTCCCTGCTTGACACAGCTGGTCTGTTTACATTCTTCAAGTGTGTCGGTTTCCTGTGTGCATATGCACATTTGTGACACAGATTCTCTTGGGGACTGCAGTTACCAGTGCCATGCATCCCTCGTAGCAGGCTGCCGGGGTTAGTGAATGTGGTTTAACTTCAAATGGTTATTACTTTTGAATAATTGTGTGTCTTTTTGTGCTTTGCCATGTTTGGTAATTCAGGTCACAACACAGGAGATAATTAACTGGGTGCAGCCCTTTTTGTTGAAGTCCTGATCTGGTTTTAGTAGTGTGGCTTGGACTACTTAACCTACCGGAAAGATTCCAATGGGTGGAATTTCTCTTTCCTGTAAACTCTAGCTTACTCAACAGTTAACCCCTTCGGCCCTTCTCACCTGACTGAAGCTGGGGTGCCCTGGTGAGCAGGACCTGCCCCACAGAGCCCTGCAAGCAACAAGTGAAACAAAGTGTTACTCAACACCACGGGTTTCACAAAAAACGAATTTGACCTCTACTTTTCGAGTGTTAATAGGTTTGAATTTCACATACACAGATTTAATTTAACAAGAATGAATAGAATTTTAATTAGCCTCAATGGACTCCTCTCTCAGCCATGGTCTGCTTTCTCTACCCTTGACTCTTGTGGCTTTCCTGCCTAGGAAGCTGATTATTCCCACTAACTCTGGATAGGACTTTTATTTCAAACAGCAGAGCTCCCTACTCTCCTTCCCAGCTCCACCTTGCGCCTTCCATGCACACCATGCTTTAGGGGTAACTTTGAAGGCCTGTGAAACAGGCCAGACTCCCTTGGCAAGAAAGGTGCATTTCCTATGTGTTTTCCCATAGGACTTCTTTTGCTTTTTCTCTTCCTACCTGTCACCCTTGTTTTATCCCCAGACTCTGTCTGCCAGCAGAGCCAGGGGAAAACAAGCAACCCTTTATCTATCCCAGCCATCTGGGGGAGCAGGTTCAATTTGTTGCTGGTTGGATGGTCTGGAGACAGCTAGGGTGCTAGTACACTCTGAGTTTGTGTATTTAGCCACTTTAAAGCTCACACTTGACCTATTTTTTTCATTTTCAAAGCAAGCCTGCTCAATTTACTTGTGGTGAAACTCATTGGAATTCGTAGTGTCAGATTCCTCCTCCCCCTCAAATTGAGCTCTCGTCTACAGCCTGCCCACAGATGACCTCTCCACATTGATCCCAGCTTTAAGACAGTCTGTTTTAAGTTTATGTTCTGTCGGTGCTTAGCCAGCGGGTTCCTTGAGTTCTTAAAGGTCTTGAAATACCCATCTTTACAAACATTTGCAAGAAATACATTCATCGTGAGCATTGAACATTATAGAAAAGGGTAAGGAAGAAGATTAAAGTCGCCTTTACTCATATCTAGATATGAATGTAAAATATTAGGGTTTTGACCGGGTGGTGGTGATGCACGCCTTTGATCTTAGCACTTGGGAGGCAGAGGCAGAGGCAGGTGGATCTTTATGAGTTGGAGGCCAACCTGGTCTACAAAGCTACACAGAGGAAACCTGTCTCAAAAAAGCCAAAAAACAAAAAACAACACTAGGTTTTTGTATTATTTTTTGCTATATCATGTATGTGTGTTCATTGCTATGTCTGCACATTTTCCCATATTTCTAATTATTGAAAGTAAAGCTAGCAAAATATGCTTCAACTTCTGGCTGTTTCATGATACCTTCTTAATAATAGATGATCTTATAAGTTTCTAGTCTAGTTTTGTTGTTGTGACATATGATAGCCACCTTTGTCTCTAAATGTTCATCTCTGAGGTTATCTCCTGAGAGTGGAAACTAGTAATTGCAGAAGTGTAGACTCTTTCTAGCACCTTTCTCCTACCATGCAAGTACTGTGTACTTAGTGTGGAAAGCTTGCTCACACAGGGCAGGAGTGAGTGAGTCAGCAGAATGCAAAAGCCGCTTGGTCCCCCTCCCCCCCCCCCAAGCACACTGGGGCAGGCCAGGGTGGAGGAGGTCTCTGGGGTGCCGCCGCTCACTGCCACTGCTCACCGCCGCGTGCATTGGTTCCCAGCAGTTGTGGCATGCCCAGTAGGGAACACACACGTTTGTTGGGCATCTTTGCAGATGTCTACTCCCTTCTCCTACATTGGATTTGTGTGAATTTTGAGCCAGTGAAACCATCTATCTCCGGTCCCAGGGGAGCCAACAACCTCTTCTGGCCTCTGTGGACACCAGACAAGTATGTGGTACACAGACATACATGCAGACAAAACACCCATACGTAACGTAAAAATAATGTTTTGGCTTTTCTCTTGAGACCGTGTTTCTCTGTGTAGCCTTGACTGTCCTGGAACTCACTGTGTAGACCAGGCTGGCCTGGAACTCACAGAAATCTATCTACCTCTGCCTCCGGAGTGCTGGGATTAAAGATGTGCACCACCACTGCCCAACAACTAAAATATTTAAACAAAGGAAAAAGCAACAACACTAGAAAGAATTTCAAGCCAGGCTTCATAGTGCACACCTTTAATCCCAGCACTCGGGAGGTAGAGGCAGGCGGATCTCTGTGAGTTCCAGGCCAGCCTGGTCTACACAGTGAGTTCCAGGCCAGCCTGGTCTACAGAGTGAGTTCCAGGACAGCCATTGCTACATAGGGTTACCCTGTCCCAGAAAACCGACAGAAAAGGACATTTGAGCAGTATGCAAACACGCATGCCTGCAGGTTTGTTAAGGGTGTTGCTTCCTTCAGGGATGCCCAGGTCAAGGCTGCTTTGTGTGGGCACAGCCTGGGTCTGAAGGCCAAGGCTGGCGTAGCCGGGCTTGCTTCTGTGAGCCTGATGCTCACAGTTGCTCTGCTCTGCACCCTTGTTCTCTGTTGGATAGACCCAGCTCTCCACCTTGCTTCCTCCTGGCTTCTTTCTTTGCTCCTCATTCCCCGGGGCTCCCTTGAAGCTCTGCTGCTGGGGCGCTAACTTTCTTCCTACCATGTTTGTTCACATGGTTTTGTCTTTTGTGGTACCAAAGATAAAACTCAGGGTCTCCTGCACTAGGTAAACACTCTCACACTGAGCCATTTTCCAGTCCTACTAGAAGGTGCTTGGCCTGCCCTTTGCCACAGGGTCTTGGAGTGGTTGGTTGGTTGGTTGGTTTGTTTGTTTGTTTTATTTATGAGACAGGGTTTCTCTGTTGCTTCCTTTGGAGGCTGTCCTGGAACTCACTCTGTAGACCAGGCTGGCCTTGGACTCACAAAGTGCCACTACTGCCTGGCTGAAGGTTCACATTTGCTATTAGTTGGGAAACTCCAGATATTTCAAGCAGGAAGGTCTGTCACACAGACCAGAATTACAAACCGCCGCCTGGCATGGGGTAGTGGTGGCAGCTGTAAAGCCAGGGGCAACTGCTGGCAGCTGTGGACAAGTAGGCTATGTGAGAATGTGAGGGGACCCTGTGGAGGGCCGGGTGCTCTACAGACCAGGGAGGGTGGATTTCAGAAGACTGCTCAGATGCTGTGACATCTGCGAGCCACGGCCCATGCTCTGTCCCTCCCACTCCTGCTGGAGCCTTTCAAAGCCTCTCACCTCTGTCAGGGACAGTGATGCCACTCCTCCTATCCAGCGAGAGCAGACATTGCAGAGCAGGAGCTGTGTCGCTGCCAACACAGCTTAGCCCCGAGACTTCGAGGAGCTAGGGAAACTGACCCAAGTGTGTTGTCTTGAAGTTGCATAAAGGTAGGAAGTTTGTTAGGGGAAGTTAATACGAAATACATGCATAAATTAAACTTTATTTCTACTTATAGACTACAAAGCAATTGGCAAGATAGGAGAGGGAACGTTTTCTGAAGTTATGAAGATGCAGAGCCTGAGAGATGGAAACTACTATGCATGTAAACAAATGAAACAGCACTTTGAAAGGTATGTGACCAGGCACATCCTGGACTGAAGTCACAAAAGACACACACACAGACATGAGTTGGAATCAGTAAGGCATCTTAATGGTAGTGGGAAGCTTGTGTTTATATAAAAGTGTGTTAGCTGTAACCAGATGTCCTTGGACAGTTAAGATTGTGAGCTAATGTGTTTAATACACTGGAGCTTTTTCTTGTCCAAGTTTATAGTAATGTCAGTGATTGACACCTATAGCATGCATTGTAAAAGTTGCATAGTATGTGTATGGTGGGTTTTTATAAACCAAACCTCAGTGAAATGTCATAAAGTTTCTGGAAACTTATTCTCATGAATCAATTAATGTATTACTACATTGGAAAAATAATGCGTAGATAGGAACAGAGAAATTTAGTCCCCAGGAGTGGGCTTCTGCTGTTTGTGGGAAGCGGTAGTTCTAGAGCTGTAGTTTCTGATGGGTAATTCTTCCTTTTATAATTTTTTTACATTATTTATTTGTATTGTGTGTATGAGTGTTTTGCCTGCATGTATATCTGTGTACCATGTGCATGCAATGCTCACAGAGTCCAGATGAGGTTGTCAGGTCCTCTTAGAGCTGGAGCTACAGACAGTTGTTAGCTGCAATGTCGGTGCTGGGAATCGAACCTGGCTCCCCTGGAAGGGCAGTTCTTAACCACTAAGCCATCTCTCCAGGTCCTGGGTGACTGCTTCCTATGCTTCGTCCCACATAGCAGCTTCTCAGGGAATGGCACAGCAAGGGGCCAAAGGCTGCTGTTTGGTGGGGTGATTGCTGGCCCCACTGTAACCAAGAAATGCTGCAGAAAGAGGGCTTAAGCCAAGCTGGTGTCGAATGCTTTTAATCCCAGCTCTCGGGAAGCAGAGGCCAGAAGAGCTTTGTGAGTGTGAGGCCAGCCTGCTCTACAAAACTAATTCCTGTCTGGAAAACCTGTCTGGAAAAAAAAGTTTTGAGCTAAATAGGTTTGTTTTTATGAAATTACTATTGTAAATATCCAAAGAAGTTATGAAGAAAACTTAATAACCCCTCCACATATATATATTTATATATATATATATATATATATATATATATATATATATCTCCTTTTTGCTTTTGGTTATTTTTTAGATTTATATTTTATGTGTGTGAGTGTTTGCCTGCATGCATGTATATGCTCCACATGTGTGCCTGGTGCCCTCAGAGGTCAGAAGAGGCTGTCAGATCCCCTGGAACTAGAGTTATGGATAGTTGTGAACCACCATGTAGGCACTGGAAACTTAACCCCAGTCCTCTGCTAGAGTAGCTGGCTTTAACCTCTCAGCCATTCCTCCAGACCCAATTGTTGTCATTGTTATTAGTGTTATTTGTTTATGTGGGGGGTGTTTTGCCTGCATGTATGTCTGCATCTGTGTTTGCCTGGTGCCTGTAGAGGCCAGGAGGGTATCAGGTCTTTCAGGTCTCATGGACTGGAGTTACAGATCGTTGTTAGCTGCTAAATAGACATTCATGGCACACCTCTTTATTTGATCAATATTCCTTTTACTATTTGGAAAATCCTTTCTGGAATATACTCGAAGACCACTAGTTTCCACCAACCAAAGCGTAGGAATGCCATCAGATTGCACCTGAGGCTGTTGCAGAGATCTCTGCTTTGCTGAAGCCTGCCTTCCTGATGTTGCAGCCAGTATCTCATGTGTGTTTATTTATGTAGGCTTTAGTGCATGTGTGTGCATCTCATGTGTGCAGGTGCTCTCGGAGGCCAGAAGAGGGTGTCAGATCCTCTGGGAATTGAACCCAGGTCCTCTGCAGGAATAGCAGGTTCTTTTAACTAATGTATTTTAAAGTACTGATTGAGGATTTTCTCTGTTCTGTTACTATTAACAACTTCACGAAAATGTTACCCACATTGGAACATGGTATTAGCCAACTCCTGGGCCTCAGTCACTCCTGTGTGAGTCCAGAGTAAACCATCTCTTACTCTCTTTGAGGTGAGAGCTTTGCATTTGCATTGACAACTTTTACATTCTTTTTATTTATTTTTTTTTTACATTATTTTATGTGCATTGGTATGAAGGTGTCAGTTCCCCTGGAACTGGAGTTACAGACAGTTGTGAGCTGCCATATGGGTGCTGGGAATTGAACCCAGGTCCTCTGGGAGAACAGCTGGTGCTCTTTACCACTGAGCCGTCTCTCCAGCCCCAACAGCCTTCACATCCTTAAGCAGAAAATGAAGAAGAAAACAATAATTCCATAAATTCATTGGGTTCATGTGCACTGAACCTGGGGCCTCATGTGCCAGGCAGGTACTCTACCAACTGGACAGCAACCCCCAGCCCCAAATAGTATACCTTAGCTATTTATGAACATAGTCTCCTCATGATCAATCAATCAATCAATCAATCAATCAATCAATCAATCAATAGCTGGGTGTGTAATGCAAGTCTTTATTCCCAGCACTTGGGAGGCAGAGGAAGATTGATCTATGTGAGTTTGAGGCCAGCCTGGTCTACAAAGCGAATTCCAGGACAGCCAGAGCTGTCCTGTTATACAGAAACCTCTGTATAACCTGGAACCTCACTACAGTATAGTGTCTAGATTGTGTGTAAGAATTCTGAGACCAAAAAAAGTTCAGAATATGTTAAAGGTAAGCTGTTTCACAGGGGGGGGGGGCTGGGGGTGGTGCACGCCTTTAATTCCAGCACTCAGACAGGCAGGTATTTCCTCCCCCCCCCCCGTCTCCCTCCCTTCTCTCTTCTAACAGGACCTCATGTACCCCATAAGTAGCTGAACTCACTATACAGCTGAGGGTCACCTTGAACTCCTGACCCTTCTGCCTCCACACTCCCAAGTGCTGGGATTTCAGGCGTGCATCGTTAGTTTGTAAGGTTTGAGGAACTTGTGATATGAGTCCCAAATTCTGGCCGCCTAGGAGGGACTAGAGTGGGCCTGTTTCTTAAGCATTTTAGACATGGGATTTCCTTATAGAACATTTTCCAGGGCCCGTGAAATGGCTCAGCAGGTAAAGCTGCTTGCTGGCAAGCCTGATGACCTGAGTTCAGTTCCTGGAAGTCACATGGTGGGAGGAGAGAACCAATTCCTCCAAGTTGACTTGTGACATAACACAGGTGCATGTACGTGTCATGTGCTCATACACACATGCAGACACATGCACACACATACACAATAGATGGATATAATGATAATAACAATAATAATAAAAAGCTGTTTTCCTGATAAATCATGTTCTATGGAATACATTGTAGGGAGCTGTGTTGTAAAAAGCATTTAGGGGGCTCAGCAGTTAAGAGCACTGGCTGGGTTCAATTCCCAGCATCCACATGGCAGCTCACAATGATCTGTAACTCCGAGATCTGACACCCTCACACAGACATGCAGGAAAAACACCAATGCACATAAAACTGAAATAAATAAATAAATACATACATAAATGAGAGCCAGGTGATGATGATCTACACTGCTAATCTCAGCACAGAGGCAGGCAGCAGGTCTCTGTGAGTTTGAGGCCAGCCTGGTCTACAGAGCTAGTTCTAGGACAGCCAGGGCTGTTACACAGAGAAACCCTGACAATGAAAACAAACAAAAACCAAAGAGCATTTAGGGAGGCACTGTTGCTGTGACAGAGAAAGTAGGTGAGGCAGGGGGAGCTCAGCCAGGTAGCCATGAGCAGGTGTAGAAGCAGGAAAATGCTGGGTAGACCAGTATGCTACTGTGCTTACTCCTGTGCCCGAATGCTGCCGTCCAGGTTGTGACAGCTGCTCTAGGCCTTGTGTGTACTGCCTGGCGCTCACACTCTCCCATCCAGACCTTCCCGAGGGCTGGTGCCAGTTGAGCTTGTGCTTTTTCTGGTTGTCTCGGGACACGTGTTGCTTACCTTTTGAATACTGTGCTGGGTCAAGGAAAGAAGCCAGGCAGGCAGTCAGAAGCGCTCTTGGACAGTAGCAGGCTTCCACTGTTGGCTTGTGGGAGAGCAGGTAGTGCTCAGCCTGGCAGCTATGCCTAGCTCTGTGATGCTGAGACTTGTGGGAATTTGTCCTGGCTCCTGGGCCTTTATCTGGGCAGCATCTTTCGCGGTTCAGTAAACTTATTTCAGAGGCAGAAGCAGAAGTGTACTGATGCACTGTTAGGTTGACCTCTCAGAGTAACTAGACAATGTGCTAACCTTCCCACGTGGGAGAAGGTGGTAGAACAAGACGTAGCCAGCTGACAAGAAGATAGACATCCCTAGTTTCTTTTGGATGCTCAGAGATGGAAGTCTCTGGGACATTGGGTCATTTGTCTGAGTGTGACCCCCATAGCCCAAAATAGGGTGGTTTCTTAAAAGGGCTCTTCTGTAGCAACCACCAACCTCATGTCCTTGCACTGCTTTTGTTGGGCTTTGAGTTATGGGCCGCAGACAGACGCCTGGTGTAGCCTCTCTGTGGCAGGGAACAGAGTGCTGAGAAAGCAGACTTTCCCCGTGAGGAGGAGAGTGGTGTCTCTGGGACTTTGACTTTCAGCTAGTATGCACTTTTTAGTGTTAGTTCTCATAAATGAATAACATTAGTTATTAACAAATATTTTCAACACATTTAATTAGGGTTTTATATGGTTCTATGTTAAAAGAAACAACCAAAAATCCTCTTGTGATAATAGATGATAATAATTTCAATGTATGTTCTAAGTGATTAAACCTTGATTTAAGCTGGGCAGTGGTGGCGCACTCCTTCGGTCCCAGCCTTTGGGAGGCAGAGGCGGGTGGATCTCTGTGAGTTCAAGGCCAACCCGATCTACAGAGTGAGTTCTACGACAGCCAAGGCTTTATAGAGAAACCCTGTCTTGAAAAAAATAAAGAAACAGAACCTTGATTTGAGGGCTGGAATGTCTCACACACGTTTGATCCCCAGCACCAAAAAAGAACCCTTGAATTTTGTAAGCTAATGAAGATGTGTGCCTAATTTATGCTTGATTTCAGTTTCTGATGGGAAAATAAAGCTTGATTAACTGCCTGAAATCAAGTGAGTGGGGCTTTACATTTTGATCATGGGAAATAAGTGTGATTTCATACTGTAAGTCTACAACTGACCTAATTGTAAATTAGTTGTGCATTTTTGCCTACATAATAGTATTGAGCAAGTGAACAATCTGCGAGAAATCCAAGCACTGAGACGCCTGAATCCTCACCCAAACATTCTTACGTTGCATGAAGTGGTTTTGTAAGTATATTTGTAAGTATATACCTAAAGTAGAAAACTTACTGAAAATTAAATTTCTTCTTAAAGACATTTAAAGTATTTGCTTTGTAGCTGAGTGACAGTTATCACTTCATCTTATTTTTATTTGAGTAAATTGTGCCTCATTCTTAATATGAAAATGCCTTCATTTTGGTGTACCCATGTTTGAAAAGCCTGTGTTTTCAAGGTTTGGCTCCTGTAGCTCAGTCAGGTCTCCATACCTTGTTATAAATTACTCTCTTATGAAAGCACAGCCCCTACTTACGTAATTGATAGTGTCATGGCATTTTTCACCTATGTTAATAGGATAATTTCCATAAAGTTTACCTGTGAATCAAGAAGGCAGAGCATAGCCACCGTCCTGGGGCCCCAATCTTACCACTATACTTTCATTATGCCTCTGAACTCACTGTGCTGGGAATTCAGGCTGCAGGCTTTAGGACCTGCCATCCTATGGATTGGTGCCTTAGGCATAGAAGCCACGCTACAGCCTTCGGGGAACCCAGCTTATCAAATTCTTGAAGGAACTCATCTGCCAGCAAAAGTGTCATGTCAGTCATGGGACAACATAGTTTAAAATCAAAATGCTGAGTCTTGTCCTAGGTGTGTGGCCTCTTGGCCTGCAGTGTTCTTAGAAGTGAGTCACGCAGGGGAGGCTAGCATTCATTTGGGATATGCACAGACAAGGTCTGTGAGTGCAGGACAGGCTGCATAGGCAAGGGAGCCCTGACAGGCAGACTCGAGGTGCACAGAGCATCTGGGCCAATGTAGTTTCCCTGCTTAGGGCCCGAGTACAATCAGGGGAAGCGAGTTGGCAGACCCAGCCTTTGAACCACTCAGTTTCAGACCCAGACCCCACGAGAGTGACAGCACCTGCCTTTCTTCTCTCCTCTGACATGTCCCCTTCTCCCCACTCTAAGTTATCCTGATTACATCACAGTAACATAGGGCAGTTACAGCTAAATGTGTACCTGGGCATGGTGGCACACACCTTTATTCCCAACACTTGGGAGGCAGAGATGGGTAGGTTTCCACGAGTTCAAGGCTCTATGAGTTTGAGGCCAACCTGGTCTACATAGTGAGCTCCAGGACAGCCAGAGCTGCACAGTGATGAGACCTCTCAAAAGCAAAACAAAACAAACAGAAGAACTAAACATGTGGCCACATGCATGCTCTAAATTCATTCCCCTATTGTTTTGCTTAGCCACCTCTCAAGCCTTTCTTTTTTCTGCCTGTGAATAATGTTGTTTTCATGATAGGCCTTTTCTTTGCTTTGGAGCTCTCATAGTGTTTCGAATTAGTTTTACCTGAATGTTGATTTAAAGTCAAATCTGTGCTATTTTAATAATCTCATGGCCATTATGGTAGCCTGAGAACGCCTGATTTACCAGAATGTATACACATGCATATTAAAAGACTTGATTATGGTTCTGATTAAGACAAGAAAAAGTAAAGTCTGCTTTCTTCTGCAGCGACAGAAAATCTGGTTCTCTTGCACTAATGTGTGAACTTATGGACATGAATATTTATGAGCTAATACGAGGTATGTAGAATATTTTGAAAGGTAACATGTCATGATCTTGTAACAAATGTTTGTAGTTACATACGTGTTGTGGTCACTGCAGTGACTTTAGTGACAGGGAAGTATGCAGGACAGAGCTACTGAACTGGGCCCAGAAGGCATTGTCCTGACAGCCTTTTAGAGCTTCCCGGCAGAGCCTGGGATTTGGTTGAGGCTAATGCGAAGGCAAGCCCTCCTCACAGGGCTGCGCTCTGAGGACACCTTCCTTTGGCATTCTCTTGTGGGCTCTCACAGGGAAGGATCCCCCCTCATTCCATTTGGCGCCTGACATACCTCATATTCCAGGATGCTCCTTTGTTCCTTCCCTCTGAGCAGTAAAGCACTGTTCAGAAACTCCCTTGCCTGAGATGACCTGTCATGGCCTTGGATGCTTGCGGAGGAACCTGAGGGTGCCAGCAAGCAGAGCTTTGGTCTTCATTGAGCAGATGTCCTGAGACTTTGACTTCAGGGTTATGTTAGATGTCATGATGGAATGTAACCATGAAATCGAGATAGGAGATTGTTTTCTAGATCACATGATATCCAGAAGACATATAAAAACAGAACCAAGCAAAACAGCTGCCAGGCCTGGTGGAACACACCTGTAATCAAGGTTTCTTGAGAGATGGAGGAAGGAAGATTGCCAAGACCAACCTTGGCTAAGTTGCAAGACTCTAGCTTCTCAAAGTGTTAAAGAAAAAAGGCTTGAGGATGTCAGCTCAGTGGTAGAACACTAGTCTGGCATGTGAGAGGCCTTGGGATCAATCCCTAGTACTGGAGGAAAATAAGTAAATACACGAGAAATAAAAGGAAGGGAAGAAACCGGTGTTGCAGAGTCATGTGAACACTATCCTTGTGCTGGCACTCTGGGGACTGCAGACATGATTTAACCCTTCGTTCGCCTCAAGCAGCTGAGGCCAGACTGAAGACTCTGGCTCGTGCTTTGTCACCTAGCCACATCCGCCCCCAACATTTTACAGTTTTGTTTTCTCTGTGTAACAGCCATGGCTGTCCTGGAACTCACTCTGTAGACCAGGCTGCTCTTGATCTCACAGAGATCCGCTAGCCTCTGCTTCCCAAGTGCTGGGATTAAAGGTGTGAGCCACAGTTTGTGTTTTAAAGAGTCTGCTTAGGGCAGATGAGACAGCTCATGCCTGCAGTCCCAGAATACAGTGGCAGAGGCAGGGCAGGAGTCCAGAGGCCAGCATAGACTACAGAGCAAGTCCTTAGCTACTCTGTAATGAGACTGTCTCAGAAAACAAACAAAACCAAACAAGAGCCTGCACAGGTCACTTCCTTTGGTTATTTAGTGACAAGCCTGTGTATCTGTAGGATACATTCCTAATGTTAGAAGCCTTCTTTTGCTTCCCAGGGTGTGATATATTTATACTTTATACTCAAGGGAAGGAAAAATGTCTGTGTTGCTATGTGTTTAGACATTTGAGGAAGCTTTGTTTAGAAGTAGTATCTTTAATCTCCAACAGCTGAGGGACTGTGTGCTTGAAGAGACTGAAGCATTTCTTCTGTGTCTCCCTGCAGAGACTGAAAGACATGCTATTAGATGACAGACACTCACTGTTGACATCAGCCACATGGGCCTGCCTTGTTTGCCTGCTGTGCAGGGTGCCCAAGTGTGATGGAGACCCAAATCCTTAAAGGTGTCGACAGGACCTGGGTCTCTTGGGGAGGTAGTGGGAGACAGTGTGGGGGCAGAGCAGTCTGGGGTCTGTGCACGCAATCAAACTCCAGGGCCTTTTCTGGGACCCAGGTTCAGAAGTGAGGGGTCAGTGTGGTCTGGAGGTGAAGTTTTCACCCTCCTAATGTAAGAGAGCCACCCTGGATACTTTGACAGGCCTCCAGTAAAGAGTTGGTGATCTTAACAAAGGAGAGTAGGCAACTGTTAGCACCATGACCCTCTTGTCGGAGGCATTACCTACAGCAGAATATTAGGAAGGCAGTGTTTCATTTGCCGGCAGGGCCTCCATGAAACTATCTAAAGGCAAGTAGCCAAGAGGGGACCTGGCGCTCAAAAGAAAGAGTGCCAAGGATGTTAAAATGTGCAGGGGAAGGGCCCAGTGTGTCCACAGGCTGGCCATGCCAGAGCTGGGAGGGTTCTGAGTGCTGCTGCTGGTTACACATACACACACACACACACACACACCACTCACACACACCACATACACACACACCACACACACCACACACACACACACCACACACACACACACCACACATACACACACACACCACACACACACCAACCACACACACATACACACACACCAACCACACACACACACCACACACCAACCACACACATATACACACACACCACTCACACACACACACACCAACCACACACACACATACACACACACACACCAACCACACATATACACACACACATACACACACACACCATTCACACACACACCACACACACACCACACATACACACACACACCACACACACACACACCAACCACACACACATACACACACACCAACCACACACACACACACCAACCACACACATATACACACACACACATACACACACACCAACCACACACACATACACACACACCACACATACCACACACACCAACCACACACACACACACCAACCACACACATATACACACACACCACTCACACACACACACCACTCACACACACACACCACACACACACACACACCAACCACACACACACACCAACCACACACACACCACACATACACACACACACCAACCACACACACATATACACACACACCACACACACACACACACACCACACACACACACCAACCACACACATATACACACACACACATACACACACACACCACACCACACACACACACACACCACACACACACATACATACACACACACACACACACCTGTCTTTCTCCCTTCCCCTCTCCTCCCTTTCTCTCTCTAATTTTGTCTCTCTCCTTCCCTCCTCCCCTGTCTTCCTTTCTCCTTCCTTTTCTCTCTCTCTCCTAACAGGTTTTCTCTACATAGTACTAGCTGTCCTGGAATTCACTGTGTAGACATGTAGATCAGTCTTGCTTCAAACTCAGAGATACAGCTGGGTGCTGGGATTAAAGGCCTATGTCACCATGCTTGGCCAGTGGTTACATTATTGAGAATGGCTCACAGTTCCTAGAGTTGTTTCTGAACTTTGAAAAATACAGGTTTAAAACGTTAAGCACTTTCCTCTAAAGGTCTAATAGAAGCTTGTGGTCTTTAATCTGAGTATGAGTTATCTTTCACCGGCCAGGGGCTCTGCTGTATGCACTGAATCTAAGTTGTTGCCAGTCATACCAGGCACCCTAGATGTTAGAATCTGGATAAAACAGCTGGCAGCATTTCCAAGGCATTTATTATTGAAATACACACCATCATTCCAGAGTTAGTAACACATGGAGGCAGGTGTCTTAGAGTCAATGAAGTATAGGCGGCTGCCACAGCTGACCCCCCATGGCTGTTCACACCGAGAAGATGCTGTTCTTAATACTTATAGAAAGACATTTACCACATCCCTCACACCCCTGCCTGCTGTTCATGTCCAGACTTTAAAAATGAGGGAATTAAAGACAGAGAGAAAGGCACCTTGCCTACTCTGTCTACGTGGAGAGGGGAGAAGTGGACCTGAACAGAGTCTGACCCAGAGCCCATATTCTCAAGCACTCGCGTGCTTCTGAGAACTACCGCTGAACAAACTTCCATTGGCCTTGTTACTGCTGGCTCTGCAGACCGGTTAGGCAGTAATCCAGGGTAAAGCTCTCCAAGTAGGACAGCGCTGCTGTTGAGACTCAAGTCTGTGAAACCTGCTCTGTGCCCTGGCCTGGCTTGAGCTTCCAGTGAGTCTCTCCTAACTGTTTGCCCATGCTGAGGACAGTGTGGACCTACTAAAAGCCCTGGGTCACTAAAGCTTTTGCTTCAAATAGCAGTCGCATGACTTTAATGACCGCCTTCCTTTGGTAATTAGAGCACTCAGTAGTGCTGTCACATGCTAAAGAACAATCACGGCGTGTGGGGGAAGATCCTGCTGGCTTTAGTGGATTGTCTGCTCACGCATACAAGCGCCAGGTCTGGACAGGCAAGAATCTCAGAGGGCAGAGACTCGGCATGTAGCTGTGCTTTTTGACATTCAAGACACACATAGTCTGTTGCAGAAATGGCTAGAAGAAAGTGTGCTGTGGCAGTTTTTCCTCAGTCCAGCAGGTGTCAGGGGAGGCAGGGCTGACTGAGAACCTGAGACTCGTAGGCTTGCCTGGACCTGTGGCAGTCAGACAGAAGGGTGAGGAGGGTCTCCATCATGGTTTCCTGCCATGGGCTGATCTAGAGGTCGTGACATAGTGGCCACAGGATTGTCCGCTGTGGGTGCAGCCAGCTCTCTGGGAAGCAGAGGCAACGGAGCTGGTTGCTGAGCTGCACACACACGCACCCACTGTGGCTGCTTTGCCCTGTCCCCAGCCTGTCCCCTTCCTCCTTTGCATGCTTGATCTTCTAACCCCTGAGGCCCTCAGTGGAGCAGCCAGTGTCGACATTAGTGGTCAGTGACAGGGCCGTGCGTGTCACATTAGAGTCGTAGCTTTGCGAGACCGGGTGGAGCGGGCACCCTGACGTGAGTCCATGACATTGGGAGAGTGATGGAGGCAGGAGACACGGGAACAGAGTTGGCTAGAGTATAAAGTAGTATTGCATCATTCTCACGAGGGGCTGGTGCTTTGTGCCTCACCACCAAGCAGCAAAACTGTCACGCGGACATTGTTGTACTAGGTGATCCCTCCTTACAGGCAGGAGGGAAATGTTGCAGTTCAGCTTCAGCATTTAGCAGGGTTACTTCTCCCTTTATTAAGAGGACCCTTCAGTTTTTGTATATATATGAGAAAGAAAACACATACAAGATATGCTTTAATACTTTTTTGCATTTTTAATTTGTTTTTATTCGAATGCACATACACACACTTTTATATCTTTTTTTTTTTTTTTAATTTGTTTTTTGAGACAGGCTTTCTCTGTATTGCTTTGGATCCTGTCATGGAACTAGCTCTGTAGACCAGGCTGGCCTCAAACTCACAGAGATCCAGGAGCCTCTGCCTCCTGAGTGCTGGGATTAAAGGCGTGCGCCGCGCCATCAACGCCCGGCCACTTTTGCATCTTTAAAAATTTTTTTTATTTTATGTATATGAGTGTTTGCTTGTATGTATATATGTATGTTCATCAGAGATGTGCTCATTTCTTCCTGTGTGTGATGCCCAGTGAGTTTAGGGTTGTTTACAGGGGTGTGGGGGAGAGGTCCCATCTACAGGGGAATGGGGAGAGGTTCTCTACAGGGGTGTGGGTGCCTTATCAGAAGATTTACCACTGAACAAAGTGCCTTCACTTAGGCCTCTAGGTTCCAAGGGACCGCGTGCGCTCATTTTGATGGCGGGACTCTTGTGCAGGTAGTCCCATCTGCCGGGAGTCAGTAGTGCGGTGGCCTTGTCACACCGGGAGAAAGCGTCCCCAGCACTCCCCCCATCTGGCGCCTGGCTCTTTCATCTTCCATGTGACCCTTCTGCAATGCTCCCTCAGCCTTGCAAGTTGGTTTCTTGTGGTTGAGTCTAGCAGTTGCCTATTCTTAGCACTTCTCCTTTAGTTAGGGATTCTGGGAAGTGTGGTCCCATCTGGCTGGAAGATGCAGAGCTCTTAGTGTCTACCTCTGGAGGTGGCCTTGAGGCTTAACTCTCAGGTGTAAAGTGTGGAGGGCGGTGTCGCCCCACAGGAGTCTTCAGGGACACCCATCTCCGTCACTGTCACTCTGGAGCTTACAGTGTGCAGTGCAGTTTGTGGGTAAGCAGAGGGTTACAGAGTGCAGGGCGGCTCTGCCTTTGATCTTCTTACTTAGGGAGCCAAGCCCTGTTTGGGAGGTGAAGAAATTCAATCTCTTCAAACAAAACTGAAACATTTCCATTTCAGTCACCTAAGACGATGCAGCTTCAAAGCACAGAAGCAGGACTGTGTCCTTGAATTTGCCATGGCTGGTCGGGACGACCCAGATCATGCAGGCTCTGCTCAGACCTGCCGTCCTAACCCTGCCGTCCGACCCTCTGGTGCTCAGTTCTAACTCTCTTCTCGGAGACTCTGTGAGGTGCTCCTTAGGTGCAGCCTCCGAGCCTGATCAGAAAGCCAGGCTTTGACCAGAGGACAGGGGTTTTATGGGAGTGTGTGGGTGCGTGTGCGGGTGTTGGAGAGCCTGCTACAATGCAGGCCAGTTTTCCTTCACAGTGAACACCTGTCACTGGTTACTGGAGATGTTTACATTAGACATTGTATGTGACATTGCATTGAGTTTTCTGAGTGACAGTGCTCTGAAAATGTACTTGTAGAAGACCTCAGCTGTGCAGATGAGGGAAGTATTGTTTGGGTTCACTACTCACCAGCAGACAGGAGGTTTTCCAGTGGTTTACTAGTGACCCTTTTCTTTTAGTTTGTTTTAGACTGTTTGGAAAGAAGAAACTGGTAGGAAGCAGTCATACACCGGCCTGGGAGGGCTGGGATGTGGGTAGGGTGATGGTGACGTGGGTGGTTAGCCCACTCCTTTGCCAGGGTATGGACTCTCAGGGTCTAGACCACTGATCTGGCACTGTTCCTCTGGTGCCTAACTTCCATGAGGACACCCTCCTAGGGAAGGCCACAGTCCCCTGGGCTTGGGTAAAGGGGACTAAGGGATAGCGGAGGGCTGGGTAGCTGATCAGGACTCATGCTGCGGGGGCAGAGCTAGTTTCTTGGACCCCATGCCCATTCTTGAGACTAGCTGGACCTAGGTATGGGTCTTAGCACTCGCTTCTCTAACACATCACCAGATGGTTATGGTGATGGCAGAGACTTCTCTAACAGCCCAAGCTCCTGAGTCCAGTTCAGGTGATAATGCCAGCTTCATGTACTCAGGAGGCAGAGGCAGTTGGATCTGTGTGAGTTGTAGGACAGCCAGGGATGTTGCACAGAAAAACCATGCCTTGACAACCCCCCCCCCAAAAAAAGATCTGTATGTATGGGCTGGTGAGATGGCTGAGCAGGTAAAAGTGCTTGCTGCAGAGCCTGTTGACCTCCCTGAGACGGAAGTTTTAAAGTTGTCCTCTCATCCTCTGACCTCCACACATACTTATAGCATATGCACACACACGGTACACACACACATATATGAGTGAATAAATGTGAAGTAAAAAATAATAATTGGCCAGATGTGGTGATGCAGGCCTTTAATCCTAGCGCATGGCAAATAGAGGCCTACAGATCTCTGTGAGTTTGAGGGCAGCCTGGACTACATAGAGAGACCCTTTCTCAAAAATACCCAAAAGTAAGTAAATAAATACATAGTACATAATGGGTAAAAGATTTGGCTATGTGCATGTGACTGCAAAGCCACTCCCATACATGGAGCAGTATGAAGGCAGGCATGAAGCAGGAACTCCAGGGTGCATAGGACAGAGGGAATTGGGGGGGAGGGGTTCAGGCTGATTCTGCTGCTGTCAGGACCAGTGTGAGCCCAGGCCTGGCCTCAGGAGAGCCCCCAGCCAGCAGTGTGCGGGAGATGGAGGTGCTTGCTCAGGCTGACCTGCAGCAGGGCTCTTCTTGCTGCAGCCTTCCCAGAGCTGGGACCGCACACACATTATGCTCCATCTCTCGTCTTTATGTAGAAGAAGGACATCGGACTCTGTAGTCCAAGACAGCTTCAAACCTGCGGGTATCCTCCTGCCTCAGCTTTCCAAGTGCCGAAATGAAAGATGTACGCCATTATTATGACTGGCTTTTTTTTTTTTTTTTTTTTTTTTTTTTTGTACTGGGGAAATGTACCTAGGGCCAAAGTGATGCAAATGGAAGGCAGAAGAAGGCATGGCATCGGGTTACTTGGGATTGTAGTTATGGATGGCTGTGAACAACCTTGTGGTGCTGGGAGCCGGACCCTGGTACTCTGCAAGAGCAGCCAGTGCCTCTGATCACTAAAGTGTTATCTCCTGCCCCTTCTGTTATATGTTTAACATTTATCTTGTGTGCATGCGGGCGCCTGAATGGATGTGTGCGACCTGCAGGGTCCAGAAGAGGGTGTTTGGGTCCCCAAAAACAACTGCCCAGCCTAGTGCAAGAGCAGTAATTGCTCTCAGCCGCTGAGCCTTCTCTCCAGCCCCCATGGGTTTTTATGATTCCAGGAAATTATAGTGTCATGGGAAACAATGTAATAGGAAAAGGTTATGATGTAGAATGAAAAGTTACTTGCACCTGGAGACTTTTTTGTTTGTTTTGTTTTTTGAGACAGGGTTTCTCTGTAGCTTTGGAGCCTGTCCTGGAACTCGCACTGTAGACCAGGCTGGCCTCAGATTTACAGAGCTCCGCCAGCCTCTGCCTCCCGAGCGCTGGGACTACAGGTGTGTGCTGCCACCCCCAGCCCACAGGGTTTGTTTATTTCGTAAAGGGGTTTGTGTGTGTGTGGCATTGATAAACACCCTGGTCCTTTCCTTGACTGTACAGGGAGAAGACATCCATTATCAGAGAAAAAGATCATGCATTACATGTACCAGTTATGCAAGTCACTCGACCACATGCACAGGTAGCTGGGATGGGGAGCTCCCCCGCCAGCATGCAGGGACTCGGCTCTAGGCGGAGACTTTGGATCAGTGAGGTGCAAGTCATTCTCTTCACTTTTTTCTTTAATACTCAATGCAGAAACGGGATATTTCACAGAGATGTAAAACCAGAAAATATACTAGTAAAGGTAAAAACTTTTATATAGAAACTTGATATCAAAATAAAGATAGAATATAAAGTTCTGAATGTATTCTTTTTTCTAGATTTTTTTATTTTTAATTAAGTGTATTGCTTGTATGAGTGTGGGTATGTGCACACAAGTGTAGGTACACATGGAAGAGCCAAGACTCAAGGCTTCTGGAGCTGGGGCTACAGATTGTTGGGAGCTGCCATGTGGGTCCTGGGAACTGAACCTGGATCCTCTTGTAAGAGCAATACTCACTCTTAACCACTGAGCCATCTCTCCAGACTCAGAATATAAATTCTGGTTCACTGGATATGGCTTCTGTCCCAGGTAGCTAAAAAATGTGGTTTGGGTTTGAGTTTTGAGTTGCTGGAATAGAACCCAGGGCCATTCTAGACAGACTTTCTGCCCTGACCTGGGTTAGTGGATTTTGTTTCCCAAGTTTGTAGAAGGAGGCTTGCTTTATCAAGTACTGTCAGCACTACCAACTTTACCCCGGAGAGAATGCAATATATGGAGGTCGTTCTGTTCAGTAGACAGCTATTCCCTATCTAGAAAGGGAAACAGCTGTTTTCCATGCTGAAAGTCAGCTTGGGAGAGGGAGAGTTTGGAGGCCCCCAAATTTGAGATTTCTCAGACTTGAGGTCTCTTCTGCTGTCTCCTTGCTACCCAGATTTAAAGTGTACCATGCATGGTTTGTCTGACTCGCTATCAGAAGAGTCCCCTTGAGCCACATGACTGCAAGGAGCCTGTGTGCAAAGAGGCCAGGGCAGACCACCCAGACAGAGGCCTTGGGAGCTGCTGTAGCAGGATGTATGTGACTGGTGAAGGGACTCATCTGAACTCAAGACACCTCCAAACACATGGGACTTTGTGTTCTTCCAACACATTCTTCTGCTAGACATTTATAAAGCCTGTACATTGTATGCTATGAGCTGCTTAGATGCTGGAATTTTCCTATAGTTTGTATGTTTGAAATGGTTTGTGTGACAGTGGCTGCAGACAGAGACAGAGCCAACCCTGCTCTCTCTCCCTTGCAGCAGGATGTCCTGAAACTAGGGGACTTTGGCTCGTGTCGGAGTGTCTACTCCAAGCAGCCCTACACAGAGTACATCTCCACCCGGTGGTACCGGGCCCCAGAGTGTCTTCTCACCGATGGCTTCTACACGTACAAGATGGACCTGTGGAGTGCTGGCTGTGTGTTCTACGAGATTGCCAGGTAGAGTAGGGCCAGCACCTGAGCCTGATGCACCTCACGGAGTGACATGGGCAGGTCACGTGGTGAGAGGCTGGGCAAGGTGCTTGTCATTGCCAGGTCCTTCCTTTAAGCTCCAGATGAGGTCATCCTGGTCTCCGCTTGGTTTCTGCTGCACTGAGCACTCCTTCAGCAGGCACTTGACCAGGTTTTCATCCCACCTTTTGCTGAGTACTTGCCCTCACTTGCATGGCCTGGGCTGCAGTACCCACAGACCCTGTGGCAGGGTGGGGCTGGGGGTGTGGCTTTACCATCAGTGACCACAAGCAAGATCAGAGAAACAAGGCACCACCACCTCTGACCTCCTGGGTGGAATCCAGAGCAAGTGGCCTGCCACAGTGAGGGCAAGAGGCTCCTTCTGGCGTGACTAGACTTTTCTAGAGAGCCCCAGCTTGCTCTTCCTCTGACTCTTTGATACCATCCCTGGAAAGAACAGTGGCTTGGAATATACTGAGGGGTTGTCACACTCAGAGCTGAGTGCTGTCCCAGGGACCTGCCCCAAGGTGACAGCCTTTGCTCATGGTGGAACTTAAGGTCAAGTACCAGCATAGGCAGGGACCCAGGGTCACCAGGGCCACCTGCTCATCTGACTTCTGTGGGATCACGGTGTGGACGGGTACTTCAGGTCTTCTTTGGTACTGGTGTGTGTATGCTAATAATGCCATTTGGAGACTTCACTGAGGTTGTAAATGCCAATAGACAATTCTTTGTCATGTGCTAAGATCCGTGAGTTAGTTTGGAAGGGTATTAAAGGACAATAATTAAGAGTACAGCAGCCAGCAACATTTGAGCAAAATTTCAGATAGCCTCAGGAAGCCATTAGTAAACCTGCCTCTGTCTCAGAGCTGTTATTTAATCACTCACAATGTCCTCTTTGGCCGTGAAGCTGGGGTCCTAATGCCAGACTTGTATTTTAAGTTTTTGTTGTGTCATGGAACATGGAACGGCTCTTGAGATGAAAGGCTTCTTGAAAATCATTTGCCAAACTTCTTGAATTTGACCACCTGGTGTTTCTCAACCAGACTCCTTTGGGCTGATAGGAGGGTCCTTGTAATTTATGGCATTTTGCAATAGAGAAACCAAGGTGTTGACTGAGGAGGGAAATGTGTTGACTGCCTCTTAAGAAATTACATGTAGGGATGCCAGGCAGTGGTGGCGCGTGCCCATTCCTTTAAGCCCAGCACTCTGGAGGCAGAGGCAGGTAGATCTCTGTGAGTTTGGGGCCAGCTTGGTCTACAGAGCTAGTTCCAGGACAGCCAGGACATAGAGAAACCCTGTCTTAAAAACAAAACAAAAACCAAGCAAACAAAAATTAAGCTTAAACATGTCTTTCAAAAAAAGAAGAAAGAAAGAAAAAGAAATTCTTGAGGCAGTAGGAAAAGCCCAGGCCAGAGGCTTGCCATGTGCATCAGGTTGGCTTCTGTGGACTGAGCCTGTGATGGAGACCTGCCTCACTGCAAAGCCCCTTCTTATGCCCCTCAGCCTGCAGCCCCTCTTCCCTGGTGTGAATGAACTGGACCAGATCTCAAAAATCCATGACGTCATTGGCACACCTTGTCAGAAGACCCTCACCAAGTTCAAACAGTAAGTGTGACGTGCCCTAGAGGGTGTGCTGCAATCACTGTCTGGGGCCCAGCCTTCCCACAGCAGGCCAGGGCTGTTACCATGCCCCCAAGACTTTTCTGGGCCACCTACCCATTTAGGCTGCTCTCATGAGAGAGGAGCCAGCCATCTCTTTTGGGGGCTCAGGGAGCCTCGCTCTTCTTGAGTCACAGAAAGCTCTCGTGGTCTCTCAGAAAGGGTTGGTGTTGGGTTTCGTCCCAGAGCTTTTATTTATATGGGACTTGGGTCTGTTTGGGTGGGAACTGTTGCTTGTCAGAAAGGCTGCCGGTGATGACTCCTGGGGCTGCCAATCAGCAGAGAGAGGGAGGCAGTGATGCCCAGCCCTGCAGCCCCATTGGAGATTTGATTTGATGATAGATGAAGCTGAGGCCTGTAGGGAGGAGGGGATTGACAGGAGAGAAATCCCAGAAGCCCCATGGTGCAAGGGAGGTCAGTAGAGAAGCCACCCATTTTGTTTTCTCCTGTTCACCTTTAATTTCAGCCACGTGGGAAGGTGAGGCTTCTGCTTTTACAGGCAAGGGAGCCTTAGTGCACCCCTGTTTACTACTTTGTTCTTGGAATAGTTTTAGTTTATAGCAAAGCTGGACAAGAAATGCAGAAACCCCTTCCTCGCACAGCCTCCCTACTAGCTCAGAGCAGTGTGTTCTATCCAGTAGTTGAGCCTGCGCTGATGGTTGGATCTCGCAGAGCCATTGGCACAGTAGGGTTCTCTCTTGGAGCCCAGGCAGTGTATGTGTCTTATCCATCGTCTTTTTTTAAAGCCCAGGTTGGCCTCAGCCCTTTTATGTAGGCTGGGCTGGCCTTGAACACCTGCTCCTGTCACCTCTACTTCCTGGAAGCACTAGGCTTGTAGACATGCCCCACCACACCCAACCACACTCACTCCCTTTGAAGAGTGTGCGCTCTTACCCAGTGCAGGCACTTAGAGGCAGGGGATGGCCACCAGTGCTCTAATAATGGCATGATGATTTATTATCATTGGGCTTTCAATACAGGTCGAGAGCTATGAGTTTTGATTTTCCTTTTAAAAAGGGATCAGGAATACCTCTACTGACAACCAATCTGTCCCCGCAATGTCTCTCCCTCCTGCATGCAATGGTGGCCTATGACCCTGATGAACGAATCGCAGCTCACCAAGCCCTTCAGCACCCTTATTTCCAGGTGCAGAGGTAGGATTTCTGGCAGACTGCCTCGTGATGAGTGGGAAGTCTTGTTTATGGGACCCGTGGGACAAGGAACTGGCCTGGGAACAGCTCTATCCTGACAGTGGCCATTGCCTCTTGAGACTGTCTCCGTGATGTGTCCTTCCTTAAATGAGGTACTCAGCAGCTTCCCAACACAGGAAGGAGGGCTCTGGCTGCTTTGGGGTAGATGGCAAAGTTCTGGTAGGTTAGCTCCCTAGAAGAGCCTGGCACATATCCAGGTGGACAGCATAAGCTCACTGGTGTTGAAGTAGCATGTATGCCACCTAGTTGTGGAAGTATGTTCTAGTAAGTTCTTGGTGGGAGGGGCTTACACTCTCCTGAATTTGACTGTTTGGCCCTGGGAAGGCCCATGTACAATACTGCATGGTTAAGACAGCGTTTGTTTCCAGCCCAGACAGCATTGGGTTTGCACAGGGTGGGAAGAAAAGCCCCTTTGTAGCTCATGTGGGAAGCAGCATGAACAGCTACTCATTTATGGCAGATTTGTAGATGAAAGAAACAGCTAAGTTCTGGAGCCGTTACCAGAGGTGGCCATGTTCTTTTCCTCCCCTGTAGGGCAGCGGAGACACAGACCCTGGCCAGCCACAGAAGATCTTTCTTCCCCAAGTACCCCACGGTGCCAGAGTCACCCAGGCACAACTGGCCATTCTCAAAGGAGGGCAGAAAACAGGTATGAGTTGAAATCAGTGAGCTGTGTGGAGACTGGAGGTCTTTGCGTAGCTTGCGTCTGAGGAGGCCACCACAAGCCCTGGAGGGTGGTGACACTCCTGTTCCAAAGGGCATCATGTCAACTGATGGCCTGAACACCATGCTACTATGGCCTCATGTTAGGAATATTCTAATTGCTCTATGGACTTGGCTTCAACTCCCTAGGCCCTTTCTGCCTCACTAGCCACAGACCCATTGCTAACTGAACATGGCTAAGCCCAGAGAGGGGACCCTTTCACGAGTTACTGACCTGAGGGCCATGTGCAGATTCCTGTTCTGGACCAAAGGCCTCTGTGTCCATACCTGTTTATACCCTGAGAATGACCCCACAGAAGGTGCAGAGAAAGCACAGCGGCCCAACTACAATGCTGAGCATGGTAGGCCAAGAGGGGCCTGGCTAGCAGGCATTGCTTGCACTCTTTCCGGCTAGACAGACAGACAGCTTCACGGTGCAGCCTCTCAGCCTTTCTTCTCACCTAACCCTGCTGCACCCTAACACGTGGTAGCCGTTTGCTGAGCCTGCCAGCTGCACAGCCTGGGACCAGTAGCCAAACTCTGCATGCACATTCACTTTTTTAGGTTCTTTCCAGACAATTGCATCTCCCTCCTTTCCTGTCCCTGTCCATGGCAGCAGTTGATCACATGGGTCCATGGCAGCCAGTGTCTCCCAGAGCTTTGACCGCTGTGTCCGTTGCTATGGACAGCTGTTGCTGCATACCAGGAGGCAGGTGCAGTTGTGCAATACCATCTCCTACGCTCCTCCAGACTTTGACTCCCCGTGGCTGTCCTTCCCAGGGTCCTGCAGCTCCCTCAGATGCCCAGGCCCACATGGTCATCTCCCCTTCCTCACCTCCTGTTAACATAAATGGTCTCCAAACTGCGTCACCCTCTGCCCTCAAACTGCCCTCCAAGTGCAGTCACACCCAAGGTGGGCACTCTCTGAAGGCCTGTCTCCTGGCTGTGGCTTATAAGCCACACCTGGATGAGGGCACCTAGGGTGGCAGAATCTTATTCCAGGGAGCTGCACACTGACCATTTAAGACATTCTCTTCACATGCTAGGCGTTTTAAAAACATACTAAAAAAAAAAATGCAGAAACTACTGGGCGTGGTGGAACACACCTTTAACCCAGCACTCAGGAGGCAGAAGTAGGCAGAAAGTTCCAGGCTTGCCAGGGCTATACATAAGACCTTATCTCAAAAGCAAACTAGCAGACTCCTCCTTACCCTGAAGCTGTGCAAAGGCTGTGGGTCAAACGGGGCTCAAAGTCGTTGTCGCTGCAGTTGCTGGCAGTCCCGCCGCGGTACTCCGAGCCCGTACTTGCCCATGACCTCGCTGCAAGTCAGCCAGAGCTCAGCCTTAAGGGTGCTGAGCACCAGTGCTTGACAAGAGATGCAGAATACAGGGTTCCTGGGAGGCTCTGCCTTTGCTTGTGGGGTATGGGAAGGTTGCTACACACTCATGGCTGGCTGGCTGTTCACCATAGCTTCCATCCTGGCTCTAGCCAGGAAGTTTGATCAGGCAAAAGAACTTAGCTTCCTTTATTTGAGGTGATTCCTGAAGGGGAACTGATCAGTGTTCTGTTTCAAGAAGCAGCCCCTGAGACAAGAGGAAAGCCATACCAGGAGACAAGGGCCGGCCAGCTTGATGGAGCTGCCCAAACTCAGACTGTCCGGAGTGACCAGACTGTCGTCATGTTCGAGCCCGACGCTGCGGTCAGTGTTGGGCACTGGAGCAAACGGAAGAGCCCCTGTGTTGAGGCCCTTGAAGTGTACTGGTGTGAACAAGAAGGTAGTCTCTGGCTTCTCTGTGGGCTGCTCTAGGGCCTGACCTCCGCCTCCACTCAGGGTCTCTGGTTCTTCTCCACCAGACAGACACGCAGAAGGACATCAAACCTCACCTGAGACAGTGTCACCTGCCCACGATCAACAGGAAAGGGGGCGAATACTGAACAGCACACCATCTGGTCACCCTCTTGGAGAGCAAGGGCAGGCGCCACGGGCAGGCTTAGGCCTCTGCAGCTGAGTGTGGGTAGGCCAGAGGGATGCCATGTGCTGGTGGCCTCGCCATGCTTGGTGGCCCAGGACATGCTGCCTCACTGGAGCCTCGTGTGTTTGCAACCCCAAAGCAGCTGTACTGAATGTTCCAGTTTAATATATTTGTAAAACCACCTCATTCAAGGGTTTATTTCATTTTCATAATGTGAGGATTTGAGGTGACTTTTATATGAATTATAACATAAGAGTGGGCATGCTAGCTTATGCCTGTAAGTCCATCACCCGGGAGGTGGCGGACAGGAAAAGCCCAAGCCTGGGCTACACAGTGAGTAACCCTGTTTCAGAAAAACAAATAAAAGACAGAGCAAACCCTCTGTGGTGAGTGACTTAGGCTTGGTTGAGAGGCGGCTGTGTGTTGTACCTCCAGGGCTCCCGGACAGGATTGGCAGGTATTCTGGGTCTTGTGGCCGTGGCCGCTCACGGGAGTGCTGTTGCAGACTGCTGACTGTCTCTAAAGAGAAATGTACTGTTACGGTACCTCATCAGAATGGTCTCCATTCAATGTGTTACAAGCCACTGCTTTGTGTCAGCTTCCCTGAGCTGCAGCTGGGCAGGCCCCAAGTGTCCTGAGTACCAGCTTTGAGTGGGTACCATGCTGTGTCGATTGCCAGTGCTGGGCTCCCTTACGGATGCAGAACCCGTGGTCTGGTTGTCAGTGTTGCTTGGAGCAGGCAGGAAAGCTGTGGAAAAGAAGGCTGGAGCTAGGGGGCAGACAGAGGGCCAGAGTGCTTGCTGCTCGAGAAGAGGCCTGAACTCAGTCCACAGCATCCATGGAAAAGCTGTGCTCCGTCACACCCTACAGCCCTACCACTAGGGCAGGGAACGGTGCAGGGTGAGGGTGGACCAAAGTACCAGGACCAGAAAGGGGCCCCAAGGGGAAACCTCTTGGCTTTCTCTGCCTCCTTTGGGCCTGGCATACCAGCCCAGCGCACCGTGGGTTCCCCCGTGCAGCAGAGTTTTAACAGCAACTTCTCCCCAAGCATTTGCTTACCTCAGCCTTCTGCGATGGAAAGGAAGTCTCACCCTTCCCTCTACCCCATTCCCCACCATGGAGTGGCTTCTATCAAGTCCTACAGAACCAGGTAAGTGAGCTGCCACTTCCTATGGCTCCGGGACAGTTACAAGACACCTGGAGGCCGTCTTAGACCAGGTGGCTAGGGACTAATCTTACAGCTCTTAGTACAGTTGGTCAGATGAAGACACGGTGACACAGATGGGCTGAGACACGGTAAGGACAAGGACCCTGAGTGGTGGCTAGCGAGACGAGAGCTGTGCACTACAGCTGGGCATCTCTTCAGGCGCTGCTTCGCTTTCCACACAGCAGGTACTTGCTGCCCTGGTGCCCATGTGACCTCCTCCCGTCACTTCCTCCAGACGGGCACTGCTTCCTACAGAGCGTAGCGCTGCTTTGGGAGAGCACTGGTGCCATGCAGGCTCGGGTTTTGAGGGCAGCTCCTAATCACTTTCCTCGGGCTGAGTTTTTCTTGGTAGTCAATGCTCTCAGGTGACAGAAATACCAACTGCCTAAAACGTGCCAACACTTTCTTCTAATACGATCTTTCAAAGTATATGACTTACAGGTTGTTTTACTTATATAGTCATTATGTATGGCCCAGTGCTGCCAACCCTCATGACCTAAGGTTGAACACCTGAACCCACATGGTAGGAGGTAGCCTAAGCTACACTGTGAGTTCCAGGCTAGCTGGAAGGGAGAGAGAGAGGAAGGGGTGGAGGGAGGGAGGGAGAGGGGAAGTAAACATGAGTCTTAGCGTCCTGTGCTGCACCTTTGCAAGGCTAAGGCAGCAGCAGAAGCCCCCCCAGCCTGGGGGCCAGGAACCTAAGGTGAATGAAGACAGGCTTGGGCTTTCATTGGTGTGGACTCTGCAGTGGTATCACCCTGCTGCAGCCACAGCTGCTAAACATTCAGACAACCTAGCACAAGCCCTACAACCCTTCCATATGCCCCTACTTAATGGGGTCCCTGGGGGAGATGTTTCAGACACCTCCTAACGATGCCTCAGCACATAAGGCCTTCGAGGACCAGCTCTGTTTGATTATTTAAAAGCTGAGAAAGATCCTCCTGCTTGGAAATACAGGCATTGTCTCTAGGAATCACCTACAGGAGCTACAAGTTACAAGTGGGCAAGGCATTCTACCTGAGCACAGAAATGCACGCCTGCTGATGTCACCTCTCCAGGAGCCCCGTGTGATGTCACAGCGCTGCTGAAGCCGTGGTGACTTATACTTTTGTGGTCCCAGCTTTCAAGGTCAGCAGGTGGACTCTAAACCAGAAGGGGAAGGCCATGTCATTTGCCTACACCAGAGTCTCCAGCCTGGGCAGCTCCCAGGTGTGTGGGCCGTGAGGACAGGCCCGGAGCCAGGAATTGTCAGTGACACACATTCACACTGGGCTGAGTGAGGGCTCAAGGAATGTGAGAAAGAGAAGCAATTCTTTACCAGCCAGTGAGTGAGGCCAAAACACAAACACCACACACAACCTCAGTTAAAAAAGGATAAACAAACAGTATATTCAAGATAATTTTATTATTAATGTTTTTGTGAATTAGAAATATCACTCTTAAATAATGAAAATTACTAGTGAAGCTATTTTCTCCCATTTCAGAATTACATTATTTACACATATAATACAGGCTTGATTGCATTGGAAACAACAGTATTAAAATAAATGTTAACAGATAAAAAGGACCTCTTCACTCCATAATGTGGAGGCCGGGAGTCCACTACCCCATAGTCAAAGTCATTTTCTATTAGCATTAAACTATTTTAAGTGCAAACAATTTTTTAAGTCTATGATTGCAGCATCTGTCTTTCTGAACTGTGTATTTAAGTCAGAAGGTGACAGCTGTCTTCATGAGTGCATCCCAGGCTGTCTCACGACTACCTAAAGTACAAAATAGATCAGTGCAAAACCAGAGCCAAGTGCTAGGGTAACAGTTGAATTTAAGGTTTCTTGTCGAGGAAACATTTTACTTTACACTATGTATATATGTGTATATATTATATATGGGATTTAGTTACACTGAATTTTAGAGTAAAAAGCAAGAAAACTCCATTTCTCAATTTCCACTGCAGCCCCAACAGACTGACTTAAAAATGGAAGCAACTCTTTGGGTTAGCAGCTCCGCACAGCCCTGCAAGGCTGCTGCCGCCTGCCGCCTGCATGTGGCTCCAGCGCAGCTCATGGCTCCGTTGTCGTCTGTCACTCAGTCCACGCGTGTCCCGGGGAGCCTGGGAGCAGCGGTGCAGCTGCTACACTACAGTCCCACCTGGAGAAGTGGCCTGGTTTGGGGATGACAACAAGCCCTGTGAACAAAGCAGTTTACATTAATCCAGCAGACACGGGGCAGCGCAGAGAGAGCCCCGGCGCTCACCCTCGGCCAGCACGGTCACAGGCTCACATGCCTTCCCCAGGGCTGGGAGCCAGGGCTTTAAGTCATCCCCTGTTCCTTCCAGCTAATTCCTCTCAGGGCACTGCACTGCCTGGAGTGAGTGCTGTGCCTCAACACCAGCTACAAGGGAGATGGAGGTGTTTGTTGAGGACCATTGGAGCCTTTAGGACAGGGACTGACTCAGGCAGACATTGCAGCTGCAGATGGCGACACCAGCTCCACCTCCAGCTTGTCAAGAGTCAGACCAGGCCCTCAGCCAGGTGGGCCTCCAAGGGCAGAGCCCAGTGGCACTTAAAAAGGCATGCTCCTTCTGGGGTGCACTTGCTTTCTCTTGAGGGTGCTGAGGCATGCCCCTAGTTTAGCTGGCCTCCAGTGAATAGGCCCTACAGGTGCTGGGACCAGGTCCTGGGTGGCGAGGGGAGAATGGGCGAGCTCCCAGCGCTCCCAGTGCCCTCAGAGCCAACGGCTGCTACCTCAGAGCTTGGTGCTCATTACTTAGGAATTGGAAGATTACAGTAGTGCAGCGTTAGAATTAAAAAATGGGTTCCATGGAAACAAACATCCTTTAGCTGTCACAAAGAATTACTTACTTATTGGGTATTATTTATAAATGACAACATTTAATGCTAAGTAAACACTACTACATTTTCAGAGACTTTCGGTGCAGAAATGAGGGCTGACGTCATAAATGGGTCGTCAGCCCCACCCCACACCTAGTTGGAGGGAGCTAGGAAGCAGCTGGCCCACTGCAAGCCATTTGGCCTGTAGTTTCTTACCTCAGAGCTGAAATCTACTTTTTGGCCTAGACAGAACCGGGAACAGGTGGGTACAGCAGCTGGCCCTGCTCTGCATCTGTAGGAGCTCTTCTCCCTCAGACCTGTTCAGTCAGTGAGCAGAGTCGTCCCTGTCATGCCCCTGTAAACCCACTGAGCCAGTGTGGGAAGGCAGATGCTATAGGCCCGAGTCGTCCCTGTCATGCCCCTGTAAACCCACCGAGCCAGTGTGGGAAGGCAGATGCTATAGGCCCGAGTCGTCCCTGTCATGCCCCTGTAAACCCACCGAGCCAGTGTGGGAAGGCAGATGCTATAGGCCCAGCAGGGTACAACAGCCCTGCCCACCCCACCTGAGGTCGAGGACAGCACACGTGCAGCAGTCACTTCAGCATGCGACCCCCTCTGTGCCGTAAGCAGCTCTGCAGACAGAGGTGGCCTGTGTCGCCTCTGGCCATGGCCAACCAATGGAAGACTGGTGCCGACCATTTGGGAGATGCACAATTTAAAAATAATAGTTAATGATTTTAAAACCGGGTGAAATAAATTTTAACTGAATATATCCCAACTTAGGACAATATATAATCAAAAATTGATCGTGAGAGGCCCCATCTTTGGTATTTGGTGGCCAAGTGACTCACGATTGCCATGGAGGTCAACACGGGTCTGGCAGTGAATGTGCCCACCCTGGCGGCCTCTGCAGCCCTTTCCTTACAGGGCTCTGTCGATGAGGGGTTTCCAAACATAGACAACCAGGGCTCCAGGCGTCTAGGTCCTGGTGACATACTGCTTTCACTGAATCTGTCTTGTTACATTGCCTATCTATAGGCTGCAGAACACCACAGCCCAGAGTCAACACTTGTTAAGGCCCTAACTGTCTGTGGTGTGGCCAGCAGCCCAGGGGAGCTAGTCCTTACTCTCCACCATGCGCACTGTCTTGGCCACTAAGCCAAGGCGAGCACACTCAACCAGTGGATCATGTATCTACCCACCTTTCAACTCCTGTAATCTCCACTCAAATGTCAGAGAACCGGGCTCTGGTCAGTAGGGTTCACTTCTCTAGTGTCAACCCTGGCCATGGAGTGGAGGCCAGGCCCTGGGCCCTCCACCATAGACAGACCGACTCTCTTAGTGGGAAGGCCAAACTATAACCTGAAGGACCTGGCCCTGTGGTCACAGGCTCTGAGTAACCTGGGCTGCTGGTCCCTGGGCCAGCAGGGACCCAGGATGTTTGGGTGCTCCACACTCCTAGAAGACCGTGTGAAGCTAGCACAGGCCACCGGAAATTGAAAGCTCTGTGGAACAGGGAAGGACCTCAGCACAGGGCCAGACTGGGTAGGGTCAGAGCCTGCCTAACAGCAGCACCCAGGTCAAGACCTCTCAGCTTGGCTACTAGTCATTGGGACAGGGACCTCAACATTTATTTACTTCTTAGGGATGTGCCTCTGCAGACTGAAGTGTGGCACTGGGGTGTGGGATGACATCAGAAGAAAAGGTGAGGCTGGGTATGGTGGCACAGGCCCTACATCAGCACTGAAGAGGAGGAAGCAGGAGGGTCAAGAGTTCAAGGCCACCTTCAGCCACACAGGAAATCTCAGGCCAGCCAGGCTACAGGAGAGACCCTGTATGAAACCCATTCCCTTAAAGAAAGAGAATATAAAATATGCCCTGGGAGTGTGTGTGTGTGTGTGTGGGGGTGAGCTCCACTGAGCTATACCCCAGCCTGTCACCATTAGCCCAGACTTTAGTGTAAAGACTGAGAGGTAGGAGGGGACATAGCCACACCCACTGGAGCAGTGTCAAGGCAAGAAAGCATGGTGCTTCTCCAGGCAGGCAGGGGGTTGTTTTACTTCATCATCCTGATCCAAGACTGGAGATAGATAGCACACAGGAGGCACCTCCACGGGCCTGCTAAGTGTGTGCGGGAGCACCTCCACGGGCCTGCCAAGTGTGTGCGGGAGCACCTCCACGGGCCTGCTAAGTGTGTGCGGGAGCACCTCCACGGGCCTGCTAAGTGTGTGCGGGAGCACCTCCACGGGCCTGCTAAGTGTGTGCGGGAGCACCTCCACGGGCCTGCTAAGTGTGTGCGGGAGCACCTCCACAGGCCTGCTAAGTGTGTGCGGGAGCACCTCCACGGGCCTGCTAAGTGTGCACCACGGCCAGCACAGCACCCATCACAGGCTTCACAGAAATCAAGCGAAAGGTCTCTCCAGCAGAGAATCTCAACAGTGTCCCCCTAGTCCCGGGACGAAGACAACTCTTGAACCTAAGTTCTAATGCTTTCACCAAAGTTGCCAACACTGCTGGATATTTCTTTCAAAATTAGACAACAAAATACTCCAGGTCTTGGTCTGAATTGGATTCTCATTTACAATAAACACAATGCTAATAGAATTAAGCCTTATTCCATCAGGATATGTAATAAAAACAAGACCGTGCCTTACAAGCTAGCTAGTGCAACCAAAGGAGTCCATTTTTCTGCCCAGTGGATGCTTCTGGTGGGGATTCTAACTGCTGATGCTGCACCATGCAATGTCGAGCAAAGACATGTCCCACATGGGCCTCCAGCTCTGGGTTGTGGGAGGGGTTGCCCTTTCCCTAAACCCAAAGGTGAGCACGGCATGAGGGTGGCCGGCTGTGTCAGTCAGCTCTCCAGCAGACACTCCAGCAGTCACGTCCCTCGGGTAGGGGCCGGGACCTACGTAATTAAGCGATGCCTCTTTAGATGGGTCCCTATGAGTACCATCCCAGAGCCTGAGTGTGCTCTTAGCCCTGGGTGTGTTGCCCTCATCTGTCTGAGCTTAAGGGTCCATTATTCTATTATGCTCACTCTACATAAAAGAATGGAGAAACCCTGGAAAGCGAGCACAGATCTGTGTAAGGTACACGGAACAGGCCAGAGTACCCAGGCTCAGTGAGATGGGTGTAGGGTTTAGAGGGAGGCTAGCCTTGAGCCACCCTCTGACAGGCTACCCTGAAGGTGGCACGAAGGGGCTCTGATGAGGACAGGGGAGCCAGTCACACTCTTTACAGATATCTAGGGGAAGAGAGGAAATGAAAGGCGCAAGCAGCCCAAGGCTTCCCTGAGGGTTCTGCACTAAGAAAACGGCGGCCAGCTAAGGCCTCCATCCAATGACCCACTGGGCCCCGAACCCAGCCACAGGGGAAAAAGTGCAAAAACTCTCCGGCTCATCCCTTCCAGGAACTGCCACCAAAGAGCAGAGGCTGGTTTAGAGGCACAGCCCCGAGACAGAGGTGCCGCTGTATATAGAACCACTAAGTGTGACACGGTACCCACATCCACAGGTAGCCCCACACCTGTGACAACATTAACTCTCTCCAAAGTACACAGTAGCTATGTTTTTTTTTTTTTTAAATATCAGGTGGTATGGTTTTCTTTAAACAAAACAGAAAATGCCATTAGCCTCTATTAGTACTTTAAAGCTATTTGTGAGGGCCGATAGGCCAAGAGCACAGGACCACCAGCCCGGAGGAGAGGCAGCTAAACAAGAGCCCTGTACCTCAGGACACAAGCTGAGGGGCGAGTGGCAGCCCCGCGGAGGAGCACCGCGGAGGAGCCCTGCGGAGGAGCCCTGCGGAGGAGCCCTGCGGAGGAGCACCGCGGAGGAGCCCTGCGGAGGAGGACCGCGGAGGAGCCCTGCGGAGGAGCCCTGCGGAGGAGCCCCGCGGAGGAGCCCTGCGGAGGAGCCCCGTGGAGGAGCCCTGCGGAGGAGCACCGCGGAGGAGCCCCGCGGAGGAGCCCTGCGGAGGAGCACCGCGGAGGAGCTGCCTGGGTCAGCTCACTCTTCACCTGCTCGCTCTGTCCATTTGTAACTCTTTCTTGCATGTTAGCATTTGGAGATGGGAGCCCCACGGGAGCCCAGCAGGGGTGAGGTGAGGTGTGGTTGCTGGGAGAGAGCGAAGAGCTCCTACAGAGGCCCACAGTGCCCCTGGCTCACTAGGCTGCCTAGGTGGCTGCAGAGCCGGCTGGTAGCCCAGCTGCCTTCAGAGAGTTAACATTCACAATGCATTGAAACCTTTGCACTCAGACAATCCCAGTGCCTCATTCAGACGGGCTCACGTAGAAGAGCGCCTCTGATGCTCAGAGTCACATTTTACCTAGTTAGCTAACTTTGACAGAGTCAGTAGGAAGAGAGTGGCTTCCATGGTTATTTGTTTTATAGATAGACATTAACAATTTTACAGCATTTAACAGCTTTTCTTTTTTGGCTCACTGAGATTCTTTTTTGTAAAACTTAGATGTGAAAATGACTATTGAAAGTTTTCTACATTTACAATGCATTCACACGTTTATTCAATGTCAATATACAGAGGACAGCCTCCAGTGCTTCAGAATGTCAAGTATGTGGTAAGTCTCTTTTGCTGTGACAGTGACAAGGAGCAGCTAACAAACAAAGCAATGAAACAGAAACATGGTTCTTAGGATTAAGAAGTAACAATACTGTTATTCAAGCTTCATTAGTTATTGCGACATTAGGAGCTCGGTTTCCTGTATTTCACAGCAGGAGGGCTCTTCATGAATTTGTTCAAGTTGTGGAGAGATCAGATGAAAATATAAGAAAGGAAACACATTTACCTTGACTCTCACTGAAGATAAATACCCATACAACTTTAAACAACATCACCTAATAACAATCTTTAAAACCCAAGTACACAGCAGTTAATGCAGCATTTTCATCTCTAACTCAAGAGTCAGGAGCTGGAAGGACGCACAGGTAACGTAACAGTTGCAGCATGTATGGAAAACTCGGCATCAAAGGGTCAGTTGCTCCATCAGAAGAGCGTGTTCTTACAATTGAACTTGGGATCTGAGTCTCAAGGTGAAAGTTGAATACAAGTATTTTTCCACAGCAAGCACGGGCTTCACTAATGCCACACTAACGTCTCCTCTCCCTGAGACAGACACCACATAGTACTCTGATGCCAACCCCGAGGCAGACAGCATGCTCTAGAGAGAAACAGGGCCTGGTGGGTGGGGTGGCCCGCCCACGCATCCCCAGCCTTAGAAATGAAAATCCTTCAAGTCGGGATTGGGCCTACCCAGAGAAGTGCATGGAGGCTCATGGGTGAGGGAGGGGACCTCACCAGCAGGCTCACGTGCTTCGGTGCAGCAACCGGCCCTGAGCCGAGAGGCTGAAGGCCCATGGGCCCGTTAGCCACGAATGCCCACAGCACAGCCTGCATCCCAACACCAACCACGGGAAAAGCCACCTCTAAGCTCTGTTTGTAGACTTCCCTCAAGTGTCAGATCGACTGGCAGTGGCATTAAGTTTCCACAACACCCTTTTGTGGCCCTATATGTCCTGTGACTTGTAACCCTCACACTTTGAGCTTGCTCAGCAAAGGAAAGAACACACACCTACCTCCAGCCAGAGGAGAAGAGGACCTTGCACACAGGGACAAACGTGTGCTAAGACAGACTTACTTATTAGCACAAATTCAGTATGTTAAAATTTATAAAAATTCAGAATGTATCACAGGGCGTGGAGGGGTGGGGAGAGAGGGTTGTCAAGACAACTGCACCTTGGGTGTTTAAGACAAACACCAGAGGGGACTGTTGGCCACCACCTTCCTTACTCCACCACTGACCTCCTCTAACAGCGTCCACTCTTCACCCTGACCTCCTAAACTCAATCGGCACAACAGACAGGGTAATGTGGAGGTCACCGCTTCTGGCTACAGGTGTCACCCAATCTCTCTGGGGCATTTGCTTTTAAAAGAAGGCACAACTTCCAACCCTCACAGGAGGCCAGTACAGAAGTACAGCGCCTGACTGGCAGGTGTTGAGTCCTTGCTTTGGCTCAACCCCTTGCACCGGATGCACAGGAAGAGGGACGTGGGAACGGGCTGGGGCTGATTCGCCATAGCTGCAGTGCAGCTGGCTTCCCGAGTCCCCCAAAGGAGTCTCCACCTGTGTGCAGCGCCCTCACGGGGCCCAGGACTCTGAGCAACACCACGCGGACTTGACTTCCGCCCCTAAGAGCCTCTTCTCACCAAAAGCTGTTTTATCCCGGGGGCTAGTTACCAAAGACATTCTTGCTCATGGAAATGCTCAACTGAGAAACGGAAGTTTTGATGAGGAAGCTCAAAGTTTGTTGAGAAAACTAAAAACATGCTCTCCAGATTTCTCTGGGTGGCTACTGTGGAAGCAGGGTGGCCCCTATGCCTCATTCTTTGGCGATCTGGGACCACCATGACACAACCCCATTAAACCCCACCACCTCTGTCTGCAGGGCACAAGGGAGAAGGGGCCCCGCCCTCCAGCGCCCTCTTCTGGAGCTGCCGCACCTTTAGCTCTGGTCTTGGAGAACACCTTGTACTCTGCCCTCCTGCCTGCAGAACTGCTCTGCCGGCTGTCAAGGAAAGGGGGCAGGAGTCAGTCAGGGGGGCAGAGTGGGCCTGGGGCAGTATTGCCCTGCATGCAGGGGCCAGCCTGGGCCAGATCATGCAGTTAGGACAGCCCCTCTAGAGCTAACCTTGGGCTCCTACCAGCCCCTGAACCCAGCAGGGGAGCCCAGGGGATTAAGAGGCACACACAGCCAGAGCACACATTAAGGATACTACACTTAGCAGCAGAAATCGGAAGGGACTTTGACCAAACCCCAAATCACAAATTGTGACATTATCATGGGGATGGAGGAAGGAATTCGCGGGCCTCTATCAGACAGTGCGGCTGAGGCCTGTTTTTGTTTTCTTTTAAAGGAAACGGTAGTATCTGTCTCTTGTGCCGCTCTCCCCATCCCCATCAGCAAGAGACTCTTAAGGCATCTCAGCACCCCAGCAGGTGATGCTGGGATGCTACCAGGGCAGGAGACCCGTAAATGCCCATCGCCTGCGGGGTCCACAAGCACACACGTGATGGCTCCCTTGCCAGCGAAGACCGCTTCAGAACCGGGAGATCACCAGAAGCTTCACCATAATTACTTACCTATGGTCCGCCACTCTATTTAGGCAAAGCACAAACTCCCGAATTTGGAAACTGCATACTCAATGCCTCAGAAGCATTTGAAAGTGAATGTTGGAAACCACACGTGGAGTGTTCATTTCTAACCTTCCCGCCTGGCAGCCCAATCTGACCTGTGAAGCCCAGTCTCCACGGTGGCAGTCTTTGCTACCTCAGTCAGTTAACCCTAAGGACTAAGAAGTGTATTTCCACGGCAGATGGGACAGGAGCACCCGGTGACCAGCTGCTCCGGGCAGGGACATGAATGCCTTGGCACGTAGGCGCCACACCCTGGTGGCTGCTGTCACCTCACAGGCAGCACGTTTCCGTGGCTGTCGCATGAAACAGAAGCCACATTCATGGAAAAACAGGATAGGGATGGGGGCACGGATCCAGCCATGAACGAGCTGGAGCATGGGGAGGGGCCTGGGACCTGCCTGGCCTCTGGCTGCTGTCTACCAGAGTCTTGACACTGCAGAGACATAAAAGCCGCCAAATCTTTGCTGTTGAGCCATAGTCACTACTCAAGCCAATACAAATGATCATCGCTGCTATAGTTAACTACACAGGTGCACCAGACAGAAAAAATAGTCTTAAATGTTCTAAATAAATTAACAAACAAATTCTCATTTTGACACAAAAATACCCAACACAAAGAACTAACTACCCTCCACTGTGGAAACCAGAGCTTTAGAGAAATTCCTTGAGCATCTGAGCAGGACCTACGCGGTGGGAAGCAATCCCCGCCGCTTTCCTGCCGCAGGGGCAGGCCACACAGCACTGTTCCTGAGGGGACACAGGCCACCAGGGCCCCAAGGGAGGTACTCAGGGTAGGATCTGAGTCCTGCACTGGCATGTGTCTCCGAGAGCCCTGCTGGACTTACAGCTGCCATCCAAGAGCATGAGGGGACAGGTGTGCCTTGTGCTTTCCCCGTGGAGGGACTGGCGCCCACTCCCACCAATGCTGCGTCAGAAGGTGCTCTGACCCTGGACTCCTAACAGTCCACACAGCAGAACTGAGCAGCCTGTGCTTGACTTTCAGCCACACCTTCCTGCCCCAGACAAAGCAGACAGAGCCTCCCTTTCCACATTGGGAGAAAACCCCAGGCTATGCACATCGAATCACAGGTCCGAGCCGCTGCGGCAAGGGGCCCTTGTGAAAGCTGCGGCTGCTGTCCTTGGCCACAGCGCGTCTTAGCTGTCCAGGCTCGGGGACAGGTGGAGAGTTTAGTGCACAAGCGCAATCAGAGTTCTACAAACTGCTTCTTTGAAAAAAGATGTTTATTAAACAATTTTAATTGTCATAAAATGACTAAAATGGGTTTTAAAAATTAAGGCTCTTCTCTTTCTGTGGATTGCCAGACAATGTAAAAATAATATCAATCAACCCTGGTGAACACGTTGTTCCTAAGTTAGACTTCATAGACTCCTAAACATCTTATGACTTAAGATAAAAAGTTGGACTATAGCTGATAATCAGTGGCCATCTGTGCTGAGCATATACTGACCAGGTGAATAAGTCTAGCTGAGCAGTCGCAAAAATGTCCCAGTTAAAGCACAAATTTTGGCTTTAGCATTTTAATGTCCTTATTTCTCCACAATGTCATGATTTCCCTGTAACTGGAATAGTCTGATACAGGAATGCTAACTTCGGGGCTCTATATACCCAGAGGGATGACTGACTTGGCTGGCAATTAGTCTGATTATATATTTTAAATGCTCTAAGGTGGGCTATCAAATGATTCAGAATTACATGGCATGCAGTATCCAAAAGTATGGCTCTGATGCATTTAGATTTACATCAACAAGTGTCATTCACATTCATTGTACATCCCACCCCTCCCGCAAGAAAAAAAAAATCACTACCTAGTCAAGTTCTAGATCTGGTGCAGCATTAAGGATTAAAACTTACCACTTTACCAGGCCTTGCCCATGTGCAAATAAATCCCTCCTGACAAGCAGTGACTATACAGTCTTCAAGAAAAACCAAGACAGCCAGTCTTTCATGGGCTATCTTTTTACAGATCAGCGGCTCTAACAAGGGGACATCTTCCATCCGAGGACATAGGGATGTTCCCAGAGTTTTAGCTGGGTCCGTTTTGGCTTTAGTAACTAGATTCAGTTTGTCACTGCTCTTGCTGGAAATGTGTCCCATACTATGATTTCGTTTATGGTCTTTCTCATGGTGTCTCTCCTTCCGGTCATGCAGCGACAGAGTTGCAAACTTGCTGACCCCAGAAGCAATGGCCCCGTCCATGACGCTGCTTTTGCTCCCAGCACTGGAGACTGCTGAATGTGGAAGGCTATTGGACCGTGGCAGTGGAGGGGGCACAGAGTTCCCAGGCGTAGTGACCCTGTTCCCATTGCTTCCGGCGGGCGGACTTGTGGCGTTCATGACATTTGTATGTGTCCTTGCTCTTGAGAGGGGTTGGTGAGGGAAAAGGATGTCTTCTGTAAGGTCCCATAAACACAGTTGTGTATCCTGACCCACTGAACCAAACCGATAAGTAACACTTACAGGGCGGCTGTCTGTAGAGTTCCGTTTGGACAGCCTAGATTGCGTACTGTTTGCTCGATCTCTGCCAAAATGAAGAAGGTCCTGGAAGTCCTCGTCACTGCCACTAAACTCCATAGGGTCACTTTCTTCTACACTAGTAGTATAGGGGTCAAATGCTACAACACTGACCCAGGATTTGTGCCCATGGCCTCTGGCTATTACTCGGCAGTCTAGAAAGGACCAGACTGTCACCAAGTCGTCCTCGCCCCCTGTCACAATGTACTTGCCATCAGGGCTCCAGCACACACAAAGCAAGCCCCCAAAGTAGCTTTTCATGGTGCCGTGCAGCTCCACGGAGTCAAAGTTGAACACGCGCAGAAACCCGTCCTGGCTCACGCACGCTAACAACTTGCCATCTGGGGAGAAAGCAAACTCGTTGAGGGCCCCCTCGCCCACCGTCCACTTAAGGAGAGGGTTCCTCGTGGATTTGCTCTTGCAAGTATGCACGGCAAAGCTCTCTCCCTGCTTCAGAAGCTGGTAGTGGGGGGCGGTGGTGCCACAAGTGTGCTCCACATTATATAAGTACATGTTCCCACTGGAATGCGCTACTAGGAACAGGCTTTCGGAACCAGGAACCCATTTGACACAGGTTACGCGTGACTTGTCTATTAGTCTCTGTGAAGACAAAGGAGAACAAGTTATCACAATGGAGAAGTTGAGGTCTACTTTTCCAGAAAAAAAAAAAAAAAAAAAAACTTGTCTGGGTCTCAGCAAGAAGGGAAGAGTCCTTCCAGACCCTCCACATCTACCCTGAGTCAGCCAGGCCCATGAAGAGCATGTCCCCTCCCCAGCCCATCCTAGCACTGCTCTTGGGTGTCAGTCACCTGACACATACCTGCTGAGGGCTTACTCTGGGCCAGGGCCCAGGCCCAGGGCACACTGCTGTGACACAGCCCTTACAGTAGACAACTGAATGTTTCCCTACAGCCACAACGGCTTCCTCTCTACGAGGACTCACAGGACAAGTTTCAGTCCGTACAGCTAGCTGTCTTTGCCTTTGGCACTACAGGCCATGGCTGACCACACTGCCCGTTTGTGTGACTGTTAGCCACCTGCAGCCTGCAACCAGCAGAACACAGTTCCTGAAAACACACTTCCTGGGCAGGGTACAGCACTGGACTCCTGTGTCTTCACTGAGTATCTGGACCACATCTGGCAGATTCCGGAGTCTGTGCCCTGCCACCATCCATCTATCCCACGCTCACACCTGGTTCACTGACCCAGCGGCCTCTTTAACTGCATATACAGTCTCATCTTTAAAACCAAACAGAAGCCAGACATGAATGCCACTCAGATATACAGAAGGGGCCCCCTTCTCTGCGCAGACCCTCCACAGGCAACAGAACTCACCAGAAGTTCCCAACCCTGCCCGGAGCTCCTTCTGTCAGGGGTTCTCTGTTACCCCTGTACTCTTTACTGGGACGGTCCCAGGGGCTTAAGCGCTACCATGTTACCTAACTGACTGGGTTCCCCAACAAGGACCTCAGAAAGTCATCAGGACACACTGGTATGGAATGAGCTGCCGCAGCCTGCCGGGTTGGTTGGGTGAATGGGAGCTGGGACGCAGTGCACATGCGGATCTCCCGGTTGGTTGGGTGAATGGGAGCTGGGACACAGTGCACATGCGGATCTCCCGGTTGGTTGGGTGAATGGGAGCTGGGACGCAGTGTGCATGCGGGTCTGGGCTTCATAGATGGCACTGGCTACAACAGCCATAGCAATAAAGAGCAGGGCAGACAGGAAATGAGGCCAGGCTCAGAAGGGATGAAGTGCTGACAAATTTCTCTGACGGGAAGCGCAGCAGCCCGAGTGCCCACAGGACAGAGGCGTGGGCTCTCAGATTCTTGGCTTGAGAAAGGGCGTCAGCTGTGACGCTCACCGGCACAGGACGGCATGCCTGGCATCTTACACCAGTAAGTGCCACCCACGGGACACGGCCATTGCTTTCAGGCCCCGACTGCGCTTCCTGCTTGGTGACCTGCCTATCACCTAAACGCCCAGCACTGCTCTGCAGGGTTCCTATTAAACCATTTCCTAGTTTCATAACGAATGAAACTTCTTAGCAAGGGGTCAGTCAATTTTCGTGGCTAGATCATGGCCTCTGGGGGAAAAGGGGTTAGAAGTTCTGGGTGCAGAAGTGAAGAACCCTCCATCTTCTTCAGGAGCGGAAGGCTCACTGCTCACTGTCTACTAGGTTGGGTTGCAGCCACTCGCTCTGAGCTCAGGGACATGACGACCATGCTAGGTGGGTTTGCACACACAGGTAACTTGATTTAAAGCCAGATGGCTGTACTGATCCCAGCCCAGGTTTCCCCAATCACTCGACTCCATTACATGTGGAATTTTTAAGGCTTCTAGTAGTAAGATCAGGTGTAAATTTTTACCTGTAACCTTTAAAAAAGTACAACTGGCACTCAGAAAAGTGTAGCCCTGGTAAGGGAGGGAGGGAGGGCCGTTACATGCAGGGGAGGCACAGGCGGCGGTGACGGCACCCGCAGGAGGTACTGCTGTGATAACCAGATGCAGAGCGCCCTCACGCCTCACCGCCTCCAGTCCCCTAAGCTGCCTGTGGATGTCACTGACACAGACCCTGCACTGCCGTGAACTGTACCTGCCCGTTGTGTGCACAAGTTACTGTTGGCCCTGCCTGGGGGCTGGTATGAGCAAGGACAGATCAAAACCTAAAGTCAGGGCGCGGTACAGCAAGGGGGCAGGCAGGCCTCACTTCCGACGACCTGAGAACCTATTCTGGGTGCTGGACATTGGCAGGAGGCTTTACACCCATTCCCTAATGCTGCAAATGCTGCAGGCGTTACACCCATTCCCTAGTGCTCCAAGTGCTGCAGGCGTTACACCCATTCCCTAATGCTGCAAATGCTGCAGGCGTTACACCCATTCCCTAGTGCTCCAAGTGCTGCAGGCGTTACACCCATTCCCTAGTGCTCCAAGTGCTGCAGGAGGCTTTACACCCATTCCCTAATGCTCCAAGTGCTGCAACAGTCAGAGCCCTCCCAGTTCCCACGCATTACTACAGCAGAGAGACTCACTTGCCTCCCTTCCTGCACTCAGGCCCCACTGCCCCGTCACTGGGATTAGCTCGCCTACCCAGAATGCCATGTGACATACCCACTCTCGCCTCCACCCCCTGCATCCTCGTTCTTCTCTGAAATCACAAAGCATTCAATCGCACGGACACAAGCTACAAGCCCGTACTGTTCAGCACTGGCGTAGCCCAGGGCAGTTTTCAGTGTAAACAGTACACATACAGACCAAAGGGGTGTAAACGTCATCAGCATCAGCTTTCTAACGGGACAGCCACACTGACCCCCATGGAGACGGTAACAGTTGATGCTCCCACCATAGCCTATCTGCCTTATCGGAAGGTATGCCCCACGAAGAGACACAAGTTCACAGGTCACCAAACTTGTCTGAAACTCAGGCATCCCATATGTCGGACATTCATACAGCATCAATTAGGTACTGCCATCCCTTCCTCCATGGTAGATGTAGCGTGGGGAGGCACACACTGTGTGGGAAAAAGATTACCCAGGAAGGGAAGACACAGTGCTGGGATGGGAGGTCTTAGCCGGGCTCCAGAGCCTGTGACAGGAGTCCTGTGCTACCGAGAGTGACTGCACAGTAAGTGCAGTCTTCAGTCCCCTGGCCCGAAGAGCAGCCGGCCATGCCTACCAGAGAAGCTTCCTGTGTCAAGGTGCTAGTCTAGCTCAGACCCCACGCAAGGGGGAAATGCAATCCTTGACCAGAGGTCACCTGACCTCAACTCTTCTAGGTTATTACCAGTTTGGGTGTAATAGACAAAGAAAGAAAAGTGCCCTATATCTATCTTTCAAAAACCAAACAAATAAAACCAAGAAAACAAACAAACTGGAAACCCCTGGGACATTTTACTCAATAAATATAAGAACAAACATTTCACAGACAGAAGGTGGGCAGCATTGGCTAGGCTGCACATAAGGAACACCATGCCAGCTTGGGGGATATGGCAAGACTCTCAAAAAATTTCTTTTTACACGGCCCAGCCTCTAAACCAAAAAGGTTACATTTTTATTTTAGAAAACATTTGGTTTAAAAAAAAAAAAAAAAAAAAAAAAGATAGATTCATGTTAGGAGTCAGTGTAGGTGGCAGGGTCTCTTTGTTGGCTTTGAGTTCTCACTGGAGCAGACCCTCATCTAGATTAGCATTCTGAAAAGATGCCCAATTAAGCCAGGTGGTGGTGGCGCACGCCTTTAATCCAGCACTCGGGAGGCAGAGGCAGGAGGATCTCCGTGAGTTTGAGGCCAGCCTGGTCTACAGAGTAAGTTCCAGGACAGGCTCTGAAGCCATACAGAGAAACCCTGTCTCCAAAAACAAAACAAAACAAAACAAAAAACCCAAACAAACAAAAAATAAAACAAAAAGAAACGAAGTCCAGCAGAACCCTACTCCCCAAGTAGCACTGCCTGGGGGGGGGGGGGGAGGCAGGAGCAAGGGGCCAAGGCTCTCGGAGCTTTCAGGGGACTGGAAAAGGCTGGAGCGGAGCACCTGGAACAGAGCTGTGAACTTGGACAAAGGGCGGTGAGGTCCTAGGACAGGGCCCAGGCTGTGACCTTGAAGCCCAAACCGTCCCTTCCACATTGCTCACCTCAAGGGAGATGTGTTAGAAATGCATACTGCACACTGGATTCTGTTGTGCTGGCATGGAAAAAGATAGTCAATGATCTTATTCTGTGTTTTTATATTGTATAGTGAAACATGTAGATGTATGAGATAAAACACAATGTACTCTTAAAATAACTTTGCCCGACTTTCACCCTTTGAAGATTTGAGTGCACACAGTAGCTCGCTCTGCATCCCCCTTGACAGTTTCACTGCAGACTGTGGGGCATCAAAGGCTCTAGAAAGGGAAGTGACGAGGAGGGATCCCCTAGCAGAAAGAACAGAATGAAGGTCAAGTGGGGACGAGGTCAGGAGGTCATGGGTCTTCAAACTAGCCAGTGGCAATAGGGCACATCTATTAACAGTGAATGTGCCAGTCAGTGGTGGTGTGGGTGGGGACGGTGAGGGGTAAAGTACATCAAGGCCCCTATGTTCAGCCCAGGGGACAGCTGCAAAGGTCAGTGTGTAGCTAGTGAAAATGAGCAGAGAAGTCAAGTCAGGCAGACGAAAAGCAACACAAACCTGTGGCATCCTGGGTTCTCCAAGGAAGATGGTCGAACAAGGCGGAGTGTAGAATTCCGGGAAAATCTCCCGGAGGGATCACAGCAAGGCCATCTTGTCATTTTCACTATGGTGACCACAAAGCTCTTCAAGAAAGAGCCAGCTTCCAAAAGACTCAGAGCCCATTTCGAAAACGACCTTTGTGAAGGTAACAAAAAAACAAGCCAACTATGGCCAAGCACAACAGAGACCGACACGCAGGATCTGCTCTAACCCTCTCCTAATGCGGGAGTAGATCAACACTCCATTCCAGAGAGAAACACTAAACAAGACAAAGGCACCATGCCCACTGCGCCAGTAGTCTCTGGGTCCGCCATACTAGTTAGAAGGGAACAAGAACAGAAATCTGCAGCCACATCTAAGTGTCAGTGATAAATTAATTTGAATTGGAACTTTC